GCCTCTGGCTCAAATGGCGAGCAGCGTCTTGTCACCGAGTACGCTACGCAGGTGATCGAGTTGCGCGAGTGGGCGTCCCAGGTATTCGACCGGACGCCGCCTTCAGCTGCGCGGGCTGATCCAAGCTCAGCGGTTACTGACCCTCAGGAGCAGATACGTACCCTTGCTGCTGGTGTTATGGTGCGGCTCGGGGAGGTCATAGAGCGGTATCAGGGTCGGCTGATGGGCGTTCATTCTGGATTCACCTATTAAATCAATCTTTGGGGTATATCTATCAGTTTGCTAGGTTGAAATCTATAATCGAAACAAATGACAGGAGGATATGAACATTATTGAAAAATTCCACGACGAACGAGTCAAACAGCCATCGGCGCACCTTGGTCTTTACGTTAGAAAGAAGACTGTAGATCGTGCTCCCTTTCTTCCGAAAATGACATACATATGTAGCTACCTATCATTATGATCGCTGAGGCGTGGATTAACACATTTACTCCGCCTTGGCAAAGCTACCCTTCTCAATAGCTGCCTCCATCATCCGGTCACCACTGATGATACTCGTGGTACAGATAATAATCTTCCTCCGTGGAGCCTCTTGCGCAGCAATGAAGCGCAGCGCGGCGATCTCTGTGAACGTGATACCGCCCAAGAAAAAGACATAAACAGCCTTCGTAGCAGAATTACCGCTCAGTGTTTGACGCGCCCGCACAGCCTTATCATCACCCTTCTGGACAATGCTGAAAGTCGCACCGCGAGCACTCTTGACAACGTCCTCGAAGCCAAGCCAGCCAGGCGACGTTGTATTAGCAGTATTCAGCGAGGCAGCCGGTGTACCTCCCTTGATCAGCGAGACCATATAGGACTTTTGTAACACGCATTGAACCAGGCGGACGCTAAGGGGCGCGAATCCACTGTACACGTAGGAAATATCGTTCGGATCCTTCTCGCTGACCTCCTCGATGACAAGACGGAGGTTCTTGCGCAGGTACCCGTAATTCGTCTTTGATCCTGCTTGCGCGCCGGATGTAGGGAGGAGCATCGTCGTTGCTGAGGATCTAGGCTGGAGAAGTTCCATTTTCTCTAGCGCCCAGAATGTGAGGAGGTGCTGGTGGCCGTACGCTTGGACGACCTGTCTCTTGAAGCTCTCTAGGTCGCGGGGGCGGAGACCCCCAGACATACAGGACTCCAGGCATAGGAGCCGCAGCACAGTCTTTAGTGGGACGTCGCGAGCTATAAGCTCTTCGATTGTCTCGTGCTGGTATGTGGAGTCGGCACCGGCTGCGTTGTTCTGCTGGACTTCTAGGGTTTTGCGGAAGGTTTCAGAGCGGGTGAGTCGCATTATTTCCTCTGCGAGGTTGGTATGAGTTCGAAGACTCTGGTGCTCCAGCTGGTAGGTTGGTAATCGGTTGACAAACTCTCGAAGCTCGCCTGTCGTTTTAGCTGTGTGGCGGCTCTCGTACTCAGTTTCTAAGCGGCGTGCCACCTTATTCAAAATATCGCCCACGATTGCAAAGTTTGCATCTCGCAGTTGGCTGAACAACTGATCCGAGGCGTCCAGCTGTATCTTTCTTTTCAGCCCCTGCTTGGCTTGCTGAGGTGCCTTGGATGACTCTTGGGACTGTGGCGTGGGAGCAGGACCGACAATGCTCGTATCAACGTCTGCTTGGTTGTTCTTTATACCGACATATTCATCAATTAAGCCTTCATAGGTGAGCTGTGTGAGAAGGGCCGTCGCAAAGTCCACGTCACGGTCTATGATGATCAAGTTCTCTACACTCGCACTTGGCAACAGCCCTCGTGCAGAGGGATCGGACAATCCGGAGCTCTCCTCTGCATCGAGTTCTTTCCTCATGCGCAACAGGAGATCTGCCAGGCGCCGGGCATTGTCACCTTTTCCGACAATGCGTGGGAAATAGCCATGGCGCTGCTGGACACCCATGAGAGCCTTAGCGGCGTGGAAGATACACCCGGGATCTTTATGCTAAATAGCAAGGTCAGAAAATGTCTCATTCAAAACACCAGCAACCCACCAACTTACCAAGTACAAGTCTCCAAACGACTCATCCAGTTCTAGTGACAAGATATCTTGTTCTAGGGGCATAAAATAGAGAGGAAGCTCGGCGATGTTCACGTCGCCAGTGATTCCCGCCTCCTCCAAGACCGCATTGCTTACAAGGGTCCGTCTGGGGGCGAAGAAGATAGAGAACTCATGTTCAACGTTTCCATTATTCTGAAGGCGTTTTATTTGTTCTAAGGTAGAAATGTCAGCTCATCCTGATGGCACTCAATCAGAGATAGCAGGAAAGGGCCCTAATGAAACGAGCTTGTAAAAATGTTGTAAAGATGAATATCGATATAGGGAACGTTTCTCCAGATTACATAGAGTAGAAAAGCCTCTGCATAATCTAATGATGGCCCATCATGGACCCAAATGAAAGGGGTCCAATCTACGCCAGCCTAACAAGCGGAAAGGGGGCGAAAAAAGAGAAAATGTCATACCTGCCACAATTCGAACGTGGCGAGCTTTCTCGCCACGAACGAGGAATACAACATTGCGTTGTGATGAGTCGATGTTTGCATTTTCCAGCAAGAAGACGCGGTCCACACCATATTCTTGGAGCACGGAGAACTTGACGAATAGCCCCACTGGGCCGGCCAGCTCCTGGCTTATGACGAGGTTCTTCTTACCCCGGGCCTGGAGAATAGTTAGCGCAGATCAGGATATCAAGGAGCTGTACTCACGCCTTCCAGTAATGTCAGGAGATCCCTCCGCGCCTTGTCTCTAAAGTAGTCCGTGTCAGACCCCGATAAAGGAGCCATTTCATCCAGGCAGCAGAGGTAATGTCGTGGCCAAAAATAAACAGAGACGTTGAAGTGCCACTCCGCCCGCATTGGGTTAGCACTGCCACTGCTGATGTAACTATGTAACTTTGGTATTAGTATGGTTATCCCCGACCCATGCCCAATAAATCTGGTGGGTAACCTTGGTATGTCCCTCATATGTTTATTACCATCAGGCGGCGATCTCGAACATCTAACTCCCCTGAAGGCGTCTCACATTAATTCTTTCTCTTGTCTCAGTTCATTCTCTTTCTCCTTTCTTTCTTGTACTTCCATTTGCCCTCGATCATTTTAATTTCATTCAACAAATCCTTACAAACCTACAACCCCCCCCCACATCATGGGTCTTTTCAAGAAATCCGATGCCGACGAGGACTCTAGCCGCCGAGCACTCTTCGGCTCGCGGAAGAAGGACAAGAGCCCATCCACCCCCCTCCAACCCTTACGCCCAACCAATTCCGGTAGACCCATACACCAAAGCCAAGATTGGCGCAGGCGTTGCCCCCTTACCTGCCGACCACCCAGCCGCCAACGGCGGCCCCTCGGCGCAGAGCCCTCACTCCATCCCCTCCGACAACAAGTACTCCGCCAACAAATACGGAAACCAAGGCGGTTACGGCAGTGATCGATTCGGCGGATCCGGCGCAGGCGCCGGCTCCCCGGCCAACGGCTCGGGCTCGGGCTCGCGGTATGGAAACGGTGGCTACGGAGGTTTGGGTGGTGGCGATCCCAATGACCCCGCGGCTGCAGACTCCGCACGCAACGAGCTGTTCGGCGGCGCCAACAAGAACAAGAACCGGTCACCGGACAACTCGACCAGTTCGCCACCGCCGTACTCCGAGGGCCAAAATGGTCAAGGACAGAATAACTACGGTGGCGGCAGCAACGAGTACAGCATGGCGACCTACCAGGATCGACAGCTGACAGCCGAAGAAGAGGAAGAGGAAGAAGTCCAGGCGACGAAGAACGAAATGCGCTTCGTGAAGCAGGGTGATGTGGCGTCGACACGGAATGCACTCCGAGCTGCCGCACAGGCTGAAGAAACCGGTCGCTCCACTCTGGCCCGACTCGGCGCGCAGGGCGAGTCAGTCCACGACACGGAGAAGAGTCTGGACATGACGAGTATCGAAGGCCGCATCGCGGAAGACAAGGCAAGGGAGCTCAAGACACTCAACAAGAGCATGTTCGCCGTGCACGTGGCGAACCCGTTCACAGCCTCGCGACGCCGGCGCGAGCGCGATGAGAAGGTCCTCAATACACACCGTGAGGATCGTGATGTCCGTGATGGCACACGGTCCGAGGCGCACGCAACTAATCAGCGCATGGACCGGGTGTTCCGTGATATTGAACGCGATGCGGCGAAACAGGGCAAGGGCAAGAAGGCGAGTGTCACCGAGCGTGCCAAGTACCAATTCGAGGCGGATAGCGAGGATGAGGCAATGGAGGACGAGATCGAGCAGAACTTGGATCTGCTGGGTGGTGCTACTGGTCGGTTGAACGGTCTTGCCAAGGCCACTGGCAAGGAGCTGGACGAGCAGAACAGACATCTAGAGCGTATTATGGGCAAGGTGAGTTTTTGCGATCCCTTTCAATCTAGTTTGGGTATGAAGATGAGACTAACTGGCTACAGAGCGACTTTGTCGACGATCAGATTGCCATGAACCGGGCCAAGCTGGACCGGATTCGTTAGATGTGTTGGTTTTTAAAGCAAATGGGGCTGCGGTATGCCTGGTGCTGTCGAGCTCAGTAATTTTCTGCGTGCGTTCTGTCCGTTGGGCAGGGATCACACATTGGCGTTGGGGTTAGTTCTGCATTGTCTGCCGTGGTCATATCAGAACCGGCGACTAGAATATTAGTTGAACATCAATTAACATAATTTCATTGCGATTCATCCCGAGTACTTCATATGAAGCCCATTGACATACAACATAGGTAACTAGGCCTGTCCCTTGACACTCAACTACTCAAACCTCCCATCGCAATATCCAAAATCCCACGGAGATCGACACCCCGACTGCGGGGAGTGTGGGGGAGCACCCGGAGAATGAACCTCCGCAGAGCCCTAAATGTAACGGAGTATAAAACCACACTTCCAAGAACAAGGTACTTACTTCTACAAGCCAGTTCATCTCCAGCTTACAATCTCCCACCAAAATATCATCATGGGCCTACCCCAAAAAACCGACATCCTCGTGATAGGCAGCGGCAACGCCGGCCTCAGCGCCGCCCTCTCAGCCGCCCAAACCAACCCAAACCTAAGAATAACTGTAATCGACAAAAGCCCCGTCTCCTGGGCAGGAGGCAACAGCTACTTCACAGCCGGTGCCTTCCGCACCGCCCACAATGGGCTCCACGACCTCCTCCCACTAGTCAACAACACCGACGCGACACAGGCATCCCGCATTGACATACCAATCTACACCGAACAAGACTTCACCGCGGATCTCCAGCGCATGACAGGAAACCGCACCGACCCCGCGCTATCAGCAGCTCTAGTCCGCGACTCGCGCGAAGCCGTCGGCTGGCTAGCCGCTAACGGCATCCGCTTCCAACTCTCCTTCAACCGCCAGGCCTACGAAGTCAACGGCAGAATCAAGTTCTGGGGCGGACTCGCGCTAAAGACCCAAGATGGCGGTAAGGGTCTTATCGAGGATGAGCTGCGCGCTGTCAGGGACGCCGGCGTGGATGTCTTCTTCGACACGGCTGCCACAGCGCTAGTGACTGATTCGACGAGCGGCGCTGTTGTCGGCGTTGAAGTTGTTAACAGCGACAGTGCTGGACGTAATAAAATGACCATCGCTGTCGGCGCGGTCATCCTCGCTGCAGGCGGTTTCGAGGCAAATCCGCAGCTGCGTGCGCAGTGGCTCGGTCCTGGATGGGATAGTGCGCGTGTGCGTGGCACACCGTATAATACGGGTGAGATGTTGCAGATTGCGCAGCGGGATGTGTCGGCCAAGACAGCGGGGAACTGGAGTGGATGTCATAGTGTGGCGTGGGATGCGGATGCGCCGGCGGATTCTGGGAACAGGGAGGTTTCAAATGAGTATACCAAGAGCGGGTATCCGCTGGGGGTTATGGTGAATCGGGATGGGGAGCGGTTTGTTGATGAGGGGTTTGATATGCGCAACTATACGTATGCGATGATTGGACGGCGGGTGCTTCAGCAGCCTGGGCAGGTTGCGTTCCAGGTTTGGGATGCGCGGACTGTGGCGTGGCTGCGTGAGGAGGAATATCGTAGTGAGGTTGTTCGACGTATTGAGGGCGCGTCGTTGGAGGAGCTTGCGGAGAAGTGTGCGGAGGTTGGACTTGTTGATCCTGAGCGTTTTGTGGAGAGTGTTAAGGAGTATAATGCTTCTGTTGAGGATGGGGATGGGCAGAAGAGGTGGGATCCCACTGTCAAGGATGGGCTTGCTACTAAGGGGCTGGCTGTTCCCAAGTCGAATTGGGCTTTGCCTATTGATAGGCCGCCTTTCCTGGCTGTCAAGGTCACGGCGGGCATCACGTTCACTTTTGGTGGATTGGCTGTGAATCCTGAAACTGCGGCAGTCATTTCGGAGACAACGAGTAATGAGGTTCCTGGATTGTATTGTGTGGGTGAGATGCTTGGAGGCATCTTCTACGATAACTACCCCGGTGGAAGTGGATTGACTTCTGGGACGGTCTTTGGGCGTCGTGGTGGTCGAGCAGCAGCGGAGCGAGTTGGGGAGAGTGGAAGAATAGAACGGCTGTGATGCTCACGATATCAAGACATTAGATGACTATGGAGAAGGTCAAAATATTGGAATATCAAGGCATTTAGCTACATAACTACAGAGAATGATAGAATGATATTCAGAATGTCTTTTATTGATTAGACAATATATTTAGTAGCGACTGTAATGTGAGACTCGAACAAGGCCAGGCCCAGCCAGTATCAAAACAATAGGAACAATGCTTCTTCCTATGGGTATCATCATCAACACCAACCCAAACTTGCACGTGAACCCAATGCACTTGAAACGCAGACTTGGTGGAAAAAGGCGACTGGGGGAAAAGAGAAAATGTAATGGGTTCAAGCCATGCAGAATGCAGACCATGGAAGATTAAGAAGCGAAAAAAAAAGTGTCAGGGTATGGCCTGCCGAGAAAATAAAGAAACATCGAATCATCACAAGCCCCCATGGTATCGAGAAAAAGCAGAAAGGTGACGCCCAGGTCTAGCGAAAGAATAAGAAATGAAATGAAAACAACGCATCCAGCCGGAAACCTCTATGGTCGTAACGTGGGTGAAACAAATGAAACATGGAAATATGAAAGAGAAAAGAAAAGAAAAGGCACTCTCTTGCCTGTGGCCCTCAAACAGAACCCATTATACCCATAAATCACAGACCCTTTTGGAAGGAGTATGGTATGTATAAGCGTTTCTCTCTCCGATGAAGAAATGTGTGTCGGGAGTTGATATAGAAAAAGGTGATGAAAAGGTGATCCATGCTGTTGTACAAGGAGACGAGAAAGCCCCAGCCATTTGTATAAAACATGCCAACGCAGTTGGTTCATGCTCATGGCACAGGGAGAACGAGTTTGTGGCGGGTGAAAGATCTGGCGCTTTGTGCGCGAAGGGGGTTAGGAGAGAGAGCACTCGACGGGGTTTCCGAATCGAGTAGAAGAATGTAGTCGTATGAAAGGAGATTGGCAGATTACTCGTCGTCATCGCCAGAGCCGGTGTCCTTCTCGCCCTTGTGGACCTTCTTGTGCCGACGCAGGTTTGAGACAACGGAGAAGTGCCGCCCGCAGCCTTCAACATCACATGCGAATGCTGGAAAATGTTAGAACATGAATTTCAAATGATTTGTCTTCCGAATAGAAAAACTTACGCTTTTCGCCAGTGTGGCTGTACATATGCGTCTGAAGAGAAGACGGACGCGTGAACCGCTTGTCGCAGACCTTGCACTTATGCTTCTTCTGGGTGTTGGAGGGCATCTTGGAGCTGAATTGGCTCATCATTGATTGCGGGCCAGGGGGAGCACTGCCGGCCAAAAGGCTGGTCGGCCGGGGGAGAGTGCGCGATTCATATGACTCGGAAGTTGTGGAGCTGTAGTCTGTCACGGAGGAGTCGACGGAGCCCACCGACGCGCTGTAGTAGGGGTAGTTGCCGCCGGAGGAGATGGATGAGGCGGAAGATTGGGTGGAGGGGAAACCGTAGGAATCGGCGGAGCTTCGCGCGCCGCGATGGCCAGGGCCGTAGATGTTGCGCGGGGTCAGATCCTGGCTGAGAGCGACCATTCCGCGGCTGGCGTCGAGCGCGTCACCGAAAGTAGGGGCGGAAGCTGAAGAGCCAACGCGAACGGCATCTCTGTGGATTTGTGTAAGTTTATTTTTATTCCGAAGCATGTAAGCGATGCGGACTTGGAATTCAACTTACGAGTGCGAGATACGACGGCCGTCTTGCGGGGAGGGGTGAATGGGGGCATAGGCATAGCTGGAAGGTGCGAAGTTGCTCATTGGAGGAGCCGTGGTGTAGGAAGGAGCCTGGTCGAAAGTTGTGCGTGGCACCTCATGTTGCATTCCCATTACCTCTGGGCCATAGCTGGCGGTCGCGTAGGTGCTCCCAGCCACCATTGACGGGGCGGACACAGGGATGCTAGGGTAAGGCATGGACATGCCGGAGCGGTTCACTTCCTCTTGCTTGACCTGAGCGAGGCCCATGCTGGCGCCATTGCCCATGGAGGTCGCATAGACCGGGGGTGTCGAGTGCGACGAAGTGTGCGCCGCCCACGGGTCTGTGAATTGTGGTGGGGTGTGGTGGTAGACATTGTCGAAGCTCATGCCGCCATAGGGGCGGTTTTGGTTTTCCATAACCATCGTCATGGGGAATAGAGTCGCGAATCGATCGCGTGTAGAAACTGTATAGAGAGAAGGTTCCAAGATCGAGTCCAAAGGGTTTTGGAATAGAGTGATCGTCTGTGTTGATCCGGAGGTATATGAAGAGAGAAAGTGATAAACCCGATGATCAACAATTTTATAATTTTAAGGGAGAAAAGAGAAAGCAGAAACAGTCTGGGGAAGGGGATCGGCGAAGCTTATGAAGGAATATAAGGTGTGAGGCATGATCCCATATACTCCAAAGTGCCACTGACGACGTCCCGTCGGGGGTTGCAGATCTCTGGAAATTATGATACCGGTATTTATCTTATTTTTTTATTTTTTTACTTAATTTCTAATTTTGCCTTTTTTTATTTCTTTTTTCTTTTATTTTTTGGATTTCACATTTTAATAATTTTTGGTTTTATTATTTCCTTTTTTTTACTCCTCTCTCAGGATTGGTCGATTAGAGGCACTGCTTAGGGCAAAAAAGTGGTCCCCAACGGGAACCAGTTCCTCGGATGTGAATTTACTCTTTATATTTACCCTAAGCATACTAGTAATACAATTTACCCTTTGTTAATCAGGGTCTAAAATATATTAATTGCTTAAGCATCAACTAGGCTGAGGAATGGAAGATCTAAAGAATCTGTATAATCAGTGTTTAAATGGGAATGTCAAAAGTTGCTCGACTCCGGCATCGGAACGGCAATTATAATGAGCCATAGAAGGTGGACGGTCAGTAAAAAAAAAAAAAGCATAACCAAAAATATTTCCTAAGAACAATATACGGAGTAATAAGGGGACGAAAAAGGAGAAAATCATGAGACCCAAAAAGCAGTCGGTGACCTCAGAATCGAAGGGGGTGTAGACTAGGGGAATGTTCAATTGGAGACTAGCCGTGATGAACGCTGATGAGTGGTCCAACTGTGCCGTGTTTGAGGGAAGAGGAAGCAAAAAAGGAAATTTATGAATTAAATGAATTACAATAAAAGCTATAATATTTATAATATGTTTTTTTGCAAAAAGGAAAAAACAGAAAAAAGGGACTGCCAAGAAATAAACTCACCAAGGTTCGCCCTGAGTCCGCTGTTTCAATGTAGCGGGGCAGATCCCAGTGTCAAAGGGTATACCCGTTGCCGTGGGGGTTAATATGAGTGATTATAGTGATAGTTCTTGATTACGGAGTACGGAGTCCAGTTTATTCATTGTGATTATCATACTATGGCCATTAGTTCCAGTAGGTCCAATACACAAGGTACACTATACCTCTTAAAACATTCCAAGACCCTTTGAGAGGACATAGCTTAAAGACAAACCCACATCTGGGATGGCATACTGGAGTCTCTCATTATTGGAAAGCTGCAGGATCATAGGTAGAGCACATAGGAAATATAACTCCTCTTAGTCTTTAAATAATAAAATTTTAAAAAGGAATGGCTGAAGCCATGGAGGGGCCTTTGACACGGCACAGAGAGGGTTTAGCGCGCCAACCCGACCTTACATCGAGAGAAGGGAGCATCGAATCACTAGCCGCCAACATTATTGACTGCATTCTAATTCCATTCGGTCAGGGAATTTAGCAAAAATGTGATGACGATTGACATCCCAAGTCGACGGGCTATACGGAGTACAACATAGTCTTAGTATGTCGTACTCCATGAAGCATGTGGAGGATGTACAGTGCAGTCCGATGGAGCACACTCCACACGGGACAGGAAGACTACCTCAGAGAGCGGGACCATGGAGGTTCTCCGTCGACGCTCGCTCAATACAGAACTTGGTTAGTTTTCCCTCGGTCGCATAACCCCAAATGCACACAAAATACGAGCGTGCAATGAGGTTGCGTCCAGCGGAACACAAAAAAAAGCCTCCTGCAGGAAGAAGGAATAAGTTTGAATATCAACGCTGCGATTAGCCGGGCCATGCGAGCTGTATCACATAGAAAAACACCCTTAAGTCCACGCCTAAGGCACCCGGGCGAACGAAAACGGAATCCATGACAACCTCGTATTGGCCTGTGATGATAAGGACCACGGGCTGCAAGCCATGTTTTTTCTCCTTTACTGGGATTGGGACAGCTGGACATCGACGTCAGAGGGGCGGAACAGCGCAACCATTGGGGTGGGAAAACGGGAAAAGGGCCGCTTTGGAAATATTGGCGGGCGCGGCTCCCGCAATAGCGCGGTAGAGGTCGATGACCTGAATGGGACATATCACAATCTATTGACCTTAGTTATTTGGTTTCTCTCTCCTTGGTGGATTGTTTGGAGATTATCCCCATGCCTCGTGCTGAAAGCAGACATATCCTCATCTATCCGATCAAATTTGCTATTCAATAGTGTATGAACCCGCAATAAATAAATTTCCGATATGGATTCGATATGGTCCCCGAGTCTCGGGGATTGATGTCACCCCCGGGAATCGCTCTCCGTTGTACAGGAGTACAGGGTTGATCACAAGGTACGAGAGGGGGCAGATCGTCGAGCAAGAGCCGAGGAAGAGGCTGAAGAAAAGTTACATAACCTTGAGCCCATCCAATCACATAGACTGCATAACTAGGTCCCCATCAATGATTGGCATTTAGCCCGGGGAGAAAACCAACGTTAAGTGTGAGACCGAGGTACAATATACAACATACACATACTGTACATTCCGTACTCCGTAAACCATAAAGCATTCGAGGATCAGGATCAACCGCCGCTCTCCCGGACAAGAGGACAAAACACGTTCAACCGTGGTCTTGCCACTGCGGAGATCTAAGCGGGAGGCTTGGGACCATGGACGCAAACCCAAAACCAAAACCAAAATAAGTGCAGTTCCAACTTTCCCCTTGGTCCCAGGCTGGTTGGTTTCTCCGCATTCTACTGAACCATAGCGACGCCACGGCATCCTTGGGTGCGCGGTTTCCAGAAAAACTTAGACTGGCCACCAACCATGGAAACTAGCAATTAAACAGTTTCCAAGGTTGTGGGCCGTGGACGGAGTTTAGTTTTCATCCACTTGGGAGTCTTGCTCGACCGGATGCAGTATGCCCAGGTGGAAAGAGTGGCTATCCATGGATAGCGGAAGTGTGCCTCGAAGACAACCGTGGGTCCCGGGTTACCGGATTAAGATTGGAGTAACGATTAGGTTTCTCTCTATCAAATTACTCCAAGCATTTTATCCAAGCACTTTAGTCTTTGTAGACATTCATGTTAACCTTGGAAGGAGGTTGTCTGGTTTCCCTAGAGTTAAAGTTACCAGTCTACGACCAATAAATGGATCTAGCATATTGTATGAATCTATGTTGTATTTCGTATGGATCTATCAGTTCGCGACTGGGTTTATCTTGTATCCTTGTATACATCTCAACCATCAACACCGTAAGGAGAAACATCTCAGTACGGGGCCCCCGAGTCTCGCCAGAGCCCGGACCGTGTCTAGACGGTCGGGGTGGACATCCCCCAAAAGAAAAAAAAAAGAAGGAAAAAGGCATTTGGGCAGTCAGTCGGGCACCCAAGTCCCTAGTCCACACTGCACAGTGAAAGGGGCAAAAAAGAAATTCAGGTACAGGTTCAGGCTACTTCAGCTTCAAGTTGCCCCATTTTGAATAGCCCATATGGAGCCCTTGAAATTAAGAGGCGCGAACTCGACCAGGCAAACCAACACCAAAATCCAATAAAAGAAAAACAAGCAATGCAAAAAGATGGGCTCTAGTCTGAGCGTAACCCCCCCTTTTTTGCAGCCATGCCGTGTTGGTGGGCCACTTGGCATCTCACCGGCAGGACTCCGTCGCTTTCAACGAACGCCCACTGTGTTGGCAAATGTGGCGTTTTGAGGGTGCTGATTTTTGAGTGCAGGGTGAAGTGGGTGAGAGGGGATGTGAGATGGAAGTGTGGATGCCAAGATGTTTGTGGTTTTTGTGTGGATATGTGGTTGCTTGGTTCATCCCAATTCGTATCTGTATACATTGGCATGGCGTTCAGTAGTTCAAAAATATGTGTGACTTTTGAGGAAGGTATACCTTGACCACAATATTGAGCCGGAGCGTGCCGGATGGACAGTGCTTGAGAATGGAGTCAGATTGTAAGTGTATCTCTTAGAGTCTATAGGTTATACAGGTCCACCAGTCCAGAAGGCCCCTGCTAGACACGGGAGGGGTGGAGCATATCTTGAGGTTGTGAATGTTGTGAGGGACCTCTTCAAGGTCTTCTATGTTGTAGATGGGCCTTGACGGGCCTGACCGCTTTTCTCGCTCCGACACGGCTCATATTAATGACGCGTCCCCTGGGACCCTGAGACGTTTCTATCACTTTGCCATTTCATCATCGTCTGCTCCGTGCTCCGTATAGAGTAATTATCTGCTTTCCCGAGAAACCCGCTGGAAAATCCAGAAAAAGAAAAGGGCGGTCTGAGATTTATGTGACAGTTCAACACAGGAATATCGGAGAAATAAATATGTCAAGCCCCGGATTTTGATCTCAATTTACAATCGATCGTCCATGTAAAGATGATTATCACCTGGCTGAAATGAAAATCTCTCCCAAAGTCCGCTGTAATCAGATCCTTATCTAGCACGTTGACGATCCGCCTCAATGCCGAGTGTCAATCAGGTACCCTTGACCAACAGAGGCCTGTCATCTGCATGGGGCTCCGAGCTTGGCAGTTCCCACACGGCAGATCGTCATTGTCCCTAAATCAAGGTTGACATTATGTGCAAATCACCGTTTTTTTTTGTCTCATGCTGGATATAACATATTCCAGTGATGACAATCAGTTATGTCGAAAACTCGGGCGAGGTAAATGTACTGTGCTTTGGTGGTTATTATTTCCTTGGCCACCATGCTGCGTCACTGCAGAAATACCAGAACCTGGTTTCTATACATAGAATAGCTGAAACGTTGAACTGAACCATTCTTTGCGATGTTCAAAGCGGTGCATCCACACAGTGGACCTGTGGACTCTCTAATTTGCGAAAGACCATGGGAGGTCCAAGAGGAATCCGGGTAATGGGATAACCCCAAGTCCCGTATGGCATCCACACACCGAAAACGTATTGAACTATGGTGCCCATGATTGGCTAAGGCGATTCTCCCGATACCGGACCCCTTTTAGGTTTATTTCCATAGTTTTAGACTAATACGGATTAGTTTGGCCCATTTTGGACTAGTCTGGCTTAATTTCATTGGGTCCACATTCTTACATGTTTGTTGCAGAGCCTTTCAACCAATCATCGATGATCATTGACAATCCAGTCCCACCTGGAGACGGCAGATAGTCGATAGCCGATATTGGCAGTCGTTGATCGACCAATTGTATATGTGGCCCCACCTGGAGCTGACGCGTGCTCATCCCGCGCTTTTCAAGCCAACGTGGTTATCTGCTGCTTGGTATAGGTCGAACAAAGTAGGAAGGTTAACCTTGGATTGTGAAATTCGAAATATCTCGGACCTTTCCCGAGTATGACTATCGTCTTTGCTCCTAACCTTGGAAGTTTTTATTTCGACTTCATGTAACTCTATTAACTCTATCTATTCCTGCAGACACGAACCCCTCAAATCTTTAAAGTCAAATGACGTGACCCTCCCCCAACACCTCCCCGCAAAGCCCGTTTTGGCTTGGTGCGCAAAGTTGAGATCCCTGCGTGCGATCCTAGCTATACTCCACATTTCCCGCTAGGAACACTGCCACTTTCAGGGTCAACGCTAACAACCTGAAACGCCCGTGAGTGGATCGGGAATTCAATTACAGTAATTTATATTCCTTTTTTAATAATGTGTCCTCCTTTCCCTCCTGTTCGAGAGATTCAAATACAAAGTAGATAAACACCGAATTCATGCATCATAGTCTAAACCGCACCGAGTAAGTTGTCCCTGCCACTAGTCTTTACCAGTACCCATTTTGCGATTTCATCCATCATTACGTAGTGGATCTCGTGTCTAGGAGGGAATCGGAAAATGACCGGAGCACTTCGGAGATGGCTTACATTTGACATCTAGCATGCCCAGGTGGGGTTTAGACTAAGTGCGCCTCTTTTTAGCCTGAAGAATATACTTTTTGCCTTAACAGGCGATTAACTCTACTGTTTGATCGGATCCCCCCGCCACCATCAAAAAAAGAAAGTTCAGTCCAATCCCATCTCTGCGGTTCATGTTGGAGTTTCCCCGAGAACAAGGTGTGACTGTGGATATTGTCGAAACTGCGGTGTGTGCGCTGTAATAGAAAAAAAAATCCCAGATCACTTGGATACAAAACCACTTGAACCGGAAGTTGTATAGCATCATATAAAATGATCAAGCTTCCCCTTCTCTACCTAACATTGTACATGAAAGACGCACTTGCAGTCAGAAAGTGGGGAAATCACTCTCTTGGCCTATGTCACCAGACATTGTAAACACTGCAGGAAATACCAAGGGCCTTGAAGGAGGGGCCGTAATCTTAGCCTAAGTCTTAGTGCGCACTACAGTCTGCTGTTGACGGAGAAAGGCCCAAAGAAAAAAGGTAACCCGCCAGAGGCGCCCGATCCACAAAGTGTGCACCCCTCGCTTTGTGCCTCAACCGTCGTGAATGGGGCATACTGCAGGGTCTCCGATCCCTTGCAACAGATTCATAAATTTAAAAAAATATATATTAAAAATAATTAAAATAAAAATCACCTCTACTTCCTTCTCACAGAAGAGAAATTCTGTCCTACCTACGATGTACAACATGTCCTAGAATAGGAACCAAAAAGAAGAGCACTGACAACAGAGTTCCCAGCATTGTTAAGCTGGTTCCAATCATCCAACGCGCAAGTCTTCTCCCAAAACTGAAATCCTTAATCCCTACGGTGTTGCGCAAGTCAATCCCGCTGATTGGATCACAGCTCTCCATGCTCTGCCCACATAACCTTTTTTTGTCTCCATATCTCCAGTCTGTACTCCGTACTCGGTGCTCCGTTCTCCTTCACATGAATCCGAGGAATCGCGGTATCTCGCATGTTTGACGGCTACCTCGAGCTTTAGTACATGCACAAACAAAGACTACTCGCGGCTGTTGAGATTTAGTAGATGCGTGTCACGCGATCTTCCCCACTGCTATACCATGTAGACTGCATACATTGTACATATCATATAGTTAGTTATCTGTGCCTTCTACGTTGTACAATGTACACTTTACGCCTTACACTTTTCCGGTGGGGTCGCCTCGGGGTTCAATCCCTGCATGTGCTACCTCCACGATCTAAGGATCTATGAACCTCAATTTGGACCCATGGTCCTTGCAGCCAAGGTGATTCCTGATTCTGTCCCGTGTCCGCCACTGCGCTAAGGGGGGAACTGATAGCTTGGGTGAGAGATTAGCCGTGATGTATGTTATCCAAGAACTCCAGAGTGACCAAGTAATTAAAAATAAGAAATAAACTCGGATCCTCAACGTCCAAAAGCGGATAGTAGACCCTGGAAATCCAAAAAAAAGGAATTCCGAGGAACCTTGGAAGGAACCGTGTCCAAACCATGGAAAAGGTATAAAAAAAAAGGGGCGTTACACAACAGCCGCCCCCCTTATCAGGGTCTGTGTGTTCTCTTTTGACTCCAATTGTTGTTGTGTACGGAGTACGGAGTACGTTTAAGCAAAGGAAATGAAATCTCTTCCATTCCGCGGTTCGTAGCTCAGCTTTGTGATTGGAGATTCTGGATGCCCTGGATTCAGGGGGAGGCTGTGTAGTTTGAATCTTTGTACATACTCCAGTCCCGATTAGGTTCTTGATATCTGACATTTACGGTTGTTCTGTATACATTCAAGGACCATGGAGAATCAGTATACGAGTACGTACTCGGTAATTTATAGTTTAGAGGTCAGTGTATATGTGCATATTCACATTCTAATGCCAGGGCATATTCAAGACTCTTACTTCTATATTGGACTACTCCGTGCCTACACATTGTAACCTCGAATACAAAACTAAGCATGCACAAACGTAATTCTAAAATGGATATTCCCCACAGGAGCCACATCTGCCAGAGCTTACGCGGCCACTTCCTGCGCCAAGACCCTCCCACGGCAAGCTTAGGCATTTGGCGCTCTTGGCAGGGAATATGGGGGGGACACTACTCGATGGGGAACCATTGGCAATTACATATTCTGCCCCTCCTTTTTGATTATTTTGTACTTCGTCGGGACCCTGTGATGACGAGTTTTCGAGTTTCTATTTTTTGTGTGGCAAAATGTGGATGAGAGGGAAAGGGGGGGGGTTGGATTCCCCCCATACGATTGAGAGTTGAGGGATTATTCTCTTTACTAAATGTTTCGCTAGATGTTTTGCTAAAGACAAGAAATATTATGTATCCTTATTGTCGGATACGTGACGTCGAGGTTGTACCCCAGACTCAGACCCTGTTGGTTTAAAGATCTGTGATTGACATGATTGTCGGCCTTAGGAGCGATCCCTGCCTGATTGCCCCTGTCACCATGCTTGGCCTTGTCGATTGTTCTGTGTAGGGTTTATAGAAACGATCGACTCTATAGAACGGTTGTTTTGTGAATTTAGACATAGGAGTCAATCAAAATCTCAGTTTTTTACATATTGATTTGAAGATTTTACTAAAGCCATTCAGTTGTACCTTGGTAGAGATATATATCGCCTTACAAGGTTACCGGAATCACACGATAGTAAGCAGCCACAAAAGTATGTCTTAACATATCCATCACAAATCGAATTTTGAATTGATATTGAAATTTCTCGTAACGATTTTCGAAAATGGGATACAGTTACACATGAGACGCCATACATCCCCCCCAATATGAAGAAAATATTGACCAGAAGGAAGAAAAGAAAACACCGGCTAGCAAATAACACACCCCATAGAATCTGTATCTAATAATGCACGAGGAGAAAGCAGACCATCCAATTACAACATCGTCCTTAGACAATGATGGACAGTTCCGGTCGGTCCACGTCGCCCTCCATGTCCGGGTAGTAAGGAATCATCGCATCGGCTCCCTGGACGTATGCATCGTTGTATAGTCTCCAGTAAGGCATGCGGACCTTCCGAGCAGGGTGGAACAAGCCAGCCCAAACGTAGTTCATAACGATACCAGTGCCGACCGCCATCCGAATGGCTTCGATGGCTTCAATGACTCGGTCGATGACGTGGGGACTGGTCTCGAAGATGTTGGGCCAAAGCAAATTAAGCAGATGGACCATAGCGTCCTCGCAACCAAGACCGATAACACCGAGTGCGACGTGCTTAACCGCGCTGGCAGCGGTCTGCCGGTGAACTTGGTCACGGTCGACAAGGGCATCTTCTAGCAGCGGCGTGACAGCGTAGACATAATCCTTGCCCATCTCGCCGATGTACTCGAACAAGAAGGACAAGGCCTTGAGCACACCGTTTTGCACGTTCAGATCGGGCACACGGTACTCGTTCATCAGTGCCGGGAGCACAGTGAACGGAGCACAAGTTTCGGCCACGATACCGATGGCGACAGCTGTGCAAACACGCGACTGACGCTCCTGTACTCGCAAGTTTCCGAGAAGAGCGGCCAGGACATCTTGAGGACCAATGGCCTTTGCAATGAAACCGAATGTGTTGTTGGCCGCTCGGCGAATTCCCTTCTTGTGAGCCTTGAGCATATCCATCAGCTCAAAGCAGATACGCATCCATTCACGGGCATTGACGGACTCAGGACCACGGTCGGCAATACGACCGACGAGATCAATTGTGTTCTCCTGCACCTTTTCGTGACGGTTACGCAGAATGGGTGTAAGTCGGGGAAGTAGATCGCGAATGGGCGGCTGCATCTGGGTGATACCGACCACGGTGACGATCGCACGCAAAGCACCCAAGATTGAGCCCAGAACCTCGGGATATTCTTCACCCAGATATTCGTAGAGCACGATACCAAGCTTGCCCATGAGCGCTTCTTCGTCACACTGCTTCATCACCAGCGCAACGCGCGAGATAAGATCGGCCGCCTGTTGTCGAACAGTGGGAGATTTGTTGTTCAGACGCCAGAGAATAGTACTGACAATCTGAGGAATATATGACTTGCATCGTGTGCCAAGTGCATTTACCACGGTGCCGAATCCATTAAGAATGACAAGGTCTTCGATGCTTTGTTCCTGGAAGGCGAAGAGTACACCATCAATGAGGCGTTCTTCCAGCCTCTCAGAAATGTCAGCGGCTCCAAGTGATGCAATCAATTTTTCGACCGTTTCCACAGTCATCTTGCGATATGGCTCGCTTTCATCCTTCAGGTTGTTGACGACGCGCTCGAGAATCTCGCCAACACCCACTTTCTGGCCGAGGTCCACTGTGGTATCGACTACCTGGCGGTAGTTTCGTCGATCGAGGGCCATACGTCGCATCCAGAAGCCCTTGAAGAACTCGGTCAAGACGTGGTCCTTCAAGTAGCTGGCAGTCACACCTGGGGTGCTTGCACATTGAGAAACCACCTTCAATACGACCTTCTTCATTTCCTCATCTGGTGAGGCGAATTCTCGAATAAGGATCTCCATGATTTGAGTGGTGTAGTAGTTGGCGTACTCTTCGTCCATAAGAGGAATGATATAGCCGACAGCCTTGAGGAAGGCAGAGAGACCCTTGCCACGCTGCTTGCGGGCACCGGTCCAGAGAGGGCTCAGGATGTCATCGAAACTTTCGATACCATATGGGTTCGCAGCCTCAGCCAAAGAAGCCAGAGATAGAGCGGTGACGGTCCGAACCTTAGCTTGTTCATCACTGAGGTTACCTGAAACGCATCCAACCAGCTCCTTGAGATGAGGGAGAATGGCGCAACCCATGAGAATAGGGATATGTTGGACAATCTTGACACCGGTGTGTCGGGCCTGCCATGACTTCTTACTGCGGCAGACAGCGCGGAGGAAAGGAAGGAGGGCTGGAATACCGAGGGCAGAGGCCACAACGGCAAAAGCGCGTGCTGTCGTGTTTCGCACATATTCATCGGCGTGGTCAATATCAGGACGCATAGTACTGATCATTGTAGCAAGACCGGCGGCCTTGGCAAGGTTCGAGATAATCTCTCGGCCTTCAACACGAGCATAGTAGTCTTGATCAATGAGAAGTGGTTCGATGACGACCAGAATCTTATGAACGTAGGGACGGACAAGATCATCTAGTTTGTAGAGGATTCGGTCGATGACCTTCACCAGCAAATGGCGCTCCTGGTCTTCCAGGGTCCTTTCCATGAGCAGGGGAAGAATTTGGTTGAAAAGAGCTCCGGGACCAAAGTCGCGTGCATTGTCTGTGATTTGACGCAGAGCAGTCTTGCGCATGGGCGGGGTACCGTTCTTGATCTTGAGCAGTAATCTCATGATCTTCCGCTCCTTCATTTCTTCCACAGTCATGCTGGTTTCATCCCCACCTTCCATCAGCTTACCGAAGTAGGCCATGTCCTCCGCCTTGAAGAATTGAAGCTCACCCACACCGGGGATATCAGTTGGAAGATCCTTTCCTACAGACTGAACACTTTCTGGCTCTTGCATCATGAACCCTCCCACACCACCAGCGCTAGAAATGTGTGCTGGCGTGGCTGCAAGTCTGCGGGCCTGGGTTCGGATGGGCTCATACCCGGGAGGAGGGTCAAGGACCCTATAGCCATCGGCCTCACCGGGAAGCATGATATCGAGCTCGTCATCAGACCAGCCAACAACTTGACCGGGCACATCAGCCCCAAAACCGACTGCAGGTGTAGCGGCACCTGCTTGAGATGGATGCATAGGAGTCGCGAGTCCTAGGTTGCCAACGGGAGTGGCAGCTGTGAGAGATGGCGCTAGATCCCATCTCGATGGGATGGATTTGGGTGTTTCTTCTGGAGTAGGTGCCTTATCGAAACGCGATCTTTTGTCTGGTTCGGCAACAGGCTCGCCCCATCGGTTCTTTCGCTTTTTGTCGGAAGTCACCGCAGCGGTCAAACCCGCCTCGGCGTTTTCTTTATCGTGTTCCATCATCTTCAACGTAGCCTGGTGCTCTGTGACGTCTTCGCCCTTCTCGCGCTTCTCTGCGATTAGCTTTTGAACGCGTTCTTCTTCCCTATCCATCTCGCGGAGGGCCATGACCTCACGGTAGGTTTGACTTTCTCCTTCAACATTCGCATTGGCAGCGAAGGGGTCGGCGCGCGTCGGGGTCAGGGCGCCACGGTTGAATCGGCGCTTTTGGTAGTCTGTCTCGCGATCTGCAATTCGCGCCGCCTTTTCGCGGCCTAGCAAAATGTCCTCCTCCTCAACGCCGGTTCCTTGCGCCATCTCGTCGATCTGGCTTCTGGTAGCAGTGTATTGGCCAACCAGTTTATGTCCTCCATCCGCATCTTCCATTTCTTCATCGCCATCAACAGCAATCGAAGTATCGTAGCCTGAAAACTTCTCCGCTCCATCCCGTTCGTACAAAAATGTGTCGAATGATTCCGTTAGGGAGGCTTTGGTTGAGTTATCAGTGCGTTGAGCAGATTGGTCAAAGGTCTTGGAGCCCTTTTGACTAGCAGCAGCAGCATTGCGCTCAGCCTGGAGCCGTCGAACGGCCTCGATATCGGCTACAGTGGGGATCAGTATGGGGCCAGGCGGGAGAGCTTGTGAAAACTTACCGTCAGACATGGTGATGAAATGTAAAAGTCGCGAGATATTGAATGAGCCTATATTACCGCAGAAGGGAACACCGCAGCTACATCCGGATTGAAAACCGCTGTAACGGTCACAATAATGGTGATTGAGGATGCTGTGTTGCTAGCCGCCTCGTGATGAAAAGGTCGTGATTAGGTGACACGTGACTACACACCTTAGCTTCTTGGGCGGTGTCAAATCACGTGAATTATGATATAAGCCATTATTATGCCGGGCTTTCCAACCTTCGAAGGTTGGGGCGGTCAACAACGTCGGTATGAAAGGGAGCCTGAAAGGAATATGGCGAGCATCACCAACAGGAGGGAATAGCAGCCTAAAAAGGTCAAAGTGAGAGAGACAATGGATCTTTCTAAAGAAAATTTGAGCTCCCAAAGCATTTTACATTCGCACCAACTCCCTTTGAGCTGCAACTACTACTAATAGTTGGTTAGAAACCATTGATATTTCTACCTAGTAGTGTTCTGGGCTGTTCACTCTATAATGCCTTGTATTTGATCAACTCTCACACTGTGTTTTATGGCTGATAAATGTATGTATTGCTGCCTCATTGGTACTCAAAGTTGTGGCGCTGTAAGGGCGCTTATGATCTATTTATGTCCTACAACTGGTGTATCAAGGAAATTGAAGGTCTGCATGAATTTTAGTGTTCCTGTGCGCTAGAAACTAATTGTCTAATTTAGGAAAAAGGTTGCCAATATGACTGGGGATAAGAACAAGAAACTCTCCGATAGCCAATGATAGACCTAGGCTATAGTAGCTGCTTCAAATAAGCGCCTGCAACATTCCAAGCTGCGGAAATATGTCATTGAGCAATATGCCTTCCAAGGTTGACTATACTGATATAGTAGGTTGACAAAAACCACCTAATATTACTCATATCCAAATCTATTCCAAGGTTGTCCAACCTCAAAGCGACAGCTTGCTGCCGGCCAGTAAACAACAACGGGGTTAGTGTAACTCTATAAAGCCCTATGGTTACATCCTTTTCATTCTAACCAGCACAGGTGAATTAAAATTTCATTTCCCATCTCTCTAGCAACCTTTCAAGATAGGTGGCGTTGACAACAAAGAGGCCAATTTCAGCACACCGTTAGCCCCGATGGCTGTCCCCAGTCAGCAGACTCGGATACTTTTTAAGATGTACTATGTAGACAACTCAGATGTACTATGTAGACAACTCAGATGTGGATGACGGTATCAAATTATATGGAATCTATCATTGGTCCTCTCAAAGCTTCATTGAACCAAAATCCACTATACTTGATTGAATACGGTTTACGCCGAGAGCCTTGCTACCTGTGCGGCGTATCTCAAACTCCGAGCATGTCCTTTGTTACATATCAAAGTAGCCTTGCCAGCCTTTTCATTAAATGGGATATATCTCCCTGTTTGTTGGTTTTATCCTTGCCATTATACCCCAGTTCCTTTCCACTGCCCCAGACCTAGATTTGTTCGAGCAAATTCTAGAAACAGTCTGCATCTTATAGATCAAAAATTACCCGGTCACCATGAAGCTCTTCTTAGCGCTGCCATTGCTCCTCGTAGCGACAAATGTGGAAGGACACTCAGGTCTTCCTCATCCTCTGGCTCTCGCTTCCTCATTCTCCCAAATCTACCATCAACTTGAGAAGATCAACCTTGGAAATTGCTCTCTCGCAAATGTATCCCTCCCATTGAACGCAACAAAGTCACCGCTTCCAACACCATCTATGAACTTGACTCTCAAATACCTTGCATTGGGCCGGGGAACACAGAACTATACCTGTCCATCGAATGGTTCCTCGAATTCCAATACCACCAAGCCCAAAGCTACAGGGGCTGCCGCTACACTCTTTGACGCCTCTTGCATTGCACCATCATCTCTAGCTCTCCTCCACGAAGTGCCTGCAATTATCAGCGCCACTCCTCTCGGATCTCTCGCGTTCATGGCAGCCCTTGTGGCCCAGGGCACGAGAAGTACCAACCTCATTATTGGCGAACATTACTTCAACGCTGGTGGAGACCCGGTCTTTGACATGGGACTGAGTGGCTCCAGTTCCTGGATTGCTTCTTGTAAAATTGCCTCTACTCCAGCGCCAAACTCAAAGTCAGGGTCCTCCGGCGATGTCCCGTGGCTTAAGTTAGGATACAAGAAAGGGAACGGCATCCAGGTAAGCTCGGGGTATCTATAACCGGATTTGAAGTATGCATATCTGACCGAATTTTTCTATATAGGAAGTTTACCGAGTTGTGACATCTCAAGGTGACCCGCCATCTACGTGTGCCGGTCAAAATGCAACGATTCAAGTTGATTATGCTGCAGAATATTGGTTTTATGGGTGACAGAAGCGTGCTAAGCCCTTGTTCGAGGCTATATGGTGGACCTTTGAATTTTTTACAAGCAATATATACGACTGCGAGAGCAAACATTTCTAATATATGTATCTAGGACTGTATGGAAAATACAGTTCATGAATTTCTTGAGATTTATCGAAGGAAACAATTTATATACAACCGCCCGAATAAGCATTTTGGATCGGGATTTCCAATAAATTCGACATCCGAAGTAGAGACTAAACCTTTTAATAAGACACTCATGAAGAACTCCAAGATGGCACCTGTTTTCTTCTATTTGTTGTTTGCCAGTATACTTTGAATGACAAGCCCTAACCTTCCCACCCCCTCAACTAGCCGCCCTTCATCCTCCCACATGAAACAAAGTCTCAGCCTGCGATGCAAATCTCCCCCTTGAGCATTCCCTCCTGGAACCGCAAATGTCTCACCGCCACCCAGCACCAAATTTTGCATCTCTAGGGCCTCCTGGCACACCTGAGTCGCGGTCAATGCGGCCGGGAGCTGAACCCAGATGTAGTATCCCCCCGCGACTGGACTAGTCTCCGGATCAGGAGTAAATGACACGCCAAAATGACCGAGATGCGTTTTGATTGCTGATGCCAGAATGCAATGCCTTCTTCGTCCTTCTGGGACTAGGATATTGGTAATATATTCAGGCAAGAAGTTATCCTCAAGCAGCTCATTGATGAAAGTTGACGTTAGTTGCGAGGGAGCACCGCCAGAGCGCGTAGAGCCACTGTGAGTAAAATTTCAGCTTACTTTCAGTATTCTGAATCAAGAATGAGGACCCACGCTTGAGAAAGACCATAGATGAAGTCCTTGGTCCCTTCAGCCCATCCAACTCGACACCCCGGACCAATAAGCTTGCTGAATGATCCATTGCTCACGACATTGCCGAATCGATCTTCTGGCCCACCATCAATCACCCGATCTATATCCACGAGACGCAGTTGCGGACACGAAGCTAGGTTGGCGGGATGTGTCGCGCCCCAACTGAGAAAATCATACACATCATCAGCGACGACAAGAGCATTGTACTTCCGCGCCACTCTGATAAGTGCCTCGCGCCGCGAGAGAGACATCGTCTTCCCCGACGGATTAGAGAAGCTCGGAACACAATAGATGACATGTTTGTATATCTTTCTATACGGCCTGTGGGGCTTGTATGTCTTCTCCTGTTTCCATTAGCACGGCTTATACCGAAAATAACCAGCTTAGTATGGAAAAAAGAACATACCCGACCATCTTGAGAGCCTAAATCTTCACTACGCTGAAATGCATCCAAAGCAAGTTCAAGTGCGGCAACATCCATCCCCTCCTCGTCCTCGGGTATCCCTCGCATCCGACCAGTAAACCCAGCATCCTCAAATACCCGAAAGACAAGATGATACGTTGGCTCCACGAGCCATACAATCTCTGTCTGCGCTGGGTCCGTGAATACCTGCAATACACATGCGAGATTCTGGCTTGCACCGCCAGTAATGCATATCCGCTCTGCGCTGATGGGTTGCGCAGGTGCATAGGATCGGGATAGCCACTCGGCTATATTTTTTCTTAGGGGGAGTACCCTTCGTCGGGGCCATAGGCAAATCCTTCGGTGAATATGGCTTTGTTGGATAGGGCGTTGTTGGCTGCTTGTTTCAGGCGTTCCACTGGAAGCATGGCTGTTGCGGGCCATCCCTGGAAAAAGTCAATTTGAGTCATAGGTGCCATTTCTGATCTTGAAGATAATGATACTTAAGGAATATTCTTGAGAAAATTGGGTCGTTCTTATACTTGGGGCTTGGATGGTTTGTACCATTCTTGCTTGGGGAATATAAGCGATCTGGCCAATCACATTGAACATCCGCTATCGTTTCCCCCGGATAAAATGGACAATTGCTCATACGGTGGATTCTATTACTTGATTTCTTCTCTCTTGTCAACTCTACTTACCAAATATTGCTCAAAGAGAAATGGTCCTCTTATTGATCATATTGCTAGATAATGAAAAACCCTTGAACGCCCGCAAGAAAGCCATCCATTCCACGATTGAGACCAACAATGGGCCAGCGCCAGGATGAATGCAAACGCGAAGAATCAAGAAGTACAATGTCATCCCATGTAACTCCCGCCGCTCAAATCTCAAGGGGCGGAATTGCATCTATCCAGAAAAACGCCGATGTATGTCCCCCACCTTGCCAACGCAAGCCATCTCTTTCTTTCAAACACACCACGGACCAGCTCCAACTTGCGAGAAGCTAGAAATTTATACATTGTCATCCTCGTAGACAAAGTTGATATCACGGATGCGACGGCGGTTGGTGGCAATGAACTCCTGGTCACCGGCAGGTCGCTCGTTACGATTGTTGGCGGTAAGCATGCTCTGAAGGCTCATGCAGATGCTCTCGACTGTCTGCACTGGGGACCATCCGGCGGAGCCTAGAAGGTCAAGGCAGATAATGCCATTGCTGTATATATGGGGATGCATTGGGATTGTGCGGGGTGTGCCAGTCGAGGCAGGACATTGCATGAATTGGACCTCTGGGGGTTCTAAAATGATTGTCAAAACCCAGAATAATCCGATAAAAAGACGAGGCAAAGACAAGAGGGATGGAATGGAGCTACCGAAGGAGTCGATAGAGACAGAGGGCTTTCGGCTGAGAAGACGGGGCTTACCAATAGGGTACTTCTTGCTGAAGGTAAACTTCAGGCGATAAGTCTGGTCGAGATAAAGTGGATTCTGGTCGAGGATCTTGATGTCCATCTGCCATTCCTCCAGATTGTCACATTTGACGATTGAAATTCCCGGTGGGACATGCTCTTGCATCTGGAAGGTCAAAAAGGTTAGAGAAACATGTTCATAGAATGAACAATATGCATGGGCGTTATGGTATGCTCTCAGAGTATGCGGGGGACAAAGGCGATAAGCCCTAGAAGAAAACGGAGGAATTGGTACCTTAAGGAGCTCCTATAATTCACGAGTATAGGGTTAGCAAGATGCGCATCCTAGTAGCCTTCATATTCAGAGTATAATCACCTTGCTCAGACGCTTTGTAGCGAACATTGTTGCGATGGAGTGCTGAAAGAAAAGATTTAGATGTTTGAGCTCCGGTGGAGAAGGAGGGGCGGTGTCTCGATTAGGTGGAGTCGAGCGGATGTATGACGTTAAGGACGGAAATGTGAGAAACTCTCAACAAGATGAGAATGAACTGAAGCAGCAAGCCTTTCAAAGGATACAAAAAGAGAAGAGATATTGTTAAAAGATCAGTGATGGTCTAACGCTAAGTGTGGGGAGATTATCTATTAATACACGTGATATCGACACCTGACTATATATTGGGTCAAGTCACATACTTTTATACTTGGTAGCTTTGCTTTCCATTTTGTCAAAGACATTTTAATTGTATATAAATACTGAAATTAACAGTGTGAAACCTTATAGGAGCTACCACCCCCAAATAAGTCTTTATCAAAATAAGAAAAGTGAGCGCGATGATTACTTGAAAATAGTATGTCCACTTTGATTGACTAGGAAAAATGGGAATCACAGAATTATATCCAAGAAACCGCCAGGCAGATAAAAGAGAAGTATAGGGCAGGATAGGCACATGAATAGCGTATGAACAAGACGTAAACTGTAAAACAGATACAAAGAAGAACGGTAAACGATTTACGCAGAAGCAGCCTTCTCGCGAGCTTCACGTTCAACCTTCTCCCGCTCCTCGGCCTCCTTCTGCTCACGCACCTTAGCCAGAACAACTTCACGGAAAATAGCACCGCGAGCAGCGCTAGCCAGACTCTTCTTCTTCGCGTGGCCAGGGGTGTGACCGGCATCGCCGCTTGGCGCTGATGGTTCCGCCACATTTGACTCTTCGGTTGATTCGCCCATGTCCATGGGGCTGGGGATATCCTCTCCGTCCTCCTCCTCGTGCATCTTGAGCGACTCGATACGGTTGGCGAGCTTGACGATCTCGATTCCGCGGCGGAGACGGGCACGTGCAATGTAGGTGCGGATTTCAGGCAGCAAGTCACGGTCGCTCGCAGTCTTTCCGGTCAGCCATTCGTGCTTGAGGGCTTCCTCGGAGGAAACTCGTTTGCTGGGGTCCGCATTCAGGAGAGTGAGAATGAAATCTTTGGCGTCCTGGGACACGTCGCGCCAGTAACGCTCGTGGAAGATGATGCGGCCTGTCCGGCACTCTTCGATGAGATCGGTCAAGTTCTCGGATCGGAAGGGGGAGTAGCCACACAGGAGGGTATATGTGATGACACCGAGCGACCACATATCGACGGCCTTGCCATGACCCTGCTTGAGCATGACTTCGGGAGCAGCATATCCAAAGGAGCCGGCCATGCTGGTCAGTACCTCAGAGGGGCTGTGCAGCATCTTCGCGATACCGAAATCTGCCAAGACCAATTGAGAGTCGGCGGAACGGGTGAGGTAGAGGAGGTTCTCGGGTTTCAGGTCTTCGCAAGGGTTAGTTACATGTAAAGCGCTAGCATGACTTAAGGGGACCGACCTCGGTGAACGATGTTGCGCTTGTGCAGATAGTTCACGGCATCAAGCACCTGGCGGATGGTCTGCGACGCATCCTTCTCGGTGAACTTGCCGTACTCGCAGATCCGGTCGAACAACTCGCCACCGGTGGCTAGCTGTGTAACGATATAGAATTTGTCCTAGGTCCACAATTAGAGCTCTGCAACGATCGGATCGAATAGAGACGTGCTCACCTTAGATTCGAACCAGTCGACAAAAGAGACAATGTGGGGATGTTGGAGTGATTGCAGCATCTCAAGCTCATCGTAGACCATGCTCTCGTTGCCTCGGACATTTTTCTTCAGGATTATCTTGACCGCAACCTTTTGTCCGTCGGTGCCATCCGCCTCGCGCACAATCCCGTATGTACCTGCACCCAGAGTCCGTCCGAATTTATAGAGAGCCCTATAGCAAGCGAAAAACAGGTCAGCGAATGTGGGGTAAGGGAGCTATGATAAGGAGGCCGTACTTTTTTTCGTAGCTCTCCGGCTGCCCGGACAGCTTGTTGAGCATATTTGCGACTAGAAGGGTGAGAGTTAGTAAATTACGGGGCCTCTCAGACGAATCGCGCAAAACAAATGAAGCAAAGGACCCCCGGAGGAGCCGACCGAGCGGGGAGGGCTTAGACATGGCGAAGCAGACCGTGACACAAAATGACAGCTAGAAGTCCAAGTCCTCCCAGCCCCCATATATTCCACAGAGGGCTCACAGGAAGCGTGTAGATCGACATGGCAATTCCAACACAGTGCATAGTCAGATTATGGACAAGGCTCACGCGAAGCCGGACAATATTCGGGTAACACCAGATGGCGAATCATAGCAAGATTGACCGGAGAACAAAAGTCCCGCAAATATGGAATATCGACTCACAACTCATGATGTGGGGATAGGGCTGCAGACACCCAAGGTGGCAGACACGGTGTGGGATGGGCTCGAATGGGCACGGAACCCGTTAGGTAGCAACGGTGGACTAGAACGAAGAAGAGGATTGAGGACTCAAGAATTGAGGCTTTTAAAGTCGAAAATGAAATGGTCCAATCTAGCAAGAGAATGGTCAGTGATATACCTTAGAAAATATAGAAACGCCAAATTCGAGGGGTGAGTAGATGCGCGGGGGTGGCTGCATAAAGATTCCAAACAGAACCAATGGAGTAGACATACCACACACAAGTAGACCAAATATCAGAGATCGCAGTTCAATCGCAAGTCCTAAGGAGGTGAAATTAAAAAAGATCAAAAAAGTGCTGAAGAAGGGGGAGATCAGGAGTTCTAGACGCGATAAGGCTATGATTCGGGGCTGTAGGGTTTAGCGCCAGCACAGCCACAACGGGAATGTTACTGCCTCCAGCTCTGGAGGACCTATACGAATTAATATAACATAACATAATAGGGGTCAATTAAATATTGAAAAAAAGGAGAAAAAAAGGAGAGAAAAAAAACAGGATGAACCAAAAGGAAGCTGTAGTTTCCCAAACGTTAGCATTGAAGCCCAAAGTTACATATTAACAACAGTGTAGATATTTGCATGTGACTTGAGGAACATGTGACTATATGTATTTACAAGATACTACTATCGAGAAGGAGAATCCATAGCTGTTTTCTGTTTTCTAGTCATGAAGTACAAGTAAATACCTTTGCTTTCTTTAATCAAAGGTAAGGACAAATAGAAGCTCTAAAGGCTGTGTGTGGTAGATCTATTTAGAGCCACAACACTACTTCATCCCGACACTACTTCCGACACTACTCCTAGACTGGAATATAGCAATCAAAATAGAGAAAAGAATGACACCTGCGTAACTTGACACATATCCATGGTGAATGAAAATTAATATAAAAGCCCTTCCTGATTGGCAATAAATATCCCGACTCCACCGGGGGTGCCAGTGTGGCACGGCGTCGTCACCAGACGTCATAGGCTTAGCAAGAGGTATATGAACCACAGTAACCAGCTATTTTTTTTTGGCTTCTTATTCTGTCAGACTTGGTTGCTATCATAATATCCTCAAGCATCCGAACTTTCAATCATGTTATCCTTCCTCTTTTTCCTTACCTTCCAGGTAATTTTACTTGGCGCTTGGGTCTTGGGATACCTAGACCCATACCAGAAACAGCTTCAAGAGCTCTTGCTGGACCATATGGGCGAGACAAAGGTGTCTTATGGATTGAAAAGTATGTTATGTCAAAACAAATAGAGCAAGAGGGAAAGAAAAATAATTGTACTAACAAGATTTTACTTATAGAAAGTCTGACTGGCAAGAGACTCACGGAGGACCAGAATCTAAGCAAGATTCAAGATCAACTCGGGAATCAAATGGGTGGCATATTTGGGAAAGGAGGTCTGGGAGAGGGATTTGGTTCTGTCTTGGGTAAAGGTCTTTGAGGAGTGGACTGTTAGGATGAAGGACAAGAATAGCAAAATTGACATTTGATTTGATTGTTGAGACTACATGTAAGTTAAGATTAAGATTAAGAAACAAATCCAACCATGGGGATGTTTCCAGGCGGTCTTCATCCAAGCGGTAACATACAAAAGACCATCGATATCGTGATCTTTTGTACCAAACCAAGTGAACGAAGGCGCAACAATGTTTTCCTTCAGTATACCCGATGGCATACTCAACTCCACCAAACCACCTCGACCTGCAACCAAGATGATCAAACATAGACCATGGTGATAATCATGATCCAACTTGTCAATCACCCAGGCACATTGAGCAACACAATACCCATCGAGCATTTTGAATCGAATAGCTCCAGTGTCATGCAACTGAAACAGCATCCGCACTTGCAAAACACCCAACCCCGGAAAAAGAAAAACGAAAAACGAAAACAAAGCAAATAATCAAAAGACGCCAGCAAGTGAATAAGCAGTAACATCTCACCGCTGCAGCCATTCACGAGATCCATAACCTGTCTCACCAAGCTCTGCCAAAGCAACTTCGCAAAGATTATCGTATAATCAGTCCCCTTCCAGAGACTATGCTTCGACCGAATACCAATCCTCCAATCCTCTTCCCTGAGCCGCTTAATGCGCTGCGCCTTAGTCTCAACCCGAATAAGATTTCCATACTCATCGATATTAGGCCCCTCAATCACAGGAGGTTCGTCAGGTTCACCGGAATCGGGGTTAGACTTAACGGGAGAAAAAGTCCAGAAAGAGGCAGAGCGGGCCATAGTTGTGTTGCGAGAGCGACGGGCCTGCTGCAGGTCCGAAACGTGCTTGATCTGTTTGCGGAGCCCGGTCACATCGGCGGGAATGTGCTCACGGAGCCACTTAACGGCGTTGTTGAACTGATTGATCTGGGCGGCCCGCTCGGCGCTGACAGGTGCGGTGGAAGGCTTTCTAGACCGCAAAGAGGGTGACTTAGTGCTTTTCTGCTCTGGCGAGCCTGCGCAGCTGGCGAAGGGCGAACTGAGGGAGGGGATCTTCTTTCTCATAACGGGGGTGGGCGTCGGTGGAGGCATGGTCATGGGCGAAGGGAGGAGGGGACTCGGACGCTTTGGCTGCGGTGCTATGAATGAAGAGCTCGTCTCCTCTGTGTTAGTATTCAGACCTCCGGATGGGATTATCTTCAAGGGTAGTCGGGGAGGGCGAGCTCGGACGGGTCGATTCACCTCAGTCTTGGACGTCTCTTGCTCTGAACCTCCGCATATTACCATTGCAGAACTGATGCACATGTGCACCTCGCCGGAGCTCTTCCGGATTGAAAGTGGGGATGGAATGAGCTCGCTACGCTTTGCTGGATCTTCAAGTCCAGCTGGGAACCTGATCGGAGACAGACGCACTGGTGGCCGCTTTGGAGCAAGTTTTGGCGGCGCGCGTGTCACAAAAGGGTCGTCGGCTCCCGCGATAATAGAGTTATCAATCATCCGGGCGATATTTCGGACGATAGATCCCCCGTTGGGAAGCCCATCTCTGGAACTATTGAAAGAGACTAATTGGTCTCTCGGAGCTGGGCGAGCAGGAACGCTGCGTGGTGGAGGAGGGGGCTCACGGGTCGGACGCGGGATATGAAAAACTGGGGGAGGAGCGTCGTAGTCAAGACGCGAGGCTTCTCGAGCACTAGGAGGCGGTGTGACACAGAACGCAGTGGTAATAGACGAGTGGGAAGAGGGAGAGGGAGAAGGGACAGGCGAAGGAGGAGTGTGAGCCAGCCTAGCATTATGAGCTGATAGATTCTGAACTGACAAAGCTTCAGCATTTGGACGAGGACTAGAACTAGGAGGGACACCATGGCCCGGCGAAAGTGCGGGGCTCCACACGACAGTGGTCAAAGAAGACCGAGGAGACGAGTCGGGTGAATGAAGAAAGGTAACTGGCGAGTATGTCTGGTTGGGATTCAGAACCGGCGGCGGGATAGTAGCTGGCAAAGACTCGTAGGCAGTCTGAAACCGCTCCATAGCAGAAGTCAGAAGCGGGACTTTGACAGCTGAAAAGATGTGAGCTGCTCGTCCCATATACTCATATGAGGTGGCTGCATAATAGTGGAGGTAGGTCGCACGGATCGGATGGAGCTATGTATAAACCCCGTTAGCAATCGGAGTTCGAGATAAGATCTGTGAAATACAAACCGGACTAGACGCGGTGTCTATGAGCTGGTTGCAACGCAAGGCACATTGTTTGTATTGCTGGTTGAAACATAGCCATTTCACATCGGCCAGGGCTCTCTTCCATTCGTAGGAATTTTGCGGAGGAGAGAAGACACCAAAGGGCAACGAGGCCTCTGGTGACATTTCTGCGGTATGTGAAGAGGAATAAAAAGTCATTTTGGAAGCAGAGGGAATAAGTGAATGAACGAGGAAGAAGAGATGAAACACGAGATGGAATGAAGGAGGAAGAGACGAAACATGAGATGAGATGTGAGAAGAAGAAGAAGAAGAAGAAGAAGAAGAAGAAGAAGAAGAAGAAGAAGAAGAAGAGACGAAAGACTGGACCTGGGCACTTGAGGTGCCAACCCAGAGTTTGCCAGGCAAGTCCAGTGTTCCTGGTGCTTTGATTCCTCAAGTTTGCCCCTGCTGCCTATGTATGCTTCTACCTCCTTCAGTCATGTCTACCAGGTTTGACCAGCCTCTAGGACGCTCAAGGTTACAGGCATATCTCCAAGTATCTTTACGGGCATCAAATGAAGTACATCTTTGCCTCTAGCAGCCACCTGGGCATGAAGCAGTGACTACATAATCATCCTTCGTGGAAATCTGCGTAAGAAGTGAACATAACATGTATCTCATTAATCCCACATATCTGGGCCTCCTTAAATGGCCTTCGAGTAAGGATATTTGTCAGTAATAATATCACACAAGCCGATGCTGGTCTTCTAGACCTGCTCAACAACCTGAACATCATTCATCTCATATTTGAACTCGGCCCGTGACAATGCCTCACCAGTCGCCGAAAGCGACTCTAGGAAATCACCCAGTAAACGGTCAAGTTCTGCTATCACCACACCATCATCCATACCTTCCATCAGACTCGCCGCACTCGGGGGATTGAGAGCCGGGAAGGGGATTGGTCCCTCATCTTCTGCCTGTAACATGGGGACTTCAGATACATCGTGTCGTACATTTCGTATAGTTTCAAACACAGGAGAACCCGGTTCTGAGACCGGACCCGAAGTCACCGAAGAAGCAGTGGGGGTTTGGGGAACTGGAACGGCCGTAGGTAAAGCTGTCATACTATCTTCGTACGAGGAAGTCCTGGAGTGCGCCTTCCATTCAGGGTGAGATTCTTCGTCTGGCCCGGGGCCATCGAGAATCCCGGAAGCCTCATATTCATTATAACCGGCCAATTCCATCATCGCGGGGAGCTCTGTGTCGAAGAAATGGCTGTGATGGAGCGAATTTGCGCCCTGTGGGGTGGTGGGGCGATCGAAGCGGAAGGGATCGTAATCTGAATCGGAGGTATTCGATGCCGAAGTCGAAGGACGTGAGTCACCTGGTTCATCTGTTGACAGTGGCTGCGACTGCGGCGGAGGCTGAACCTCAGGCAGAGGAGCCCGGAGGGTGTCATGTCGGTCATCGTAGCTTTGACTCTCGGGCACGGATCCCATGACTGGGAATGTCCACTGCATGGTGGCTCGCTTCTCAGCCTGGAAAGACTCCTCCGTTATGGGCTCCTGTGCAAGAACCTCCTCCTCTTCTTCTTCCGGTTGTTCCTCTTCATCTTGTGTGAACGACGGGAATTTCCAGTCCATGGTGGGAGGTCGAGGGCCAGACGGTACGAATGTGTCTTCGAGGTTTTCATCTTCATCCACGCTGCTACCAGACGACTTTGAGCTATTCTCAGAGGAGGTCCTGTTCAATCGAAGACTGGAACGGTTTGCGCGGATAGTGTTTGCATCGACCAATTGGAAAGGCTGCGCAGATGGAGCTCCTGCTGCGTAGTGTGAGGCCTCGAATGACCCGATGTCGATATCGAGAAAAGTTGATGTGACAGAGGAGCGGTCTGTTTCCGCACGGAGGGGGAGATCTGAAGTGGGCTGGGCGGGTTCGATGGGGACAAAGTCATTTTTTGTTTCGTATTTGTAGCTGGGCTTTTCCTCATCAAACAGGCCTTCCATTGCCACAGCGCCTCGACGCACACGTTCATCGAAATTGGCCTTATCTTCATAGTTGAGATCGTCCTCCGAAAACTGTTCGTACATGTCCTGCTCAGGCATTGTGTCGGTAGGACTGATTGACTGCTCCATCTCCGCCAGCGAGGCGGCAATTTCATCCAGGTCAATGACAGAGAATCTTCGCTCGAACCCATCTGTTGTACTGAAATTCCAGTCATCTTCTGACTCCTCGATGCCTGGGAGTTCAGCTGCCGCGGCGCCGCCTGGGTGGAACAAAGAAATCCGCTGGCCTCCTCGCTGTGACCACTGGTAGTAGTTTCTTACCAACTCACCCACAGAGGCGGTCGGGTATTCCTCATCCGTATCGGCAATGTAGGGGTGGGCAAGGATGTCTGCCATCGTGGGGCGAGTGTCTGGATTGGAGTCAAGGGCGTAGGCAATAAGATCCTTCAGGCCTTGGCTGTACTTATCGCTGTCCAGCTGGGGAGTCTTGCGATTTAGTTGGCGACCGATTTGCATTCGTTCTCGCAGGCCTGCGTTTGGCGGGTTCCCGTTCGCGAATTCAAACAGTGTGCACCCATACGCCCACACATCAATCTCATTCCCGTATTGATGGGCCTCTCCACGAGTTGCAAACATCTCTGGCGGCATCCAGTGTGGTGTTCCAATCCAAGTGGATCGTTTGTCTCGCTGTGATTGGAGAACACCAGCAACACCGAAGTCACAGATTTCTAGACGACCCTCTTCATGAACAAGAATATTTGCAGCTTTCACATCGCGATGAATAATTCCAGCTTCGTGAATAGCATGAAGTCCAACAGCCAGCTCACGAGCGATTGGTATGATGTATTTCTCATCGAGCTTGTCGTTTGTTGCACGCATCAAGGTACGGACACTGCCACCGGGACAGTACTCACAAACCAGCCACAACTGGGAGTGAATGGAAATGGCTTCAATGATTTCGTTGATGTTTTTGGCACCAGAATCCTTCACTTGCTTCATCACCTTTGTTTCATGGATGAAATCTTTTATCGACTCGTCTCTGAAATCTCGAAGCGACTTGTAGTCTAGCGAGTCAATATCTAGAACTTTGATGGCAACCAGCCGACCCGATGGTTTTTGGTGACCCTTGTAAACGCGACCATAAGCACCTTTGCCTATCAACTCTTCAAACTCGTATGGTGGAACCTCGGTTTTCGCACGACGACACATCTCTTGGACGGCCACCCCTTGTTCACGGGCTAGCTTGATTGCTTCCGCCTTGTGTTTGGTGATGGCCGCCATTGCAGAGGACGGGTCCAGGAGACGGGATGTTCGAGAATCCATTGTGAGTGAGGATAAGCTTGAAATGAGACAGGTGTGAAGTGAGATAGCTGTAAGAATGAGACAGGTATAAAAGTGAGCAAGGAGGAGAGATAAAGATGGGGGCTAGGTGAGATGCGTTTGAAGGTAGTGTAAAGATATGCGGGTCCTCTGGTCCGGAGTTAATGATTGAGTGCGGATGGAGTGCGTTTGGGGGTGTGACAAAGCAGCTGTTTGACCTTTTTGACAAAACGCTTCAAGATTCTCTTGCGTTTTGGTGTGCCCCTTTTTCCAGAGGTGAAAGAGATTGTCGACGGACGAGTAGAGATGCGAAGAGGTGTCTTTTGGTAATATCGAGGGGAACCTGTAGGTGGAGGGCACCCTTCGAAGATAGTGCGGAAGGATTGCTGCCTTCTAATCACGTAGCTGATCGGACGAACTCGCGAGGAGTATTCAGGGAAAATGGTGTAGGTGTACCGATTTGCCCGCTCCTGAGCCTGGTGGGAGCTTTCAAGATCCACTTGTTGTCCCTCGTGATAGTCAATGGGAAGACGTAACTCTCTAAAAGAGACGCTGGGGGACAGGGAAGGGATCTGAGGGGAAACGTTCCGAGTGTTGACGATAGTTGAAGTCTCGTCGAAAGGCGGCGGGGAGATTCCAGAAGAAGTAGTTGAGGTATTCCCTAGCCCACTTGTGTCGAGTGCAGATGTATCACCTTTGGCACAAATGCTGGAAGAATATTGCTCTCCGATCGGGTTACTGTCCCCCAAATCTTCGGAGAATCGGGAAATCCGAGGTAGGCTGGTCACAGGTTTGATCTGACTGTTGGCGATCGTCGATGTATTAGCCTGGGCACTGTCTTTCGGTGGCACTCGTTGGGTGTCAGAATAAACGTGGGGGAAACTTTGCTCCCTGACCGTTTGATTGCGACCGGGAGGTCTTGGGAATGATTCAAGTAGCCGCTCAAAGCTCCCAGGGTGATTTAAAGTCCTCGGGTTTTGGGATGTTTCGCAATTGCCTTGGGTTCCAGGGGTCTCGTTGAGGTTATCAACAGAGTCGGGTGGCTCACCTATTTCGCTCTCATAGACTGATGGGCTTGGGGGTTCAACAGACCCAGGGCGTGCAATGTTCTCCGATGCCTTAGGGTGTTCAGGAAGCCCAGGGGACTCGAGGCAGGGAGGCTCGCCGTCTGTTGCAAGCTGATGGAGTAACTCGGAGAACAGAGATTCTGAATCGGTGCCAATGAGGGAAGTCCACTCTTCTTCGTAGTGAACCAGATCTCTGCCTTCTAAACCTTCGCGAAAGTCACTAGGACGACGGTGGGTGGATTGTAGACGAAAATGATTGGCGCGTTCACTAGGCGGTAGGTTAGTTAGGGAAATCCACCCAGTAAACGGAGGAATATCTTGCCAGAGCCTAGCAGATGCAAGTCTGCGAGCAATGCTGGTGGAACTGAGTTGGCAAGATTGATTTCGGCTGTGACTGGCCTCTAGGTCTGCACCAGGAAGCCCAGCAAATGGGTCGGATGAGCCGAAAAGACGAAGCAAGAATTGGTGCTCGCTTGGAGGAAACCCGAGCTCCTCAATTAGGTTGTAGAGACTGGGAGACTCGTTAGCCATTCCGCCTTTAGAATTCCATAGACGGTATATCAATCGAGCCCGGGGTGAATTTAACGAAGGGAGAAGCGTAGAGGGGATGAAAGCAATAGTGTCGCGTCAATATTTTGGAACCTACCTGGTCGCTTATTTAATCGAACGACGAGTCACCACAGAACATCCGAAAATCCATGTAATCGCGTAGACACGCCGAGCCTTTCCATTTGCCCTTCCAATATGGAATGCTTCGTAGGGGCAAGCGGGCCTTGACGGTGAGCTAAGGCAGAGATGAATATTTTAGAGCCACAGTCTGATTCACACACAGCTTTCCACTGGTATAGTACAAGACTCGAGGCGTGTGGATATGTTGAAGAACAGGGCGATGAAGACTGCCAGATGTCGTTGGCGATATTGTGGCACGTGATATATACACCCTTATCGTGATCTTGAGGAACTGACCGCTTTGTCTTATTAGGACTTCCAAGGTTGGAATTCTGACCGCCATTAGGATATGCCTTCAGAATAGCCCATCAGGACTGGAATTTCAGTTCTTACGAAGGATATCGGTAAGGGCCAGCGTAGAAGACTTCACATTTCACCGGACTGTTGTTACTGTTCGATGATTCCAAGGTTAAGGGTGTCCACGGGTGACCCCTGTGGGATCAGATCTTATCGCTTATCGTGAAGGCTTATCGCTTGTTTCTTTCTGGTTGTTCCCGTGCAAATCCCCGGGCCATGTCCCGATGATATGACATGAGATTATTGTTCAACAGAAACAGTACAGCCAGTGTGCCCTATAGGGCCAGTCATATCATCCATGATATAGAAAGGCTGAGAGATGATGCAAGGGATAGACCTAGGAAATTCACGATAGCCCCTACAAACAGGGACCTGTTAGGCCGACAAACAGTTGTGTTAGATGACACAAATAAGCCTATATGTAGACATGTAGTCTTCAGAGATCGCCACAAACTTATTGACCGCTCGGTTTCTGCAAACCCACTTATCCCAATAATATGGTATGTTAGAAGAGCCAGCCCGAGGATTGTTAGCTGGCATTAGATCACGATAGAAAGCCCGAGTTAAATCCATTGTTTCGAGAGAGAAGCTCACATCCAGTCCCGCATAAAACAGAATGGCCAGATTTGCATATCCACAGATATGGTCATCACCTCAAGTGCCATCGCTCCTACTCTGGAAGCCAAGATTCTGTCTTGGTGCAAAAGATCGTCCACGCCTCTACAGTAATCTCGCCGGCTGCCAAATCCAAGCTGGAGATGCTCGTGGCAGATGCCCAAGCCAGGGAGTGAAGATTTATACCAGCCCGGTTCCATCCACCTCACTTTCGTCCCAGGAATTTCTCCCGACTGTCATTACAGGCCTCACCAAGGAAATGGTTTCCACGAGACAGAATCGTTCGGGCCGGTTGTCGGCATTGTAACGGTTGAGTCTGAAGCCCAGATCATTGAGATCGCTGAGCAGGCCAATTATGGGCTACCAGCCTCTATCATCTCCAGCAACCACTATCGCGCCCTCAAGTTGTCCGAGTCTATCAAGGCTTGAGCTATTCACATCAACTCGATGACTGTGCACGATGAGCCAACTCTGCCTCATGGAGGATATGGAGAAAGTGGCTGGGGTCGATTTGGGTCTCAGTGGGGAATGGAGGAATTCATGCAAACCAAGACTGTCACATTACATCCATAGAAACATGTGATATAAATCTGGCAGTGCGACAATGTATGGGTAACCTCAGTGATATTGAACTCTCTTGTTAATTAACTAAAATGATATAAATGAGAATTTCAACTGACAATTTGACTAAACATACTAAGCACTTTTGTGTGGCATTCGCCAATCCAATGTCATATGATTTTCTGGGTAGAACATCCTGTATTCAACCATGCTATTCGACAACATCGTATTAATTTGGGAAGCATTGTTTTTCACTACGTTTTCCACTGTCACTAGATTTGTCATTGACAGGAACCTTATGCTAAATAAGGAGGATCAGAATAGGAGATAAACAAAAACAAAACGATATAGGAAATACGTAAAAGCGACTTTATGGTCCGGTAACTATCTTATCAATGCAAGATGAGCGACCAACATGGATATAACAAATAGAGCCCGGCACATCTGGAAGCAACGGCGATGTAATACCTCGGCGAATTGGCGAATTGTGGACAATTTGAGATGATTCGAAAATAAAATCAACCCCAACGTATAGTATAGAAGACCTCCCGAGATCGTTCCAGTCAGCCTATGTTGCTAGTGAATCTCCTTTATGATTTATGAGCAATTAGATCGTGCTGATTAATTCTTGTTACAGGTAGATCTTGAGGGCCGAAGACAGTCTAGTATAGTATGAAGACCACTATTCACTACTAACAGCATAGAGAAAAGGGTATCTAGGGCCTTGCCCCTAATTCTGAATCTAATGATATCGAAGTCCTTGGTATGGTCTACAACTTTCGGTCAGAATAAATCACTGATTAAATAGGGGATGGTCGGGTCAATCTTGGCATGCGACACGTGTGGCATGTATCACAGCAAATGCCCCTGCTGAAAGACCGGGCGAGGGACATTAGAGGTAATGTCAGTGTGGAGCCACTGTATATGAACATAGTAATTTAGAGGCCACATACTAGAATATCAATTCCCTCTAGGCCCTAGGCAACCACACACTTGCAGTTAAGCCCGGTAAAATCACTAACTATTCATCACTAGTTGTACACGGTAGAGCTGGTTTGTAGGATATGTGCTTTGGACAGGTCTTCGTAGTACTGTTCATAGCTCCTAGTAGTTATAATAATCCTTCTGGTCACGACGCTGTATATTATAGACTAAGCACTTGGTGGATGCTGTAAATGCCATCTTAAAAAAGGCTGGTGAAAATCGGGTTGTTAGCCACAACTAGGCGTACCGCTTCCTTATAAGACTACCCCCCAGGCTCAAATATATCACCTAAAAACCAAAGGAAAAATCGAGGGTAGAGAGTGAAGATTACGGTGCTTTACTTCCCTAGTTTAATCACCTCTCTACGGTGGTTAAAAAGTATCAATTCCTACCGTATAAGATTTACAATTAGGATAAAACCGGCTACCGAATTGGCTAAGGGAAGTAACGTAAGGTTATTACCTCTCGTACAACTAGCGATATCCCTACCGGTGGTTAGTAAGAGTCAATTACCGGCATTGAATGTATTGCTACCGATGGCTGGTTAATGCTACAATAGTTCCTACCTAAGGGTAGTTTACATATAGAGGAGTGGTATAAAAATATCACTACCCCCAATTTTCGAATTAAACTAACGCTAAATAGTTAGATTGACGATGAAACTGCACTTCAATAGCTCTTCTCTTTTTATAAAGCTACTATTAATTGGGTTAAAAAAGGCAGGCCAAGGCTACTTTTAATAGATAACTATGGTTCTTATACAACCTTTGGATTCGCCGATTTTTGTATATAAAAAAACATCATTCCACACTACTTTTTACCCTATACCACCTACCTATGCTAGCCGCTAGATAGTTAAGCCTTTTAAAGCTTAAAACACCATTTCCGTACGGCAAATAACGAGATCGTTTTATAGGGTGGAAGTGTATGTAAAAAGCGAGATTTTTTCCGGATTATCTAGGATATTAGAGAGCAAGCTTTTATATAGAGAACGATCCGATCTTTATTTAGATCTAGAGGTTGTTCTTACTCCTCTACGCTAGAGAGATCTCGAAGCTGAAGGGTCCCCCCTTAGGGGTTTCACGCCATCCCCCCCCCCCCCCCCCCCCCCGGGGACTTTATACGCTCAGTCACCAATTCACCACCAGATATAATTGAGCGGGTCAAAAAGCTTAATACTAAGCTGATTAATGATCTGGAGAGAATTTAGCATCTATCTAAGAGCGTATAAAGGCATATTCAACGAAGTATAGATGCAAATACGCTTTTATCTCAAGACCTTGAATTAATAAAGGCATTCTTGAAGAAGTCTCAGTCCCACAAATCAACTGCAAATACGCCAAAAAATGGGAAAGCGCTTCTTGGGACTAAAGGCAGTATTCTATCACCTACATGTGCAAATAGGATAATGGTAAAAAGACAGGATGCCGATACTAAGAAGTTGAAGCGGTTACAGGCAAGGCATGCCAAGGAATTAGAAGCTCAGCAGCGAGTTCAGGAAGCTAGGGATTTAGCTAAAGCTGAGCATGAAGCTTTAATGGCGGCAAGAGATAGTAATGGTGCAAATTGGTATAGAGATAGTCATGGTGGTTACATGTAAATAGTATTTTCATAGTTGAACAATTGAAAATCTTGCATCTGGTGGGGCGCACCAACACCCAGTACGGGTGGTTGGGCGCTTGGCACGGTTACGTGAGGGCAAACCGAAGATCTCCTGTTCCTCGGGGGTCCCATAGACCCTGAAATCGTTGACACCGATTTGAAAACTCGACGCAAACGTATAAGTTCTTCTCAGGGTTGGAGACTCGCGAAGAAGAGAGGAAATCACCATCATACAACACCCTGGTTGGATGGCTGGTACATAGTGTCCATGATTATGTTCACAGCCAATTGGGTTTGATTTACTGCAAGCAAAACCCAATCTTTGCCAGATTGGTCCAAGTTTTGCACCAACGTGATCGAATCGGAATTTCCAGCTAGACAAGCCAGCCAAGCCTCACGGCGGCTAGATGGTGCCAGGATGCCGTCCATCCAGCTTATTACCGGGCTTTGTTTCAGGACTTGAATCGTACCAATCATAGCTGAACGCGTTGTGAATCGAAAGCTATGACTTCTTATATTGACTCCCTCTCGCTTAAGCCACAGATGGGCTAGTCGATTGTTGTTGTAGCTGAGGTGATCAAAAATGAAAGACGCAAATATTACCGCAAGGAGTGCTACTCCATCCCAGCCCTTCTGCGCTGCGACGTATGTCACCGCAAGAAGTTGGAGAACTCCTAAGAAACGAAGGAGAACTGGTAGGATCCAACCGAGAGGCGAGCTAACAGACTCTATCATCGGTTTGTTGAGAAGGGTATCTATTACCGCTCGCGATCCTTTATATAGGTACCAGGTTGAGGCATTCTCATGAATTGCAGCAAGCATACAGCTATCAGCTGTTGGCCCTTCATTGTTGTAGAGATAGCCAGGTGGCCGCCTAACCTGCACCAGCTGACATAGAACTTGGAATGCAAAGGCGATAAAAATACAAGTCGCCGTTCCATATAACCCGAAAAGTACTGTCAAGATGCAGAAGCCGAGGAGAGCAAGGAGCAGTAGAACTTTCCCAACACGTAAAATAGCTGTTGATTGCAATAAGGACGTGGTGTTATAGATATCGCGTTTTGGTGTATGAGAAAAATCTAGGATATGGAGTGTCTGGAGATTGCGATATCGATTCTCCGTATGTTCACTCACGATCGGGATCTTCTCAGAGGCGATATCCTGAATTGAGGTAAGGTTGGTCACGAGCTGTACCTGCGGGATTTCGGTAAAGTGACCAGCGGAGAGCGTGTGCTTTGATATAATCTCACTAGCCGCCCCGTTCGCGCATGTAAAGACACTGCCCCAGTTGGCATCCCATATCGTTCTTCGCAGTTCGCTGATCGAACTTGCGCGATCGAAAAAGTCAAAACGATCGTTCAGGAGGGATGCGATATGGTTCAGCACACCTAGAGGTGGGAAAAAGCTGACGCCAAGAGACCCAAGAAGTGAGACTCGACCGACAAGCTGATAAGTGAGCTGACTACTAGCCAGATAGATGGTGAGGGGTAGCAGAGCAACCCATTCGAAAATGATTGCGAGTCCGGCGGTTGAAACGGGAAGCACTGGCGGGTGGGTATCATTGGTGCCGTATGAGGCGGAGTCACGGTCTACCATCGGAATAGCTCGAAGCACGTATGATTGACTCTCTGGGTTGATAGGTGGTTGTCAAAGGATCTAGAAATATGTCATAGTATAGGATGCAAGGAAAACGAACAAAATGAATAAGTGATAAAAGAACGGGGTTCGCGTCAGCCAGTTACTGAGTGGGCGACTACGTACAGCACAGCCCATGTTGTGCGAACTGCGGTCTGCTACGCTAGGCCGAAATAAAGATACACCCACTGTCAAGCCCACGAAAATACAACCTGAATTGCAGAAGTACTAAGAAACCATAGGATCGGGCCGTTCCGATCCAAGAATAGTGAGTGCAACACTTATTTTCGTCTCCAGGAAAGGTACAAGGGTACAGAAGTCAATGGGCCGATGAACACGACGTACACAATTGGTATTTGACAAGTGTAAATGACTACGTTGCAGAGCACCACTTGGCCAGCAAAGCAACCCTGTGATGTCACTCGACGGACGATGCACGATACACTCCCATGCTAGTGGATTCGCCTCGGGCGCAAACTTGAGGGAAGCCGATGTTTGTGCTTGATATCCCAGACACACTTATACGGTCGGAAACAAACTGCACTATGAAGGAAAGGGAACTACTCGCTATTTTCGATGCAATCGACAAATAGTTCTCACTTGTGGAAATATCACCTGGAATACATGTCAAACTGATCACGCACACGAGCTTGAAGAATCCCAGCACAAACGGTGAATCAACAGTTAAAAGACGCCTTGCGAGGCAGCTCCCTTCGACGTGGCAATATCTGCCTGGTCAGCCTAAAGCTCCTCTGCAGCCTTAGTTCGAGGGTTGCCTGAAGAGTCGACTAATCAACAGCGCTGAGGGATGCAATCATCATTCTTTAGCCGCCGAGGCTGAAACGTAGATACTTTTAGTGGACTCCCGAGCAATAAAATTCAAAATACACAGATTTTAGTCAATGAAAAAGGATACAAAAGAGCCAATACCGAAAGCCACCGTATTTTGTAAAGTAATTGGGTGGCTGTTGAGATGCAGTCTGTCCAGAGTTTGGAGAGAATCATCTCAACGACTGGAGTACATAAGTACGTACTTTGGTTCCCTGGCTGTTAATCGGCTGACTCGCTCCATTTCTATTAACTACCTAACTATCTTAATCATCGGCATCTTCCTTAATCCATATTTCTCTCTACGATCAGTCCAACCTATACCGAACCCATCCCATTTCACAATGCGATTATTGAACACGACGACATACGGACTAGTTGAGTATGCTCAAATCAAGAAGAACGACAGGGAATATGTCATTCTGTCACACACATGGCTAGAGAAGCATGAAGAGGAAGTCACATATAGAGATATGGAATGCAATCTTGAGGGACTCAGAAGAGGTACATACAAACAGACCGGTTGGCGCAAATTGACCGACTTTTGCAAATTTGCTGCAAATCGTGGACACAAATGGGCTTGGATGGACACATGCTGCATCAACAAGGCAGACGCCATGGAGACCCAAGCTTCCATTCACGGAATGTACGAGTTTTATGCCGAGGCCCTGGTTTGCTATGCCTACCTTGCGGATGTCAGCGTTGAGGGCGGTCGCGATCAATACAAGGCCAAACTAAAGGGCTCAAGATGGTTCACCAGAGGATGGACGCTTCAGGAATTGATAGCGCCCAATATTTTGGTCTATTTAGACCAAGAATGGCGGCATATAGGAACTCGGGAGACCTTTAGTGATATCCCAGGGCTGAATCGCTCATTTCAGCGCTTCCTGCAACTGCGCATCACTTCGGTGGCCAGTCAAAAATCATCGCTCGCATACAACTTGGCGACAAGAATGTCGTGGGCAGCTCAAAGGCGAACAATGAGACCGGAAGACGAGGCATATTCAATTTGCGGATTGCTGCGGATAAAATTACCTGTGAGATATGGGGATGAAGATACGACGATGGCATTTCTCCGCCTCCAACTGGCACTGATCGAAATGTACCATGATCTTTCCATCCTTGCCTGGTTTAGTAACCCAGGTACGCTCCTGCCCATGATGGCTTTGTGGGCCACTTTATAAATGCTGATAATGGATCATACAGAGACTCGGAAACGGTACGAGAAACGTCACCCCAGCAAACAATTAGAGCTGGGTATCCTAGCACCAAGCATCGGATTTTTCCCTAAAGTACCACGAGGCTGGGATCTAGCTACGACACCCAGTGATTGTGGTATATCCATCGATTCTGATTGCTTGCATGTTAGAACGACAATTTTCAAGTTGGAAACCGCAATCCAGCCATCCGGTGTGGAGTTGCCTACACAAATGTTGCTTGTGGAATTACACCTTCACAGCGAGAGTTCGAGAGACAGGGTTGGGATAGTTGTTGTTCAGTCGCATTCAAGAAAAGATCATTACGTAAGAAAATTCCACGAACTTGGATTATTTCGCTTCAACCACGACAAGGATAACACATATCGCGGATTCTTTGGTCGTCTTGGATGGCGATGGACTAATCAACCGTGGTACAAGGCTAATTGGATTGGTATCAAATCTATCAGCATTGATTATCATTAATCGATATTGCCAACGTTTATTAAAAATATAATTGATTATTCTTCTGCATACAGGGCTCACAGGACCCGCTTCAGTATTACATCATGTAACATATTTGGCTGGTTCGATATCTATGATTAGACTATCAATCAGCTCCATGCCAGAAGCAAGCTAGACAACTGATGTCATTAGATCTTGCCCGTTCAATTTAAGACAGCTGCGGTCCCCAAATCCTGGCGCCTTGGGGTGCTCAGCAGCATAGACTTTTGCGATATTTCAAGGGTTTTTTTCTTCTTTGTTGAATTAGAATAGCAGGCTGGAATAATGCAGCATGAAGGAGCTATCTTGATCTACTTGAACTGAAAGGTATAGGTGAGAATCAAATAAGTGAATTTGTCTAACCCAGGTAAAAAACTGGGGAAAAAAGGGATACTCTTTAAATACATGCATGGGAACCAGTTTACTGTGCTAATGGCGTAGAAACCTCTGTCGTTCAGGGGTAATCGACACGTATATCGATTCCTATTGGTTTATCCATGTAGGACAACAACCAGGCCAGAATCGTGGGTTTTAGCGAATCACTTCGGGGATTGAATTCCCAAGAGAATAGAAGTAAGGGTAATTCTCAACACAATTATATTAAAAATTATCTCCTTGACCATTGTGTACATATCTTTGTTACATAACAAATCGTTTCAACAGAATTTTAGAAAACGCCACAAAACACTTAGCACCTGCTAGATGTTTCTTGGGTAAGTTGACAAAAATCAGTGACCAGTATTGTATGGGTTCCGGAATGGTGATATCCAACTCTCTAACTAACTAAACTATGAAATTGGCAATTTTGTAGGACATGCTGACAAATAGTAATATGCACGTTTATGTGAGGTGTCTGATATTGATGTCGTAAGATATTCTGGGTAAATACCCAGAAATTCACATGCAGATCCACCATATTTCTGACATAAGCTATAAACAGGCATTGCCTTCGTGTTCTGGACGCAGTATTGATTATACACCATTTAAACAGCGTCAAGCAGTACAGTACTGTAGTGATTATTGTTTCCTTCAGTCTCTACCCTATGTAGAGAATGTATTACTTTCGGCTATGCCTCTCGGCAAGATCATGTTCTAAAGATGGATTGTACCTAGCCTTTAGTCCCAGATAGCCTGTAGATAGTTTCTTCCTCTCTCCACGCATTTAGAGATTTTTCCAGAGTTATCTACTATTCTTCATCGTAGATTTCTAGACTCTCTCTCAAAATCATTTTATTAATATAGCTTAATAGAGCTATATAGATGTTCCCGGTGTTTCCCCGGCCATCCCGCAGTGGGTTCACCTCGGGTAGCCGGCCCGGATTCTTCGGATTCTCCGGGGATCTGTTCCAACTTCCTGTTCCTCTGTTCCTGGGGCCAATCGCATGATGTGAAAATGAAATGTATTTCAATATTGATCGATCCTCTTCAATCTCCGAGAAAAGGTCTGACTTTGATCACGTCGCTTAGAGATTGTTTTCTAGTCAAAATTAATAAAAATGGCATCCCCTGCTCCCCAGCATTTTCCTAACCGTCCTCAATTCTCGGACTTCATGAAGCCATGCCGATTTGAGGGCGAGGTTCAAAACTTGGAGGTGCATGGGGATCTTCCCAATGACATCGACGGTACTTTCTACCGTGTCATGCCTGATCCTCAATTGCCTCCTTTCATCGACAATGATCCAGTATGTATCCGCCTAATTTTTCTATTTCACTTTCTTTTTTTGGTGCCGCCCTGACAACTTGATAAATTAGTGGTTCAATGGAGATGGAAATGTCAGCGCATTCCGCATCAACAACGGTTCTGTGGCCTTCCAACAAAAATATGTTCGCACCGAGAAGTTTGTACGCGAGAGGGAAGTCAGCCGCGCGCTCATTGGTACGGATTTCCAACATGGCACCTATCTTCCACTTTAGGTACATTATAGATCGGGCTATTAACAGCTATTTCCAATTAGGAAAATATCGAAACAAGTTCACCGATGCGGTGGAATTCACCGTTAGAAGTACTGCCAATACCAATGTTGTCAGCTTCAACGGCCAGATCTTGGCTCTCAAGGAGGATTCCCCCCATATGCGATGGATCCGGAGACTCTGGAAACAAGGGGCTTGTATACCTTTAATGGCCAGCTTCCCAGCGTGACTTTCACTGCCCATCCTAAGACCGATCCAGTGACTGGAGAATTGATCTGTTTCGGTTACGAAGCCAAGGGAGACGGCAGCCCCGATATTTGCTATTACACGATTAGCCCTGACGGTAAGTTCACTCAGACAGTTTGGCTAGTGAGTCCTGTCTGTGGAATGATCCATGACTTCGCAGTGACGGAGAACTGGGTAAGTGTTGCTCTTTCATGCTCATTATTGGCACGATGTCGCCATCTAACCAAGAGTCTTTGTGTCAGGTTCTTTTTCCTGTGATTGCCCAGCTATGTGATCTTGAACGATTGAAGCAGGGCGGAGAACACTGGCAATGGAGCCCTGAAACTCCCTTCTATATCGGAGTGATCCCCCGCTACGGAGCTAAGTCTTCGGATGTTAAGGTAAGCGGATTGCTATAACCAATCTTGTCCGTTTACTATTTCCTCACACGTCATTTGCAGTGGTTTACATACAAGAATTCTTTCCCCGGCCATACCGCCAATGCCTATGAGCAAGATGACGGGAAGATTGTCTTCGATCTCGGACTCAGTGACAAGAATGTCTTCTACTGGTGGCCCGATGCACAGGGCAACTCGCCTGAGCCCAGCAAGATCCACTCTCAATTAACACGTTTTATTGTGGATCCTAACACAGAAGAAGGAGTCCTTCTCGAGCCGAAGGTTTTGCACGATGGGAATTCGGAATTTTATCGCATTGATGATCGGTTTTCCGGAAGAAAATATAGCCACAGCTACTTTGATCTCATGGACCCCCGCCTGGGAACGGACTTTGCAGCCATTGGCCCGGTCATGGGCGGTGGATATCCTCCTTATAACTCGCTGGCACATCACGACGAAAGCACGGGCAAAACGGAGGTTTACTTCCCGGGACGCACACATCTTGTGCAGGAACCCGTTTTCATTCCTCGTGCGGGCTCTACGGAGGAAGGCGATGGATACTTGCTGGCATTGGTGAACAATTATCGCACTCTGTCCAGTGAGCTGCATCTTCTCGATTGTCGGGATTTCACCAAGGCCCAGGCGACTATCTTGCTTCCTTTGAGACTCAGGGCTGGTCTGCACGGGAACTGGGTTGGGAACAACTAGCGAGTGAGTGAGGTCCAACGTTTTTGCTATTTCTTATCAAGATCAACTGTTGAATGAGAAGTTTAATCATAGACCTTCTGGAGTCCACTGTTTTCCAACGAGTTGGGTCTTCTTGGGTGTCACATTTGAGACGTGCTTCCGCGAAGGTATCCACTGCTCCGCATATGAGTACTGTACCCCGTCTGCTTCGTCTCCTTCATCTCCGTCGTTGAACTCTGGGATCCATATCTATTATGCACATCATTCTATCCATCCTGGTATTCCCACTTGAGCTCGTAACATTAAGCATTCTTTGTTTATTTTCACGTCTAATTTTGTTTTGATGGAATGAATGAGCAGAACTAGGCAGTTTAGGAAAGAGGCTTTACGCAAAGGCCCGGAGGGCTGGCTAGTAAGCTTTTGGACGCCTACGTTTGCAAGATAAGGTTTCCCCCGGGTCCAAAACGCGTGGTGCCGCCGGTAACTACGGGATAGATCCTGTCTTTCCCCGATTCTTTCCCACTCATTGAGCCGCTACATATGAACTCAACCCTCCCTATCAAAACATTGGAAGATGATTATTTGCACAGATCTTGGATAGTCTCGCGTTATTATTGTCGACGGTGAATCAAATTATGATTCCAATGACATATTTATACTATCTACCTGGACCCGCAGTTTCAACCAGCGCTTCTTCCAAGGTCCGGCCCCGAACATCAATGTGACAAGAAGGCTGACACGGGAAACCAATACAATGAAACAATTAAAAAGAGCTGATTTGAGTTCACTCCCGCTCCCAGTGTCCATAATGGTACAGTGGCACAGCCAGGACCAAGGTAAGCATGTTCAACATGAACATGATCATATAAACTTGAGTAAAGCCCTGGGAGGTAACCCAAGGAACCGCCTCGTACAGGAAAAGAAAAGCAAGAATATTTTTGAAAATATTAATGAGAACGAGACACTGGGCGGCATGTTTCTGATGGCGATGGACCACATAGGTAAGAGCGATGTTTGGTGTGTAAACTTCTCCAAATGAAACTGCTCGTTGTCAGTCATACAGAACAATGAAGGTCGAGCGAAAGAAGTAAAAAGAAGCCGCTTACCCATTCCGAACCCAAAAGCTATTGCAACCCAGTTGAGCTTGTACTGGCATGCGAAGGCGAGGAGAATACATCCGGCTGGGGCAATGAACATTCCAGGAAGCAACGAGATAAGGCGTTGCTCGGGTCTAATCTCGCCTTTGCTTTTTTTAACAATGTGAGTCGTGATGATATCGGACATATAGCCGCCACCAAAGCAGGCTACAACAAAACCGATTATCGCAGCTATCTCCATGAGACCTGTATCGCCAGACGAAAAATTATATGGTGGAGGCATAAGGAGGGTAGACATGGTAAATCTAGAAAAGAACATAAAGTAAGTACCATTCGATTGAGAAGTCCAGAAGGAAAACGTACATCATAATAATCTGCGGGCTCAGGGAACATCCATAGGCATAGATAGCCCACAGCACGGATGGATGGCGTAAGAGTAGAAGGGGGTCAACAAGGGTTTTCAAAAAACTAATACTGGGATTATATCGAATCAAAGAAAGGCGTTCCTTGAAGGGCAAGAGATGAATCGCGTACTTCGGGTTATGTGTAGAAGCGTTTTCGACAACACTGGCATTTGATTTCTCAGTTGTTTCCTCATCTCTGATGGGTTTCATTTCAATTTGACTGTCATGTTCAAAATCAGGTCGCCGGAAGTTGCTTTCTGGGCAGAAGAAGAATAGAAGGGCGAGATTAGCAGCGGCCAAGCTGACACAGAGCCAAAAGTAACTTCTCCATGTCTGGGCAGTAGATTGAACCATAAAACCGGCGATGAGAGGACCAACAGCCGTTCCCCCTGATATCAAGATAACATATCTAAAGAAGAAATAACTAAGTCAGAGAGTAAGTCAAGTGAGACACTGTTTCGGGTTGTTCTTACATGGACATCATTGTGGCCCGTTCGTGAAGGAAGAAGAGATCTGCAACTATTTCGGGAACAATGCTCTTGAGAAGAGTCGTCAGCAAGAACATAGCGAGTGTTGGGGACGCGTAAGCTCCCCTCTAAGGTAATTAATGTCTTACCTCTCCAGCGGCGGCAGCAAACCCAAGTACGATTCTGGCAGCGAGCAAGCTATCGAAGCTTTTGGCGAGTGCACACCAAATTAAAGCGCCTATCTGCAAGGCCATGGCCATCAGAAGCGATGCTCTCTTGCCCAGTTTCAAGGCAAGTGGAACCCAGAATATGTTGCCCAAACCAAGGAGAAGGAAGTTGAACTTAGGAGAGCACTATCAGCTAATCCATTTCCTTGGACGACACGGCACGCATGAAAATCAGACGAACTTACCGTCAAAAGTTGTGCCACTTGCGCCTGAGACTTTGAGAAGTCTTGCATAAAGACTTGTATAGCCACAGATGGACCAGCGCCTGCCATATTGGACACAAAATTAAACAGGGATGTCGACAGCACGACTGATATTTTCAACCAGCGTGGCCACCGGAGGGGGTCATGTTTGTGGTTAGTTGGGGGAGGAATGAGATTCATTCCTGGGCGATGCATGTTAGTGGATTTTCAACCCACTGAATTGCCAAACTGTATTTTTTGAGCCGAGTCTTTGGTAGACAGGCTAGGGGTATTTGGCAGCTTTAAATAATAGAGAAAGCCATTTCATCTAGGTCTACCTAAGATAAGAGCTGCCAAATTTCCCCACGTCGGCTCGGGTACTCCCTGGACCGGGCCGATATTCCGGGGCCCCGGGGTGGTTATCATTACGTATATAATCTTGGAACTATTGGAAAAGGCGTAATCCCCAGAGGAACAGATGGTAGCCAATAGCCTAAGTCCTTCTATCTGATAGATTATGAGCCATGGTCCCATTGGCTATGAAGAAACCATTTGTGGCTCACTCTAACTACTTTGATGGTAGCATACAAGATCGACGTGAGGGAACCAGTTCATTGTGCGTACTCAATTTTACTCTATTACAGTGCATGTGGCTGAGAAGAATTGCGAATAAAGTCACCGGCATCTTAGACTTGCGATTGAACAAGACACGGGTTTCCTGTTAGCAGTAGTTTAAATGTGTGATCGTGTCTATATGCGCACGCATGTGCTTTTTTATACCAGTGGGTCCAACAGCATTAGACACACTGTGTGGGGCGTGAAGGCCGCTTCATATAACTATCCGGTCCTTCCCCGGTTCTTCCCCTTGATCCATCCACGGACTCATCGCAGCGAATATTAATAACAGATATGTAGATTTCACGACGGGCTGAATATACTTGCGGTAATGTCACTAATCGGAAAAAGCAGTGCGATAGGTCACACTCTAAGTGTGCCATATGCATCAATTTGGAACTAGAATGCATCTACCTGCCATCTAGCACGTCGACCAACGTGGTTGTTAAGAAAGAGTATGTCTTGCCACCCTGACCAGCTCACTAGCAGAATCCTAGAGCGTCTGACTGGTCTATTGATAATAATTAAAAAAGAAAAGCTATCTACAGAATTTAGAGTCCCGTATTCGTACCCTGGAAGAGAGTCTGCACCTTTAGGGTTCATATGTCTGACTTTCCTCTACAAGTTCATAGCGGGGTTTCTGTTAAAAACACGCTCAACGCAATGCTAGAACTAGCCCAAACAGAAACCTTAGTTAACACGGCGGACATCGAAGATTTAGTGGACCCTGGTTTTTGCCGATGAAGAAGACCGCGGGTTTTTTTTGGTAAGTATCACACAAGGCCAGTTCCCTAAAGGCGGCTAGTTGCTCTTCTCCCACTAGAAGGATCTCGTTGGACGGCAGCTTTGTTAATGCATCTCACCCTCCGTCGCAAGGATTGAATGGTGATCTCATATCTAGAAAACAAAAAGAGAGGGACATCTTCGCATTTCCACCTTCTCGCGGAACTTCTCAGCTTATACGTAAATACTTCATCAACACGGGCTTTCTTTTACCCTACATCTATCCCCCCTCATTCCTTGAAACATATCGGGGTATGTCCGAAAATAATTTCAAGATTCTAAGGACCTGGCTTAGGCTGCTTAATATGATACTTGCAATAGTTAAGATTATAGATATTACCTTGAACAGTTCCACGACGTATTAAACCTACAAGGTAAGAACCTTGGAACAAAATTGATTTATTCATTTACTGAAAGATCTAGTAGGGGAAGGGGACATGTCTATTTAGGACCAGCAATTGTCTTATGGACAGCTCCGGGTCTAATACGAAAGCTTCGCCACTAGGCCTGGAAATTGATACATGTATATTGGTGAGGTTGTACAATCAAGTGTGAATGATTTTGAAGTTACGAGATTTACTACTGGTGACTTTGTATTTGTAGTATTAACGGGTTGCTGCTTTGCTATATCACACCAAAAATGCTACAAGTATTAAAACGAAAAGTTATGAACCAGATCCTGAAAAAGCACTTTGAAGTTGGCCCGAAGGAGCGATGGCAAGAGGATATTGCTCAAGGTCATATATGAGAATAGATAGCTTTGAAATCAACTGATAGCAAATACAGCCATCAATGGAATTAGATAGGCGGGGTGGTTCACTAGATTATTCGGTTGGCAAGTGGCAGCGATGTTTTTTTTTTAAGTCGCGTTCAGCTCCTGGGAGGGTGAGGAACTTAGCAAGGAAGTTTATATTCTAGATAAAAGACTCTAATCTTGTCATCTGGGATATTTCTTTTTGTAGGTTAAGAAACGCCCGCCGAATCACATGATTCCTTATTATATGGCCGGAGGGGCTGCCGGGACTGGGCACCGGAGTACTCGGGCTGGAAGAATGTCCCGGCTTATGGATTGTTTTGAGATTCACTATTTTGGTAATAGAGTCAAATATTTGATAGAATCAAGTCTTTGTTGGTTCCATTAGTTTTGCCTTGGCTACAGCTTTGCAGTTTGATTTCCTATAATAATGTAGGTGTATGGTGTATGCAGGTGGGATGATTTGATGCCTTGCTGCCTTGGCGCCTCCAAATGAGGAGTTGCCCCCCACTAATGCACGGTGCTGCACGAGCTAGTAGTGAAAATCCGATGAAAATTTGCTCGAGGGATATGTCGGAAGAGGATATTCTTTTCAATGCGATTGAATCTTTTAGACATGTCTATTTTGAATTATATGCAAATATACTAGTAGCTGTATAGCTGTACCAAACATTGAGCTCTTGAGCTGTGCATGCCCGAGGTGACAAATTTTGAAATCGCTTACTAATGTACATTGCCCCACGTTGATAGAGGGGTTTTGGGCAGTCAAGTCATTTAGAGGAACCTTGGAAAGCTAAAAAAAAAGCATGGAGTGAATCATAGGCTCTAAATTGACTCTTTTTTAGCATTTAAGAAGATCAAGGGATCATAAATATAGCTATAAAAAGAGTTTGGTACATCTTTCGGTTGTGATATGGCTGTCAAACGTCACCGGAGCACCCACGGAAGGCAAAAAAAAGTCAGCGTGAGTCAGGATATCAAAGCATGAAGGATTTGAAATCAAAAAAAAGGACGAAATGGAAAGTAAATGAGAGGAATCTAAGCAAATTAAAAAAAGAGAGAGAATAATATGTATTTTTTTCTATATGGGAAAATGTGCTAGTCAGCTCAAAACGCACAAAACCGGGAGGAGAAAAAATGTCCCCACTTTCGCTTTTCTTTTTTTTCTCTCCCACTTTCCCTTCCCCTCTTCTTCTTCTTTTCCCCTCTATCTCTGTCCCCCAGGAGCAGTTGCACATAGAACTCTTTGATTCAGTGATCGAGAATCTCGGTCCTAGTCATCTGTGTGCTCTTCTTCTTCTCTTTTTTATCCTAGTTTATCAAGGATTCAACCGCCAAAATGGTTAAGTAAGTGAAGATCTTCCGAGACACCTAAGAGAGAACATACAGCTAACAGTGATGTGAACAGCTTCACTATTGAGGAGGTCAGTATTTGCCTTTCAAGGTTTCCAAGGTTATATCAAACATTACCAGTGGAAGAAGGGAGATATATTCCCTCGATTGCTCTCCTTCCCATCCTTCCATCTCCCATCTCCCACCTCCGCTGGTGATACTTGAAAACCTTTCTCCCTTGGAAACAGAGAATCAAATCATCATGAATGTCGATACTGACCTACTTGAAGATCCGGACTCTGATGGACCGTCGGGCTAACATCCGAAACATGTCCGTCATTGCTCACGGTAAGTTCTTGCCAAGGATGAGATATGATATAGTGAAATGGCTGATTCTGACTTGGTTTCTGTGCGTTAGTCGATCACGGAAAGTCCACCCTCTCCGACTCCCTTGTCCAGCGTGCCGGTATTATTTCCGCCGCCAAGGCTGGTGAGGCTCGTTTCATGGACACCCGTCCAGATGAGCAGGATCGTTGCATTACCATCAAGTCCACCGCTATCTCCCTGTACGCCAAGTTCCCCGACCCAGAGGATCTTAAGGAGATTCCCCAGGCTGTCGATGGTGACGAGTTCCTGATCAACTTGATCGATTCCCCCGGTCACGTCGATTTCTCGTCCGAGGTCACTGCTGCTCTCCGTGTCACTGACGGTGCCCTTGTCGTTGTCGACTGTGTCTCCGGTGTCTGTGTCCAGACCGAGACTGTCCTGCGTCAGGCCCTGACCGAGCGCATCAAGCCCGTTCTGTGCATCAACAAGGTTGATCGTGCTCTTCTCGAGCTCCAGGTCTCCAAGGAGGATCTCTACCAGTCTTTCTCCCGTACTATTGAGTCCGTCAACGTCATCATCTCCACCTACTTCGACAAGGCTCTCGGTGACGTCCAGGTCTACCCCGACCAGGGTACCATCGCTTTCGGTTCCGGTCTCCACGGCTGGTGCTTCACTGTCCGCCAGTTCGCCATCAGGTACGCCAAGAAGTTCGGTGTTGACCGCAAGAAGATGCTTGAGCGTCTTTGGGGCGACAACTACTTCAACCCCAAGACCAAGAAGTGGACCAACAAGGGTGAGCACGAGGGCAAGACCCTTGAGCGTGCCTTCAACCAGTTCATTTTGGACCCCATCTTCAAGATCTTCGCCGCTGTCAACCACAACAAGCGTGACGAGATCTTCACCCTCCTCGACAAGCTCGAGGTTTCCCTCACCAACGATGAGAAGGAGCTCGAGGGCAAGGCCCTCCTCAAGCTCATCATGCGCAAGTTCCTGCCTGCCGCTGATGCCCTTCTGGAGATGATCTGTATCCACCTGCCTTCCCCCGTCACTGCCCAGAAGTACCGTGCCGAGACTCTCTACGAGGGTCCCATGGACGACAAGTCCTGCATCGGTATCCGGGACTGTGACCCCACTGCTCCTCTGATGCTCTACGTCTCCAAGATGGTGCCCACCTCCGATAAGGGTCGTTTCTACGCCTTCGGTCGTGTCTACTCCGGTACCGTCAAGTCCGGTGTCAAGGTCCGCATCCAGGGTCCCAACTACATCCCCGGCCGCAAGGAGGATCTCTTCATCAAGGCCATCCAGCGTACCATTCTCATGATGGGTCGCTTCGTTGAGCCCATTGAGGATGTCCCCGCCGGTAACATTGTCGGTCTGGTCGGTGTCGATCAGTTCCTGCTCAAGTCCGGTACCCTCACCACCGATGAGACTGCCCACAACATGAAGGTCATGAAGTTCTCCGTCTCCCCCGTTGTGCAGCGCTCCGTCGAGGTCAAGAACGCCCAGGATCTGCCCAAGCTTGTCGAGGGTCTCAAGCGTCTCTCTAAGTCCGACCCTTGTGTCCTGACCATGATCAACGAGTCTGGCCAACACATTGTTGCCGGTGCTGGTGAGCTCCACCTCGAGATTTGTCTTAAGGATCTCGAGGAGGACCACGCTGGTGTTCCCCTCCGTATCTCCGACCCCGTCGTTGCTTACCGTGAGACCGTCGCTGGCGAGTCCAGCATGACTGCTCTGTCCAAGTCGCCCAACAAGCACAACCGTCTGTACATGACTGCTCAGCCCATTGACGAGGATGTCTCCCAAGCCATTGAGTCTGGCAAGATCAGCCCCCGTGACGACTTCAAGGCTCGTGCCCGTGTCCTCGCTGACGAGTACGGCTGGGATGTCACCGATGCCCGTAAGATTTGGTGCTTCGGTCCCGACACCACCGGTGCCAATCTGCTCGTCGACCAGACCAAGGCCGTGCAGTACCTGAACGAAATCAAGGATTCCGTTGTCTCCGGTTTCCAGTGGGCTACCCGCGAGGGTCCCGTTGCCGAGGAGCCCATGCGTTCCGTCCGCTTCAACATCCTTGATGTTACCCTGCACGCTGATGCCATTCACCGTGGTGGTGGTCAGATCATCCCCACTGCTCGTCGTGCTCTGTACGCCGCTGCCATGTTGGCCGACCCCGGTCTCCTCGAGCCCATCTTCAACGTCGAGATCCAGGTTCCCGAGCAGGCTATGGGTGGTATCTACGGTGTCCTCACCCGCCGCCGTGGTCACGTCTACACTGAGGAGCAGCGTCCCGGTACCCCTCTGTTCATGGTCAAGGCTTACTTGCCCGTCAACGAGTCCTTCGGTTTCCCTGCCGATCTCCGTTCCGCTACCGGTGGCCAGGCCTTCCCCCAGTCCGTGTTCGATCACTGGAGCATCCTCCCCGGCGGTTCCCCTCTCGACCCCACCACCAAGCCCGGTCAGGTCGTCCAGGAAATGCGCAAGCGCAAGGGTCTCAAGGAGGTCGTTCCCGGTTACGAAAACGTACGTCTTTTTGCTCACTCTCTTTGGTCTCAGTCACTAATTTTGTTCTATAGTACTACGACAAGCTGTAAAAATGTTCACGGTCACCCAGAATTTCCCTTCTGCCAGTCATTCGTGGAATCTTTCATGAGATTGATGAATTCAATACAATTTCTTCGGTTCAACAAAATTTTATTCCCTCATTCGTCGGTATTTGCTTCGATCGTTCCGTCATTAGAAATCCGGGCATGAGCCTTGAAGCCTCTGGGCATCATTGGTTCTGTGTCCTTTCATTGCTATTTCTACATTTGGTTTTTACCGATGGGCTTTTTGCTTTTTGCGTTTTTGCTGTAGTCTAGCAACCAGTTTCGATATGAAAATAAACTTGGGTATGCTAGGCACAGTTGTTCATTCGTAGAGTTCGTGAGTAATTGTAAAAACCGAAACAAAAAAAAAACAACAAAACAATGAATCCGATCACAATCCTGGACACGTAGCTCGAGGAGTCGCAGAGTATTGTCCTATGTCATCCAAGCACGTGATCTACCGATGCTCGCGTTTTTGCCCTTCGCCTTCGCGTACCCAGCCATGTCCTTCCATTCCCTCACGGTTGGGGGTGAATGCTTATCAGCTTAAAATAACTCATTCTCAAGCTTTGTTATTTAAAACACAAAGTTGTGATTTCATCCCACATACGATTATTACCGCATACGCAGGAATCTTCCGGAGTGACGGCTTTGTTGAAACCGAATCTCTGCAATCATCGTCACTTTCACGTCAATCTTTTGTTCGACCCAATTCAGTACTCACAGTCTGAAATTACTCGGAAATTATCTTCGCCATGCAGTTCACTGACGCGGAGGCCGCTGATGTAAAGAAATGGGTGGTCAAAAAACTGGAGGACATGTGAGTTCATCAGGCACTAGAATCGGGTCTTTTGACACGTGCCCCGGGGAAAGAAAGCAGCGACTAATCAAGTTCATTCTGCCTATAGCTCTGATGCCGACTCGGATGTGCTTGCAGACTATGTTTTGGCGCTAGTTAGGTCCGATGCGCCAGCCGAGGAAATCAAGAAGGTCTCGGTGGAAAACCTGGAGGATTTCCTGCGCGAACGTGCGTCTAATGCCTAGCTCGCATTGAGTTGTTTTATATCAGCTAACACTTACTAGACACGCAACCATTTGTCACTGAGCTCTTTACAACCTTCGGTCCCAAACAACCCTCGCCTCCTGTGCCCGCACCTCCACCCCAGCCTCAGCGCCAGCCCCAACCCGCTGCTCACATTCCCTCATCACAACCTCCTGACAATGCCCCCAGTGGCCCGAGGGCTGCCGTTGCTCCCAGCAGTGCCAACCGCAAACGAACTTTTAATGATGGATTCCAAGGGGAGCCAGACCACGATGATGGTGGGTTCCAGAATCGCGCCATGAAGACTGCACGGCGTGGCGCGCGCGGAGGCGGTCGCGGCGACTTTATGGGTGGACATCAGATGCAACAGGGTCAACAATATCCCCCACAGCAACAGGGTCAATTGTTCCCTCCGCAGCAACAGGGCCAGCAATTCCCTCCACACCAGCAGGGCCAACAGTTCCCTCCGCAGCAGCCCGGTGGCTTCCCCATGATGCCCGGTTTCCCGCCGTTCGACCCAAACGATCCTATGGCAGCAATGATGGCTATGCAGGGAATGCAAGGTATGGGATTCCCGCAGATGCCGGGGATGCCTATGCCCGGGATGCCTGGTCCTCCCGGTCAGCCAGGAGTCGATCAAATTCCACAAAGCAACCAGCGATGTCCGTTCTATGATACCCAAGGTATCTGTTACCTAGGAAATACTTGCCCTTACCAGCACGGCGAGGGAGGTGTCTCGAAAGACGATGGTAAGAGAAATTCATTCATCCTAGATATACCATTGCTAACGGTCGCAGAATATGACCCCAAGACTGCGGGTATGCATGCGCAGCGAGGTGGTGCTCCTATGCGCGGTGACCGTGGCCGCGGCCGTGGTCGCGGCGGATTCAGCGGACGAGGACGCGGCCGGTCCGATTTCTCATCGGCAGGACCTAATGAGGACCAGTCTGTCACGACGATTGTTGTTGAGCAGATTCCCGACGAGAAGTTCAACGAGGATTCTGTGCGTGAGTTCTTCTCTGAGTTCGGCAACATTACTGAGGTGTCCTTGCAACCCTACAAAAAGATCGCTTTGGTCAAATACGAGACTTTCCCCGAAGCCAAGGCCGCGTGGTCCAGTCCCAAGGTCATCTTCGACAACCGTTTCGTGAAGGTTTACTGGTACAAACCCAACCGCGAAGAGAAGCATGACAGCGCACAGCCTGAGGCCCCAGCCTTCAACCAAGAAGAGTTCGAGAAGCAACAACTAGAAGCACAGAGGGCGCACGAGGAGAAAATGAAAAAGCGACAGGAGACCGAAGCAGCCAAGCAGGCTCTTGAGCGCCAGCGCGATGAACTTATCAAGAAACAGCAGGAGGAGCGGGCCCGTCTCATGCAGCGACTCGGTGGCACAACAGACACAAGCGATGCTACCGGTGCTGGGGATGCCATGGCCACCGAGCCTGCCGATGAGAATATCAGTGATGAAACGAAACAGCTGCGAGCTCAACTGGCTGCTCTCGAGGCCGAAGCAAAGAGTCTTGGCCTCGACCCTGCGGCCGACCCTTCGGGGCGGGGTGGATACCGGGGTCGTGGTGGCTTCCGCGGCCGAGGCACATACCGTGGACGCGGCGCCTACGATCCCAACTTCCGTGGAGGATATCGTGGACGCGGTGGGTTTGCGGCTCGGGGACGAGGAGGTGTATTGCGTCTGGATAACCGGCCTCGACGAGTCGCCGTATCGGGCGTTGAGCTCAACTCAGACAAGGACGAAGCATTGCGTCAGCACCTGATGGTAAGTCATGTATTTTCGAACCAAGCAAAGCATATACTAATTTGTTATGTTCTAGGGCGTTGGCGAATACGAATCTATTGAGGCACACCCAGACCAGCCCAACTCCGTCGTGGTGGCATTCAAAGAGCGCTTCCAGGCCGAGAAGCTCATGTTCTCTCCCTGGAACATCCCCTCCGTGGGCGAGGTCCAACTCACCTGGGTGGCCAACCCGCCCATTGTACTTCCTACTGCTGGATCATCAACAGAATTCAAGGGTGGCCTTGGACAGGACGAACCTGAAGACACAGTCATGTCGTCCACCTCGGTGGCCAACACCGCACCTGCGCGGGATATGGACTACGATGTTGCGGAGGATGACAGCTGGGGGGCGTAATTCCGTTACCTTTTGTGTACCATCATGTGTTGGTTGTATAGGCTGCATTAAGCTATTCTTATGGGATGGACGTTCCATTCCCGACCTGTTATCTAAACCAAACTCGTGCTACGATCGTAGAGTGTACAAAAGTAGATCCTCACAGCGTTACACGCTCTGAGGAATCAACTCAACCATATACCCATCCTATGAACTCACATCAGCACAGCACCCTGCATATGTACCTAGGAGGGTATAGAAACTGACCGGATCAGCAACCATAGCAAACTTCTCAAAAAACCACGCATAGTTCCCATGAATCTCGCCACATCCAATCCCCCTCTCCTCCTCCCACTCCGAAAGCGGCACCGTCTCCCTCGAACAAACTCCCACATCCTTAAGAATACTAACCCCACCCTCCCGCAACCTCTGCACAGCAGCCGACACATCGGGAACCGTGAACCCCAGATGCGCGAATCCAAGATGCGGGGGTACATTCCCCGTAGAAACACCACCACCACCACCACTACCATCTGCACTGGCATTCTCTGTGCCATGCACATGATACAACTCCAGAAGCCCGCTCGTCCTAGTCATAACAGGGATTTCGCTAGTGCTCTTCGCCCACGCTGTAATATCCTCTTCGGTCTCTGCCGATGCCGGCGGGTGTCCGAGATAATAGATCGTGAAGGGCCCGGCGTTCATGGTGAAGATTACTCGCATGCCTAGGAGGTTGATGTAGAATTTGAGTGAGCGGGCTGGGTCTTGGATGCGTAGGGCTAGGTGGTTTAGTTTGTAGTCTTTTGTTGCGGGTGTTGGGGGTGGGTTTAGGTTTGGGGCTGCGTTGAAGTGGCCTTCTTCTTGAGGTTGGAGGTTGAATTTGGTTGAGGACATAGTTGGATTTTATAGATGGATGTATGGAGGTATTGGTTTGGTGAAATTAGATTAATTTGGGCGATATAAAGGATATAAATTGGGAATTGAGAGCTTTGATAGAATGAGGGGTTGATATTCTACTAGTAGGGCGGATCCCGTTTGGCCTATCAAAGAGAACGAACTAAGTATGTTAAAATAGCTATAGCTCATGAATGCACGAATTGATATCTTCGACAACAGGGTACAGGTACTGCTTGGATTACTTCAAGAGACTACATCTACTGATAAACAATCATATCCAAACCCCCCTTATACGGCATCGTCACCCGTCGGAACCCACTGCCCTCGGCATCAACATACGCAAAGAGCTCCTGATACCTATCAGCCGCCATGACCGTATTGTCAACGACGATCGCAGCGCCAGGACAGAAGTGAGGCTGGACGAGCTTCAGCGCGGGGAGGGCTAGAGGCGCCCAGACTAGGAGTAGTAGTTAGTATATATGCTGCCAGTATCACGACTAGACATAAATCGACCATGCAAGTTGAATACAAGATAACAGGGCAGGGTATCAAACACCAGACATGTACATACATGTACTCTGTACATGTCTGTAACTGCTTCTGCATCAACCCAAGAAAACAAACACAACTTACTATCCAACAACAAGAAATCCACTGTCCCCAAATCCGAAGTAAGCGTCTCACGCAGATCCCCAACACGAAGATCAATCACATCCTCAACTTCCTTGCCCGCACTGGCCCAATGCGCTCTTGCCAAATTAGCCTTGGTCTCCTCCTTCTCCGTGGCGATGACCTGGGGCTTAGTGGTAGCGCTAACACGCTTCGCATTCTCTGCAACCGCAAGCGCTAGGTAGATGGTGCTAACGCCAAAGCTGGTACCGGCCTCGACGACTGTCTTTGCGTTGATGCTGCGCAGGATGTGATAGACTAGTTCGCACTTGTCCTGGTCGAGTGCGATGAACTTGTCCAGCATGATGGAGTCGAATTCGGTGGTGCATTGTTGGGGTAGGCTGGGCCAGTCCAAGGTTGATTCTTGGGTTAGGGATTTGGTGTGTAGCTCTTTCAAAAGAGTCAGGATCTCTGGGGATGCTGTGAGGGGTGAGGGGGACATTTTGGATTGTTTTGTTGGTTGTTTGAGGTTTGGGAGTTGTAAGAGTTGAGAGTATGTCTTGGGCTATCAGGAGGGGGAGAAGGAGAAGAGGAACTGCGTGATTAAATAGCAAATAGACTAATTGGGAGACCATCCGGCAATACTACCGGCAACGATGCCTGCCATAACTAGTGGCCTGATCTCAGCTAGGAGGGCCTGAGAAAATAGGCAGGAGAAATTAAATATCAGGATTGGGGAATTGGGGGACTGGTGTACGTAAAGGCTAGTGACGTCGGAATCCTCCAGCTCCGAGCTCCACGGCCAAATTGATATTCAGTGAGTCATCGGGGAGCCCTGTGCAAAGTCCGTACGATGTACATACGCCCGATGGCGGGGGCAGTTGGGGTCAGGCGGATGAACATGAACGACGAAGCACGAAAAAGTGCCGAGTTTAGCCGCATGAGCAATATGATTGATTCAAGTGCAGCCCTTGTCTAGTCCGGCAGCTAGAAATACCTAGGTAGCTACAATAACAGCTATGATGGCCGTGCAATTGGCCCCAAGTTAGCCCTAACTTTGGAAGCAGAATACCGCTATGACAACTCCATACAAGCGTTAGCAACAGCAAACTCCATTCTACTGCTCTAGCAAGTCCGCATAGCTATTCAAAGACCTCCCGATCAAAGCAACCATCTCCCATATATAATCCGCCGTAAACAGGCGCGCCCACAACCTAGTAACCGCAGCACTGAGCCGTGTATTAGTAGCCAGCAGCCACTCCCTCGAGACACCATGCTGCACCTCCATAACCATCTCGAGCACGAAGTCCCGCAAGCGAGTCTCCTGCTCCGTCAGCGGCGGCTCCGGATCCGACACCGCAATCGCCTCAAGCCACTTAGCCAACAGCACCGCGCACTCCAGGGAACACAAAGCATGCTGGTTAGACCACAGCGCCACCTGCGAGTGGGCGACAAATCCAATACCGAGCTTGACCGGTGTGCTGAGGGCATGTGCGCAGTGGAGCGCGGCGCGCGTGAGCCGGTCGCCACGTCGAACGGAGAGGTTGTCACGGAGACTGGTTGCGATTTGGACGGGATCCCAGGTTTGCAGTTGGCGGGCTGAGCCGCAGTCTGCGTTGAGTCGGATGTAGGCTAGTCGAAGCAGCGCTGCTGATGTGAAGGATAGCGGCCCGTTCGGGCTGAGTGGGTCAACGGAGGATTCTTGGTTGCGTTCCCAGCACTGGCACCAGCGTTCTAGTGCTTGTTCGACGTGCACGAGCTCGGGTGTGGATGTCACTGATGAGGGGGTGAAGCGGTTCCGTCGTGAGACGGGTAGTCGGCCCGCTTTCGTCATTAGCCAGATGTCTTGTAGAATCGCGTGGATTAGAACGTAGCCGCCGAGAGAGGAGAACGGTGGTACATTGCTATTTGGCCCAAACAAGGCAGAAAGGGCATCTTGGAACTTTGGTTCGCCAGGGCTCTTCAGGCGCTCTGTCTGCCAGAGGTCTGCACGCGCGGCTTGCCATTCTTTTTCGGTGCTGGGTAATTCGAGTGTGAAATCTTCAGTGAGAATCATTGGTGGGACGTCGAATACGATAGTTTGGATGTTGAAGAAACAGAGAACAATTAGTTTGGTGCGCTTTACGCATTCCTGTCGTATCCAGCTACTCCATGTCCCGTCTTGCTCGGGTAGCCGATTGAGTCCCCCTTTTCGGATGAGCATTTCCATTAGACTGCGAAGCGACAGCGCTTCGTAGAATGGGGGGTTGTTAATAAACCACAGGGACACCGAGGTCAGATACAATAAAGCTTGCAGAGTTTCTAGGGTATCAATGTCGTCGGCCGCGTTGATCGGGGGCGGGGGCAACTTGCCCGACTGGAAGACCCGGCGAACATGTTCCAAAGTCACTGGTTTGGCAATCTGATAGAGACGCATGCTAGTGTCTGGCTCGCGGCAATACCGTGCACCCAATGCCGCCATCGATAGAAAGAGCGGTAATGTCATCGAGTCTACATCGAGGGTCGGGATATGCACGATTGGGTAGTGCTCATGGAATCCGGTTACATACCCAGTCAAACATCGCGATAGCGCATGTCGAGATGGCAGCGATGGATCTGGTACCACATTCGCGTAGTCGGATAACATATCCAAGAACTTCTCCCGGCATTGAGCCGTGACCGGTACGAATCCCGTGGGCTGGCGCGCGACCGCCGGGGAGATGTGATACCCCTCCGGCTGGAGTGAGGGCAACTGAGCGTCATGTCGGGGAAGTACAGAACTCGATGGAGTCGAAGGAGTGGTTTCGGTCAGAGCTCCTCTATCGGAAGATCGATCATAGTCCGGGACCGGGGAAAAGTGCAAGGGTGGGAATAGCGGGAGTGGCTGATAAGCCGGCGAGAAGGGATGATTTGGCAAGGGGACACTGTCCAAAAATGAGGTGAAGTCATGACCATGATATGATCCCGGTCCAAAGCCACCTAGGGCATATCCAAAATCCGGGCCCGGAGATGGGGTGGTGGGACCTGCAGAGGGAGCGTCTGTGCTACCCAACTGACCACCCAGCATCGGGCGGTGTATGGCCGGCGACAACGCTGGGAAATGGTCATCGGTCCGTTGTAACGCGCTGCGACTAGATTGGGCGTGGTTTATGACTACAGATGCCAAGGAATCTAACCCGTCCAGGGTAGGAGGATTCGCGGGGGAGGGCGTGTGTGTCTGATTGCTGGCCGGACTGGCATCAGGGTTGTGAGAGAGACGCTCATGACGTGCCAGCAGATCCCTAGAAATGTGAGTATCTAATGCATGTATCTGAAATGGTGAATTATGTATCGTACTTGCGTGTAAAAGCCTTGGGACATTGCTCGCAAACGAACGGTTTCTCTTTGGTATCTGTGGGGTATCAGATGAGGGTATTCGATCCAAGGTCTAGAAGACATACGTGAGCGCTCGTGTCTTTGAAGATGTTCTAGACGAGCAAATGCCCTCGGGCATCGGTGACACTGATAGGGCTTGCTATTCATTATTCATTGGGGGTGGACATGACGTGGTGTGTGATCTCGGGGGATTGTCGCGCAACTCCGGTGAGTCTGACTGTGGCATATTCCCTGCTGTTCCCTGTCCACATGTACCACACACACCAAGTCGAATTGATTGGAATATCACGATCTTGCAGCGGCCTTGCATAGCCATGCACTATTGGCTAACCCTGCCGATTCTATATTGATTGTTAATCAGCTCTATCGAATCGGTCCCAATTCCGCAATCCCCAAATTCCCCAAATTGGGGAATTGCCACTATTAACATGACTATGACTTATTTCACTGCGGAGAAGTATACCCCGTATTGTTGTGGATTATACATCTTACGCTACAAAATCCTCATTTTATTCTTGTTTTTTTTTCTCTAGCATTGAGATAAGTATTCAAGTCTTATTTGCTTGTAATTAGTGAGATGAAGTTGAAAACCCTTCAAAAAAGGAAATAGAGCTAGAACATTTTTAGCAGGCGGTATGCGATGACTCCGACGCCAAGGCCGCGGGCACCACGTCCCACGGATGAGCATTATCAGTTCCCCCAACTCGGTGCTTTGGAGGATTCTTCCTTTAATGTACATGTAACTTGGCATAAGACCTACATATGTAGCATTTAACTGCAAAGGGCGTATAGATCATCAGCATGCTCCACATTGGTCCACAGTGTGATTGGAATGATATATCAAATTGGGGGATTATTCTGTTCTCGGCGTTTGATCTTTTCTCCAATTTTCTTTTCGGTAGGACTCCACGCCCTAGATGCTTAGCCTATAAGTCATTAAAGTCCGTCAAAATCTAGAAAAATCTTGCATCCTGACTTACTACATGGCATCTACAACGCCTGAGTCACTTAAACGGCAACCAACTGCCATGGAAAAGCGCGAGGAGACCCCCGAGTCTCTATGCGGGTCCCAAGATATCGAATTCCGGTATCTAGAGCTAGAAACACTCCTGCCGACCCCGTGCATTACTTTACCTCCTGGCCCCGCTCAGTCACCACCACCAGAGGCGCCTAGCTTAGAGAAATATATCTCTCCGTTTCTATGGCCACAATGGCGCAAGTCTATGATGACTTACATCGCCTGCGGGGTTACTGCACTAGCGGGTTATGCTGCGGGTGAGGTCAGTCCTGCAGCGGAGGAACTGACTGAAATGTGGGGGATCAGTACTGTCGTGTACAATCTGAGTATCACGCTTTTCTGTTGTGGGTTTGCTCTGGCGCCGATGGTGCTGGCTCCCTTCTCTGAGATTAATGGACGGAGACCGATCTTTATCGCCAGTGGAATTCTCTTCGTTGGTATGTATACCGTGCTTCGCTATGTTACTTGGCATATGACTGACTTGGTATATCAATAGCTAGTTTAATTGGTTGTGGAGGCACGCAGTCCTTTGCCGGATTGCTTGTAGCTCGTTTCTTCCAGGGTGTGGGTGGATGTATGTATAGCCTGCTCCGAACAATCGATTTTTCGGTTCAGCACTCAATAGATGTTGACTTGAACCCTCACAGCAACGTTCTCCACCATGGTTGGCGGCGTCATCAGTGACATCTATCACGCCCAAGACCGTAACACGCCCATGGCGCTTTTCTCCGGATCTGCATTGTTCGGTACCGGCCTGGCACCGATGATCTCTGGCGCAATCATCAGCCGCACCACATGGCGCTGGGTGTTCTACTCGCACGCAATTGTGTCCGCCGCATTTGTCATTATCATCTACTTCTTCTTCAAAGAAACGCGCGGCAGCGTCCTGCTAAGCCGCAAAGCCGCAAAGTTGAACCAGTACTACGAGCAACTCGAAGAAGCCGGCCATCACGGTGTAATCCTACCGAGCGAAGAAGCGTCTGAAGAAAAATGCATCCGTCGAATTAGATGGAAGGTCAAGAGCGATGAACAACGAGAATCGATCGTAACCATGATCCAGATCTCGTTGTACAGACCATTCCGTAAGTCTACGTCAATCCTCAAGCCACCAAATATAAAGAAAGAAACAAGAAAAAAGAAAAACAAGCTAACTTCCCAATCCAGACATGCTCCTCACCGAACCAGTAGTCTTCTTCTTCTCCTTATGGGTCTCCTTCAGCTGGGCAGTCCTCTACCTCCAATTCAGCTCCGTGCCACTCATTTTCCGCACAAACCACAACTTCACAATCGAGCAAACCGGCGCCGTCTTCACCTCGATGTGCGTCGGCGTCATCCTCATCACAGTCATCAGCATCTACCAAGAACGCATCGCCATGCGCTTCGGCAAACACTCCACTTCCCCCGAGGGCAGACTGTATTTCGTCTGCGTGGAGTCTGTGCTTCTGCCTATTGGTCTGTTCTGGTTTGGTTGGAGTTCCTTCCCATCCGTTCACTGGATCGTGCCTGCTATGGCGGTTGGCTGTGCTACTATGGGCATCTTTTCCATTTATCTCGCTACGTTTAACTACCTCGCTGATACTTATCATCGGTATGCGAGTTCGGCGATTGCGGCGCAGTCTTGTTGTAAGTATTTGTATTTCCCTGGATTGTTCTCTTGATGAAGGTCTGGTTATGTATGTGATAGGATATTTGCTGACATTTTGCTCACTAGGCCGGAATTTGCTCGGTGGGATCTTTCCATTGGTTACGAATGCCATGTTCACCAACCTTGGTTATCCAGAGGCATCAAGTCTGCTGGGAGGACTTGTAAGTTGTGGCAATTACCCTCCAAAAAGAAAATCGACTGACTGGATCGAAATAGGGAGCTGCTTTGACTCTGGTCCCGTGGGTCCTGGCCTTATACGGGCCCAAGATTCGAGCCAGGAGCAAGCTCGCAAGTGTAAGTGATGTCCTCCCCTGATGTATAATGTTCAAGACTAACGGAATGATAGGAGCTCGCACATTAAATGATGTACAGCGCATACCAATCGCGAACGCGACAAAAAGTAATTTAATCATAGTATTTTAGGGTGCAGGATCATATAACTAGAGCTAGGGACATGCATATTATCAAGAATTTCAGGCTCATATAGATGTCCGGTCTGAATTTTCATTACAGCAAATGAATTGAAATCATACCAACAATACGCTTCCTATGATCTGAGCATGGTTATGCCAGCAATTTAAAAACCCCCCACAATGCTAAAGCGATGTACATGACATGATCCAATCATGTATGTGCCCCATGCAAAATCCTGAAATTTTAGATCAAAACAATGCAATTACCTCGGGCGTTGGTGCCCTCTAAATGGATGTGCACCATTTATCCCAGGACGATACGATGCATACCGATCCTCATCCTCGCTATCACTATCCATTTGATCCAAAAGGCGATCAATATCATCACCAGCATGAGCTTCCAGCCCAGGTTTTCTTCTGAGTTCACGACCATTGTGAGACTCGGAGCTTTGGGAGCCCTGGCTTCCATCGTGATGGGCTACATTGCTGGAAGCGTTGATTGACTCGTTCAGGCTGCTTTGCGTGCTAGCTAGTTGCAGCGGGCGAGGGCTGAAACGATACCCCGAGTTCTCGGGGCTGGACATGAACATCAGGGTTTCGATGGCGTCTTGTTCCATCAGGGTGTTTTGGGACTGGGTGCGGGGTTTGTAGAAGCCGTTCGGTGTGGATGTTGGTGCATGTGCATGGGATGATGAGAGCGAGGGCGTGTCTGGCCCTATGACTGTTTGGCTGTTGAGTGGTCGGGTGAGTCCGTTCTCTTGGTGTGAATGGTGGCGTCGGTGGCGGGAGATAGGGCTGTGATTTGAAGGTTTGGAGACTGCGTTAGGATTCGGTCGACGGCGCTCGTTGTGACCATTTGATGAGATGATATCCACAGGCGGTGCTAGCTTGGGAATTGGAAGGAATTGATTAGATGAGAATGCTGATCGCGAGCGGTTATGGTTCGGGAAATGATGAGAGTTTCCGTTGGATGATGTTTGGGAATCTTGTGAAAAAGGCGTGGAGTTTCTTGCCGGTAATGATGCGATGTCACTCGCTGCTGACGCGCTCAATGGCGACGTGCTGTTGTGTGTTCGCAATGCGGTTTGAGGGGTAGCTTCACGCGACTGGCGAGCTTGTTCTACTTTGGCGGCTGCGTATGATAGACGTGTACGGATATGGACCGACAACTGGGTAATACAAATGAGCTATAGACTCTTGAGTGAGCGAGTGAGTAAGTTACCTGTGCAATCCTACTCCCATAAGCTGACGAACCCGTACTCTTCGAACGTCGTCGTGCAGCTCCATGTGCGTCGGCACTGTGAGCTGTGGGGGAATCTAAAGTGGATTTGAAGTCGCCAGCTGCTGTCCGTTTCTGGCTCGGAGCCAAGCGAGCATCAAAGTTCGACCTTGTGCGCGAATGCTTTGGCGATGGCGGCGGTGATATTGAAACATTGCCAGCTTTTATCGGCGATAATGAGGGTTGCCATCGATCTATTGAGGCGCCTCCATTCACCGGCTGCATGTGTGGGGCGAGTTGGGATTCCAATAACTCCCGGCCCACCCACGGTATCGATGTATGTCCATTCAATGTATGAGAGTTACCGAACTCTGTCGACTGGCTATTATCATTGGTCGAGGATGAAGGAAGACTGGAAAGAGAGTCTGTGAGGGTGCTAGCGGAAAGGTCTAGTCGTCGGCCATCGCCCGATGTATCGCTGCCGCGCTCCGATGATTCGATATAGGCTGGGTTCGGGTTACCCTCGCCGTGAGCGAGGGTAACGGGGTTCAAGCCATCTATTTGTAGTGACAGTGGCTGCGGCGACTGTGTGTTTTGGGTCTTGGCCGAAGGCATTGGTTTGTGAGGCACGGGAGACGTCGCGTTGTTCATAGAGTGGGTGTTCGCATTGGCCTCCGCATGGAGCACCCCACGATTAAACACAGCATCGCGACCGTCATTCATGATCAAGGGTGGGGTGTGGAAGATTAAAAGATGATGGGATAGCGATATCGGCAAATACGCGCGAGCTAGCTTTAATCGCGAGTTTACGCGGCCGCACGATCTCAACACGCATGTCCTGTCTCGCCGAGTCACCGCATCGAGAGTTGGGGCCGGGAAGGTCCGATACCAAGTGATTTTGATGCAACTAACAGTCGAGATCTCAACAAGACGCGTGGGAGTACTGTGGGAACCAGGAGCATCTGCCCGATCGAGTGGCGATCGACTAGCACGCGCGCAAGGGTCAGCACGAGGCGGCAAATTGGGTTCTCCACCGTAATTCTGACCCCAGATGAAGGGCCCGACAGGGTTTTAAATAGAAGAATGCGAGTAGTAAGAACTAATTTTGAATATAGATGTGCCACAGTATGCTAGCACCAAAAGAAATCCAGTTGAATAGTTGGTAGAGGGAAGGGTTACTGGTTTTGGGACACGCGTGAGAGGCGTGGTCACGTGGATGATACTAGACCAATTTCATCTGATTCAATGAGTTTCTATAGAAACAATTATTCTCGAATCATCAGTATATGGTCATTTAGAGATAAAGATGGTTGAAGATCCATCGATGGCTGTAAGTGGGCTTGGTAGGCTTATGTTCGATGGGCTATATACTTCGGAGTATACATATGTACTAACGACTACCACACCATCTACGAGACTACAATATAGAAGTCAAGAAAGGATATAGAAAATCAAAATTGGAGTTCTCATTAATGATATAATATACAACATCATGGAGTCATGGGAAATATACTCCGAAACAATGACTCAACTCCCATGACGACAGACAACATGCCAACAGAAACAAAAGAGAAAAACAAGTCAGCGGAAAGTAAGAATAAGCTGAGAGAAAACAAAAGAAAAAACAAAAGAACAGCAAAAAAAAAAAAAGCAACCCTTTCCGTAGTACTCTGTATCAAATCCAGGCATCAGTCTGGCAGGCCTTTGATACCTCTACCAGAACTGAGCCACATACCCCAACTCCTCCCCTAGACGATGACCGCTGTCGACTTCTTCAGGTACTCCGGAGTCAGATCACAAGTGATTCGGTCGACCTCCGGAGCCTCGGAAGCGTGGCGATCAGCCACGAGAGCAGGCGCTGGCGCTGCTAGAAGAACCGTTAGTATCAAGGACAAGAGCATTTTGCTAAGATCAACTTACTTGGCCAGGCCGCCATCTTCTCCTTCCAGCCCTCATACTTCTCCTTGCAGTCCCGAAGCTTAGGCTTAAGCTTGGGCTTCCATTCTTTCTCGTACTTGGGCTTCAACTGGACGTACCTAATAAAGTTATTAGTATTCTTTTTTTAATCATTGGATGAATAGTGGACTTATAGTGTGCACCCCAAGAACACGGCAAGGGCGGCAACAATGATCCCGAAGATCAGTTTGGTAAGGAAGAGTTCCTTCTCCATGTTAACCTCGTATTGCTTGACAGCCCGAGGAGAGAGCGTGTTGTTGTTGACAAGGGCTGGGATAGGAGCCATGTCTCTCTACTTGTTGTTTGATGTTTGGGAAAGATGTTTTATTGATGGATTGAGAAAACTTTGATGGAGCTTGATGGAAAATAGATGTAGTTGGATAGTTGGAAATCGAGGACAGTGTGAATTCGCGAGGATAATATAGACAGGACTACGTGTGCTACTAAGCTTGCTACGGAATTCGCAATGAATGGGGTATGAAGCTTTGCGAAGTTAGGGTTACTTTACCTGTTGTGGTATTGGGATGATGAAGATATGATTTAGTTCCTCACATACTATGCCACATCTGGGAGTATGAACATTCAAATCCTAGGTTTGTTTAGAACTTTCCTACTTTGGGAACTGTCAGGTGCTTCAGATGCTCCAACTTTGATGTGAGTCAGATATTCTACTTCTGGCATCGGAGGCCAAGCGGCGGCAAGAAGAAGCTTCGTCATTAGATCAAGTATAGTATAGACGGTGTGGAAGGCAACGAGAAGAAAGCCTGGGCAAACAGTAGTGCATTCATGAAATAGTTTTGATATAAATAAACATCCAACATAATGTAGGTACAAGTTTTGGGTCCAAACGCCATCTATGCTAAAGACCCAAGTAGATTAAGACATGTCCAAGAACAAAGAATAGATCACTTGCGCTTCTTGCCGCGACCACGGCCACCAGAGTCTTCATCCGGGTTCTTGCGCTTCTTGCCCTCCTTGCGCCAGTAATCATTGCGCTCTCTCTTCTCGCGTTCGGCCTTCTTCTCCAGACCATCAGCCACCTTAGCGCGGTAGACCTTGCGGCGCTCTTCCTGCTTGACAGATCGCTTGGCCTGCTTCTCGTTGCGCATGGTGGTGAGCTTCTGCATGAGGTCACGGGCCTTCTTTTCCTCGCCTCCGAGAACAACGGCACGCTTCTGCATGTAGGTCGGCTCCTTGTGGCCCCGCATCTTGGTGATCTGCGACTTGAAGGGGAGCTCGGCGGCCAGCTGTCTTGGCACACGGAGCGGGTTAAAGTGACGAGCTTGTCTTTCGATGGGCTTGTAAGTCGAGTCTTTGATTTGGGGGTGGGGATGCCCTGAGCGTGGCGGACTTCACCAGTCAAGCGCATGCCTTGCCATCCATTATCACCCTTTTCGCCATCGACTTGGTCCAACAGGTTGGTCACAGGATTGTAGTAGCGGTGGGGCTTGATGGGGTACCAAGCGCGCAGGAAGGCAATATCACTCATCAAGATCTTGTCCTCGAATGTAGCACGGAAACAGCCATCGGGTTTGGATAGCGCACGCTTGATCTGACCACGAATACCAGAGACAGTCTTGATGGATGCACCTTCGAACTTGGCAATTTCCAGCGCAGAGGTGAACATATCCTTGATGAAGGCAGTGTTCTTGAAAATCTTGTAAGGGTGACCAGTGAGCTTGAGCTTCTTGACAATTTCTGTGTGCTCATCCACGCTCTGAACAACACCCGTGGCGGCAATGCGGAAACCGGGGTTCTTGTTCGAGAAGGAGTTCACACAGCAGAAACCGGTGTTGGGAGCGACAAGAGGTCCGTAGAAGGTAGCGAAGCAGTGCATATGCTCAGGTGTGTACTTAAGCATGCGGTTTCGCGTCCGACTGTCGGAGGTGCTGTAAATAGGCATGGTCTGGAAGCGACGCCAACCAAGCGAGAAGATCAACGGATCGTTACTCTTGAGAATCTTCTTGTGCCAGCGGTGTCTCTTGATCCGGATCTGCACGTAGCCAAATCGGTCCTCAGTAGGTGCGAGGCCACCAACAATGACAGGGAAGCGAGGGTTGAACTTGGAAACAAACTCGTAAGGTACGTTTTCGAGGACGATACGTGCGTAGGTGCCGGCTTTGTAACCTTCAGCCCGGGCGCGCGAGGCAGGGTCGAGTGTCTCGAATTCGGCGCGGTTGATATCTGCCTGCTTTTGCAGCTTGGCTTTCTGCAGATCGTACCAATCGTCTTCGCCGAACTCGCCATCAATACCATCATGCGTCCCGTCCTGAACTTTTCCGAAACCTTCGCGGTCCTCTTCTTCGAAACGCAGCTTGAGTTCTTCCTTCTTTTTAGCATTTCGCTCACGCTCGGCTTCCAGGTCGGCGGCCTTTTCGGGCTCATCATCGCCTTCCTCTTCCTCATCTTCATCGCCATCTTCCTTGATACCGTTGAAAACCTCGCCAGATTCCAAGTCTTCGTAGTCACCGTCGCCTTCATCTTCATCCTCGTCCTCGTCCATATCACCATCCTCATCATCTGAGGCACCACCGGACAGTTTGCCAGTGATGAAGCGGAGTTTGATTAATTCGAGCAAGTCCTCGTCCCGCCACTTCCGCTCCAGCTCATCGTAGTCGTACTCTGGAACGGCGCGGAAGTCGGCTTGGTCTTCTTTCTCGTTGTTTGTCTTCTTGAAGAAGTCCTCGCCTTCGTCGTCGGCGGTTCTATCTTCCTCGTCCTCCTCTTCATCGTCGGAATCTTCACCGCGCCATGTCTTCACGACATCAAGTGGAGTGATCGACTCGTCGTACATCATTCTTGACAGGTCGGTGACTCGGAAAGGAGGGCGTTTTCCGTGAAGAGACTTGGCATTGGCGAGCATGTTCTCCTTCCATCGAACATTGCCCTCCTCATCTTCTTCATCTTCTTCATCCTCATCCTCATCCTCATCATCATTCTCATCTTCGTCTTCATCGCCGCTCTCAAGTTCCTGGTCTGAGACTGAAGAGATGGAGCCCAGGTCAGAGTCACTGTCAGCAAAAGCCATGTCTTCTTCCTCTCCGCCAGCATTCCCGTTCTGTTTGGCCTTGAAGCGGGCTTCAAAGTCTGCAGGTGCAGACATGTCGAGTTCGCCTTCATCATCTGTCACATCATTCTCGTCCATATCTTCATCGGCCTCCTCTTCGCTATCGGATCCTTCGGGGATATCTATGTCGTCTTGTTCGGGTACGGCCACGCGGGCGCGGCGTCGATCTTTCCGGCCGGTCTCGTCGTCGTCCGCTTTATCGAGGGCCTCGCCGCCACGGAAGAGACGAACACCCTGATCAGCCTCACCCAGCATCTTGCGCTCGCCTTGAAGGCCAACAACAAGGTGCTCGCCAAGACCACGGCGTTCCTCATCGTCAGAATCCTCGTCCGAGTCCCGGTCAAAGGTATTGGTCTTGATATCAATGTAAACTGCATCCTTGTCGACCAAGACACCGCCGACATCAGACATGGGAGCGAAAAGCAGCTTTTGGTGCTCGCCAAGCTTGCGCCTGTTCGACTTTCCTGTTGCCTTGGCGATCTGCTGGTCCATATAGGGAGTTGGGCATGGATCGGGCAAGCCCTCAATATTGGCAACAGTCAGATCACCAACACCAGGAACATGGACTCGGGCGCCATGGGATGGGAAGTTGGTGCCGCGCAGGTAGCCGTAGAGTGCGACTGTGCGATCACACTTCGCGTTTTCCTCGATCTGAGTAGGGGGTGTAATGTCCAAGAAGCGATCTGCAAGCGCATAAGGGTGCGAGTTGCGCCACACGAGCGGACGAGGGTTTTTCATCACAGACAAGAATCGGGAAAGGTTGTGCACTTCACGATCGGGGTAACGGCCGTTGATAACACCGGACAAGTAAAAGAGCTTTGCGCCCGCGTATAGCTCACTCCAGAAACGGTGCTTCAGGCGCTTCTTCGCGTCCTTCAACGTGCTGTGTTTCTTGAACTGATCAAGATGAGTAAGAATACCGAAGACGTTACCCGGCATACCAGCCGTCGATAAGGCGTTCAAAAACTCCATGGTCTCCATCTCGAATCCAAAGTTTCCGTCAATCATGAGAAGAACAATATCTGCGATCTTGGAAACATCGATGGCAGCTGCAAGAGAGTCGGACGGGCATTCGAGGAAGGTGAGACGCTTGCGCTTGGTCGTAACAACGGTCAACGGGCCTTGCGGCGAGCTGAGGGTTTGCTTGGTGTAGCGGCGGATCAGAGACTTGAGCAGAGTTGTCTTACCAACTCCCGGGGGTCCAACGATGGCGACAACTACCGGCGGAGCCTCCTCGGGCATACGATCCACGAGGGGGACATGGAGTCTCTTTTCTCTGACCTAGAGGAGAAGTCCGGGTCAGCATCAATTGACCAGCAGAAAAATTCCATATACATACATCATGCGATCGCGCAGCCTGCTTATTGAGCTTTCCAGGTCTGGAAGTGACGAATGCTTTCGGATTAGCACCTGTACAGAAAAAATCAATTGTTAGCATGGGCTCGAAAGCAGAAAGTTTGCAGATTTATTGCAGCGGTCTCGCCGTACCCTCAAACTTCTTCTTTTCTTTGGCAGGGCGATGCGCCCTGTTGGCCTGCTGCTCCATGCTATCTGTAAAGAGGTATAGTACCTCAACAGATCCACTCCTTTTATTAAAGAGAAAGAAAGGCAACAATCAAGGTAGAGGACTGTCCCCGACGGCCAAAAAATTAGCAGCAATTATTTTTCTGCCAAAGCGGAGTAGATAAACCTTAGTCAGGGAATCAGAAGAAGCTTGATAGCCTAAGGCACCAACATTTCTCTAACTTTGGCCTAAGGCATCAGTCATTATCCTCTACCGGCCCGGTGGCTCCACCCCGAGCCATGAGACATCAGAGACCCCGCTGCTTGGGCTTTCCTTCCAAGGTTGAGTCTACATATGGCATAAGTTTCCGTGCGATATCGCTATCAAACACCGAGCCGGACTCCTTTAGAAATCGGAGGATGTAATTTCCCTCCGCGGCTATCATGCGGGGCAGAAGTTAACATCGGAAAGCCCCCGATAATCCATAGCTATAAATTCACTCTGTATCTGCCCCTGGGTCCTATGAATCCAATCTTGCTCTGTGTCAACTAGACCTTTAACACCCAGTCTCTATACCAACCCGCAAACCGCATATAATGTCTGCACGCCGGCCACCCCCAGCTTACACAGCACCGCCCGATTCGGGGGTTCATGCAACTTCGCAGGTGTACCGCTCAATCTCTGAAACCGCATCCAGCCCCTCTGCGCGAATCCCGAAGGAATCATTCACTATCAGACCATGCTCCGCTCAAGCGTGGGTCGTCCCCGCCGGCCACATCTGCCGCCTGACCACGCCGAAGGGACCACAGGTGGGCGATCTGAACATCTGGAACGCAAATAACCCCCGAGAACGGATGTGGGCTGCGCGTACCCGCCAGATCCACGCCTCCCACGTCTCAGTGGGTGATCGACTATGGTCGAACTTACCGTACCTGCGGCCCCTCGTAACAATCACGGGCGACTCGTTGGGCGGCGGGCAGCTGCATGACGTGCTTGGACCAGATGGAAAGCGCAACCCGGAGGTCGTGTTTGGGACTACACAGTTTGGAGGGCGAGTGCATGACTTGATGGGTACTCGGTGCGATCCTTACGTGAACTTGCTCATGGGTGGAGAGACCTTTGACTTCCACTGTCATTCGAACCTCACTCGTTCCGTCGTCCCCCATGGACTGACGGAGCTAGATGTCCATGATGTCTTGAATGTGTTTCAGGTGACGGGGTTGGATGAAAATGGAAAGTACTTCATGGAGACCTCCCCTGCAAAGGCGGGTGAGTACTTTGAGTTCTTTGCAGAAGTGGATGTTCTCTGCGCGCTATCTGCGTGCCCCGGCGGTACGGTTCCTCCACGCTACACTAATGTCTCGTTTTCATGCTAACCATAATCTCAGGTGATTTGTCCAATTGGGGTTGGGATGATAAGGAAGGTGGTATGGGAGCTACTTGTCGTCCGTTGGGTGTGGAGGTATATCAACTGGCAGACGACAAGGTCCTAGAGGGGTGGAAGGCTCCAGAAAGCCCCAAGTACAAGGGAATGCACGGGATGAAGATGCCTCCCCGCGAGGAGGATGGTTACATTGGACTCTAGGGTAAGAATATCAAATAAAATTATAGAGTCGTCTATTGAAGCGTTGAATACATGTATACAACATAGACATATTGCCCCGCGTTTCCTTAGATATGATGTCATTGCCTCATATTGTTACATCGACAGCGATTCCTTTACAGCATACTTTGTAGGCGGGATTAAAATCATACAGGAAATTATACCTTTGTAGAGTCATTTCAGCAAGGGATGCAATGGAAATCCGGCTTTCAGAGAGTGGGTTTAGCAACTGCCCCATGTCATACAGACATAAGACCAATAGATCACGACATTGTCAAGTAGCACGGGAGTACCCAGGCATACAGGACAGCATGTAACGTGCAGGGCAAAAAATTTGAAGGGGTGAGAGGAGAAAGAGAAATAGAATGGGTGATTGGAAGGTACCTGCTTCAAGGCACCTTCCCAAATAAAGTGTAGCCTTACCCCCTCAAGCCCCTCTCTCTTCTCCTATAAATTCTTATCTTTCTTTTTATTTCTCTTTTCCTTTCTTCACGCTTTCCACTCTGACACATATTTTGCTATCTGACATAATGCCTCTTTACAACGTGAGTTCAGCTTCATTTTCAAAATATCCGGACTAACATCTCCCTAGATCACTCTCAAGACCGACGCTCCCGTCGAGGAGCTGGAAAAGTGTGTCGCATTAACGATAGATCCAATACCTTGGTACTAACATATCTTCTCAGGGCCAAGGAAACGGCCAGGGAGAAGGGCGGCGTCATCAGACATGAATACAGCATCATCAAAGGCTTCACGTAAGTGGTGCTGGTTCGATCTATGCTATTGAGGCACATACTGATATATGGATCAACACTAGTGTCGAGTTCCCCGATGACACCGTCCAAACCTTCGAGTCTACTGAACATGTCCACGTTGAGCAGGACGGCGCAGTGAATACTCAGTAAATGTCCCAAGTCAACATGACTAGGACTGAAGACTGCAGTCGCTGTACATGTTCCGCTTTATGAGTATGACCGAATGGAAACACGACAGCTGGATATCCGGGGGTTATTTTGTTTTATTTCTTTTTTGTTTTGCTTCAGCGAGATGACTTGATACCAATTATGCGACCTGCTTTCATCCGCGATGCCATGTACATCTTATGAGTACCCATCTTTTCCAAATGCGAGAGGTACAGGCATTCATACAGATGGAGCAATTTTCTTGAATCCAACTATCAGGTTGAGTTATGTGCACAGTGTGTATGTATTCAAACTTGAATGAGCCCCGTGCAACATCCGAAAGGAGAAATTCACGTAAACGCACCTTTCACCGGTAAAATAATAACAACCTTGGAGTTTTAATTCTTGTTGATCTGCAACATTGGACCGATGATATCCGCACCGCCGATGCAGATCTTCCGTCCCGGGGTCTCACTGTGAACTTCCACTTATCTCTTTCTCTTTCATGGCTACAATTCACAATGACAACCTCAATACCTAGAGCTATACCTTTTCGGCCTGGCTGCCGGGCCCTTCCAATTACGCGACCTCGCATTTTCCGTCAATCGTCCTCGCAGAGTCAAAATTGGGCTGGTCGCCCATTTGATGACGCCAAAGACAATGTTGCGCAGCTGGCTGCGAGTCCCCGTCGGCCGTTGACACTTGCAGACCTATTAAAGTCAGTCTTACATAGATATAACTTATACCAAAGCAGAATCAAAATGTGCTAAATTCATGTCCGTCCCTCAGACACGGCCGCCCACCATTGAACAAAGAGGCTCTACTAGCCTCTGCCAACTTCACTCTCTCCCTCCTCCCCGCCCGACTAGCTTCTCGGATTCAAGCATTACGAAACCTGCCTTTCATCGTCGTCTCAAACCCTCATGTCTCTAAAATCTACCACAATTACCTCCATTCGCTATCGACCCTCCTACCATATCAACAGCGCCGCATCACAACTCTCGAAGAAGAGAAACAGTTCGGGGACGTACTAGCAGACCTTGTACACACGCATGCAAACACAATCCCCGTCCTTGCACGCGGGTTTCTGGAGTGCAGGAAATATGTCAGCCCGGCCGACGTGACGAGCTTTTTGGATACGCATCTACGTGCGCGTATCGGTACCCGCTTGATTGCGGAACAGCATCTAGCTCTTCATTATGCCTCTCAGCCCATCAGCGATAGCCCATTCGATGGTGCCAATGCACCTGCGCCTAAGGACTCGATTCCATCAAACTATATAGGCGTCATTGACACGGCTTTGCAACCGGCACGCATCATCCGGCTTTGCGAGGATTTCGTCGGAGAAATCTGTGAGCTCAAGTACGGAGTGCGACCGCGTTTAAAGATTGGAGGTGAGCCCGAGGCAACATTTGCTCACGTCCCTGTACACGTGGAGTACATTATCACGGAGTTGTTGAAGAACGCATTCCGAGCAACTATTGAAAATGGAAATGAGCGTGAACCCATCGAGGTGACGATCGCTGCTGCTCCAGATGTGCCCGGAAGTGAGCCGCCGGTCCCGGGTGATGCTGATGCTGGCTTCGAGATTGATTCAGAGCTTGCCAGCGCCAATGAGAATGAAAACATTGGGCACTCGGCTCCATCGTCTCAGAGTATCACAATCCGTATCCGTGACCGTGGTGGTGGTATTCCGCCTGAGGTTCTGCCACATATCTGGTCGTACAGCTTTACGACTTTCTCCGATATGGACTTGCATGGCTCGGAGAACAGCAACATGGATGCCTTGAACACCATATCTGCTAGCGGTGGCCAGCTCAGTAGTATTGCAGGTCTGGGCTATGGGCTGCCTCTCAGCCGAGCATACGCTGAGTACTTCGGTGGCAGCATTGCAGTGCAAAGTCTATGGGGATGGGGGACAGATGTTTATTTGACCCTGCAGGGAGTCGGGAGAATTGATTGAGAAAAGAAAACAGAACGACAACACTAGATCCCCTGAACAAGATCATCCTTTTTGGCTAGTACAACCAACTCATGATACCCGCAGATAGCTTTGCCTTCTACAACCTTGACTTGGTCGGTGACTGGATAAACAGATCTACGAAATCCGAGATCAAAGTACCTCGATTTTGAACAGCACCCAAAATCCGACCGATCTCTGTCGCAGAGAATATAAGCCCCATATTTTGGAAAAACTTATCTTGTACTGCAGCTGGTGTTTTGGGGTTCCGCGCATGTCCTACGGGATACTCGACCAATATTTGAGGCAACGAGGATCCATCTGCGAGATGGACAGTAATCCCCGCACCAATGCTCTTCTTGTCCAGTTCCAAGTAGTCCTCCGTGAGCCTAGGGTCGGGCTGCACCACGATCCTTTCTCGCAGGGCTTCAAGCTCCTCACTATTCACCCATGGACTTGTGTCTAAATAGTCTGTAGCCTCTGGTGGACTGCCCTTCAAGAAAGCCAAGGCAACCACATACTGAATGCAGTGGTCACGATCAGCAGCGTTGTGCAGCGGCCCATGTTTGTTGACAATCAAAAAGGCAGCAGCAGTCGTTCGCAGATCTATTCGCTGAATCTGTTCCAGCGGATCGGACAGCCCCCTCTCTCGAAATCGACGCGCTTGCAAAACGGCTGCCTCGACGGCCGAGATTGCATGCCCTTCTACGGGCATACTTTTGAACAGCACATTCTGTACCGTCCACGACCCAAATGGTCGTGGAAGTAAAAATCCCGCCTCGCCAAAAGTTCGTTCCCAAAACCCCCATGGCTTCGCACTCAATGCCCCCGGCGACCCAGGCTGGCCGCCCTGGACTAGTAGCGCCAACTGCACAGCTCTTCTCGCCGCATCGCCTGCTGCCCACCCTTTCCTCGGGATAGTATTTGCGCCAGATCGGTACACCCGGTTCGGATGGCCATCCATCCAAACATGAGAAATAGTCGCCATAGCTTGTTCATCCGTCATCCCAAGCAACCAACAAACAACAGCAGCAGAAGCCAATTTGACTAGCACGACATGGTCGAGTCCATGGGCATTAAACGCATTCCGCATTTGATAACACCCCTGTATCTCGTACGCCTTGACCAGCGCGATGAGCAACGTCTGCATCGTCAACGGCGGGCCATCATGAACCCGTCGGCCAGACAAACTTGCGCGCGACAGCCAATCCATGACCGGGAGTATGGCACCGAGATTATCTGCAATTCAACCTTAGTTTCACAGCCACAATCCCCAGCCCTGTGTCTTCAAACAAACCATACCTGAAGGATGTCCCCATTCCGCACCACCAAGCGCATCATTATGATCCAAGTACCGAATCAGGACACCCAGATCGAAAGCCCCCTTGATGGGATCGACCTGCAACTCCGTTCCTGGGACCCTGAATCCATCCAGCACAAGTGTACCCTTGATCACGGGACCGAGCAGCTTTCGGCATTCAGTGCTCGTCGCTGCTGTCTCGATGGCGCAGCCCATTGCGTCCAGCAGGGCTGTCCGTGCGCATTTCCAAATCGCTTCGTCGTCTTGGTTGAGCGTGTGGTGGTAGACATAGTTTACTATGTCGACTATTGGCTGGTCGTATGGGCGAGACATTTGTGATGGTATGGGTGTCTTAGCGGGAGTTTTGGGTTACTTTGTTACTGATTTGTTGTAAAATTGGGAGACAAATGAAATTTATGATTTTGGCAAACTTGGCCCAGGGTACATGCTGTAGAAGTCCTCGGTGGGTTTCCTGGAATGATGCGGTCGTACATGACGGCCTTTGACTTGTGAAATGGCCAATATCGAGTGTTCATCTTAGTTTTCACATCTTGGTGGTCTGCTACTCTTGGACAAAAACTCTAGCACCTTTGCCCTGAATATCTTGTAAGGGGATATTTCCATAAGTCATTCATTCACATTGCCAAAAGAGATCCAAGCATAGTTTACCCACTCTCTAGACAAAAATATCCCGAGACCAAAGCACCCCAACCACATAAGCAAATGGGCTTCCCGAGGTCTAGAATCCACCAACACCTCTCACTCGCTGTACAGCACCAATGGCCCCCTTAGCCCAACTAAACCGACCCTTTACAGGCCCCATTGAGCCCGGCGGGGTCTTGTCGGTCTCAGGGTCATGCCAGCAGCCATCCTTCGTACTTGCAGCGCCGTATTTGGCAGTATTTTGGTTGCGATTGATCAACTCCGTCCAAGCCCGACAAACGAGCGCGGAATCAATAAGAACATTGACTTCCTGGCTGTGGAAGAATGACTGGGTATCGAGGTTTCCATTGCCTGTAAAGATGGTTAGGTACTTGCATAAAGCATACTTCTCTCCTGGTGCTTTTTGGGGCTTACCTTGAATCGCAATCTGCTCATCAACGATCATCAACTTAATATGACAGCTCCGCTTCTTAAAGCTATTATGAATCGGACGAGTCTGGTCCTTGCCGACATAATAGCATACCCGTAGACGAGATTTCTCTTCGTCGGTTTCGAGGGAGTTATACAGCCTGTTCGCAATCATTTCGTTGGTCCCATTTTGGAACGGGAGGAGCTCGCCTGCGTCGTTGTAGCCAAGGCAGAGGTAGCAAGATACCACAACGCCGCGGCGAACGGCGTTAAGGAGGGGTTCCAATAGTGGCTCGGCGTTCATGTTTGGCGTCTGAATGAGGATTGAATGCTGGGAGTGGTTGATTGCGGACAGCCATGCCGCGTTTTGCGGGGTGTGCACGCTGCTGTGGTTTGGGGCTTGAAGAAGTTGAAAGTCAGAGTCATGTTCGGCTGTCTGAGAAAGCTTCTCCTCGTGGTTTGGACTTACACCCAAATGGTTCCCTGTTTACCAATGCCATTGCGAAGGGCTCATGTCGTGGTAGGATCAAGTAAGGGTTGAACATATTATCCTGGTCGCTGTCTGGTGCATCGCCTGTTGTGTTAGGCTGGATAGTTGTATCTGTTTAGCTGTTAGGAATTATCATTAACAATACACAAATTTCACATACTGAGATGACGGCTGACAGCCTGTGTGCGAGTTTCGTCACCTTGAGGGTGAACACAATCGTTGACTCTCCGGGCCTCTTGTGCAAAGTCGCTATCATAATGTGGAGATTTGGTAGTATGGTCAGGAAGAGCTGTATCTCTATTCTCTGTAGGGATAACATCATTTCTTTCTTCGTGGCATGGTATCGGAGCGTCCCTCGCTGGAGAGTCCAAAAGTGGAAACGGGGGGTCGAGAGCCTTTCCCCACGACAGCAAAGCAGCATCGTAGAAAGAATCAACAATCGGGCCCTCGATATGAGCTAACATCTCAAGGTTGTCGTTGTCTTGAATATTACTGCTCTGTATGAGCGCCATGCGCCGGTCAATAACAGTGAATTTTGCATGGAACGTTCCAAAGACAGGCCGGTGGAAGTTGATGACTTGGAGATCGACATTGGGTATCTCGCTCGCGGCAGGTAGCTTCACTTTTCCGCCAACATATTGGTCCTCGTGGACACTCAATCTATTCTCCCATGCCTAGTGCTTCATTAGAATCATGTCTGCAGATCGTGCTCGATACACATCAATCAGAATCAAGAGCACTCACCTGGCGAGGATCTCCGCGATCATACATCATCTTCATAACTATTTTCTGTCCCCTTTCTCCTGCTCGTTTGGAAAGTTCCCGGATGGCATTCGTCACTAATGTGGATGCGTCCGAGTGGATCCAGAAATTGGTACCCAAAAAGACTTCATGTTCGGCGCGCACAATACAATTCGCTAAATGGCGACAGAGATCAGGTAGCGGGGCGACAATTGTCAGTGGTAGAACTCCTGTGCTCCCCAGCAGCTGGGGCGATACAACCCCCGACATTGGGTTCTTTTCTAAACAACATAACGCGTCACGATAAACCTGGTGAACATGTGTTAGGTTCTCCTCTCCTAATGGTGATATAGCAAATTAATTCACCTTTAGAAATAGATCACTCGTTTCCACAGACCCAAAGTTCCCGCAAGCGCGAGCTTTCTGCAGCTCATTCAACGTTTCCCATTCCGACGCTTTGTCGACATCTGATTCTTCCGCGCCATCGTATGTATGCGACACGTGATGACTCTCGAACAACTTATGAAAGACTTTTTGCGGACATTGCGATGGGTCAAGAGCTAACTCTGAGGTTACTGTCTGCCCTTGACACATATTGTACACCTTGCGTGGTATCATCTCGCACCGAAGTCGATTGGGACTTGGGGGTTGTCGAATGATCAAAATAATTCCAACGACAAAAAAGGAACAGGTCGCAGCAAATAACTTGACAAGTTCAAAGATATTCAATATTGTTCCAGTCAAGTTCCACGGGTGGAATATACCATCCATGACTGAGATGACGTAGCGCACTTGGCCCTGGGCTGGCTTCCTGAAGGCTTCTGACAGGCTTCTAGTTTTCGGGAGAAGGACAAACTGGGTCCATATGGAGGATTTCGATTGAAAATGGAGTCGAATAACTGTGGTGCCTAAATATTTTTGCCTTCGCTCCCTATATGCCCAGGTCTTCCAACTAAACTTGGAAGATGACCATTCAGCCCTATGACGTCGGATGCTGCATACCCCACAAAAATACATTGCTTGTCGTTCCTGATTATAAATTAGGTGTTTTAATGTTTTAATTGAAAAAGGAGCTTGATCTATATGTGGAAGTCTATAATTTTTACCCTACGCTGTTCGACACCCATGAAAATCTACGGATAGTCAACGAACTACTTCGACCTACATGTATATGTATGCTTCAGAACTATCAGACCGAATCAGACACCAAACACATAAGAATTGCATAGAGGACCTCAAAGAGCCAGCTGGGCGTTTTGTAATCATATTATTAAAGAGATTAAATGAAGTATTGCACAAAAAAAGAAAAATACATAAAGCCATGTCCGAAAGGTCGACCTGTTTACGCTGGCATGCGCATATACCTGCCAATGCATTCCACCATACATTATTGTTTCAATCAGAGGTGTTGAAAGAAAAAAAAAGAATCACGTCGCAGTGACTGTCTCGCCGGTGTATGAAACCTCTGAGCTCCTCCATTGCATATCCTTGGTCCCAAGGCCCGTCGATTGGAGACTTCTCTGTTGAGATTTCTCTAATTTGAAATCTCCCCGTTGCAAGTCCCCAGCTTTAGGCACTTCAATCCCAAGGTCAATATCCCCAACTTCCCGAACAGACTGGCGGTATGTCTTGATCCCAGTCTTCAAGTACAGATCAAGTTCGTCGACATAATCATATGCGGCCTTGCCGGTGATGGCGAGCCTCTCATAAGAGTCAATTCCTCCTAAACGCCACTCGGGCAAGGGATTGCGCGCATCTCCCATATCATAGACATAACCAGGGCGGCCATTCTCGTCAACCACCTTCCTACGGTCAAACTTGACACCACGCCCAATCGGCGTGTAGTCTTTGATCTGCTTCTCCCTAAATCCCACCACTGGATGGATGAACTCAAAACTCTCTCCCAGCAGATTTCCCTCTTTGTCGAAAGGGGCATAGTTTCCAGGTCTGCGCCTCGCCGACCCGTTGGCGTAGTAAAATGCAGTAAAGCTGTCTTCCAGAGGCCCTGTTCCCCAGCCATAGCTGCGTCGCTTGTCCACAGACTCGACAGAAGACGTGGGGGGCTGTTTGAGTTTGAAAGCCGAGGCTATAGCTGCAACCTTGCGTTGAGCCCAGCTTCCCAATGACTCATCGTGGACCGTGTTTTCGACAATTGTTGAAATGTGGTATTCCCTCTCTTCTCTTTCCTCGGAGAGAGAATCCTCGTTGAGCGACAGGTAGGGTTTGATCTGGTCTAGCATCCAAGAGAAGGTGATATTAGACATTTCTTCCATGTTGCCCTCGTTTTTGAGTGTTTCATCCGAGCCTCCGCCGATATTAACGTGATAGCCGGGGAACCACACTTGTGTCAATGTTCGGGGATGGTGCTGGTGCTTGTGGTCATCTTCCAGCTTCAGGAGCTTTCGGGTCTCCTGATTCAAGGCTCTGGCGGTTTCATTAAGTTTTCGGGCTGCGTTGTTGACGTCCTCATCACTAGCCCTGCCGCTACCCTTGAGGGTGATTGCGTCTTGCAAGAGATTGTCCCATTTTTGTGCTTGCTGGTCGACCATACTCTTCTGGGTTTGTATCTGCTCTGAAGTGACATTTCCAAGCTTGTGGAGATACCACAGAGTAGGCGAAAAGGCGTTGCGATGTTCATCGAGAGCCAAAGCCTGGAATGCATGTTTGACATCTAGGGACCGTTTGTCAGTATTGTGCCGACGATGAAACCACACCTAGGTAAGAAGGAAAGAGAGGATTTAGTATACTTACTAGGTGAAAGTCCAACATTCTCCCACCCGCTCTTAGCCAACCACCACGTGAGCCAAGATGGCAGCTTCATCCCCAGTACCTCCGGCATTCCAATAGCGCCGACTGTATCATAGACGCCAACAACTTCCACATCCCTTGACCCTTCCTGGGCCCAGTCGCCCTCGGGACGCTTTTCAAATACGAAAGTCTCGCCTCGAGCGCCCTGATTCTCATCCGCCTTTCCATCCATCCACTCAAACCAGAGGTCACTGCAATAGAACCGCTCGCCGGGCGTGGTTTTCTTATAGACCTCCCAGAGATCGGGAAACCGGTTCAAATCTTGTTTACTGCAAATACCAATATCGGAGATCAAACCGGCAATGGCGCGGGCCGTGTACGCACCCCTCGAGAAACCAAAACACATAATCTGATCGCCCGGTCTGTAGTTCAGGACACAGAAGTTATACGCTTCGATGACATTCCCTTCCAGGCCTAGGCCAATGGCGCCTTCGAGTTTTTGTCCCAAAAAACCTGAGGTCGTGCCAATTCCGGAATCATACCAGACTATTTGCTGCCATTGATTCCCGTGTTCGTCGGTTCCGACACTGTTCAGAGCACGACAGAGACGCGTCACATTAGATGGGACATTTTTCTTGCCTGAGACGGCAGATTGCCATGTTCCGTCGCAGCAGATGATGATGCGCTTCCGCACGGAGTGGGCCTTTGAGTCCCCTCTCTGTTGGACTCTGTATGGTGGCTCATGGATCTCGGAGCAAAGAGACATTTTAAGTACAATGGAGTTTAATGTGCTGTGGGAGAAGATTTAAATCAAGTCTAGTGGGTGGGTACGACTCTTATCTACATAGTTTTCATTTACACGCTTGTCTAGGTTTTTATTGTTGTCGCACGAGTTGGGTTCGTCTCGAGGTCGCTTTGAATCATCTGTTTTGTTTACTTGCATGAAATCTCCCGCTAGTTTACGAACCCAAACGCCACGATCGGCAGCCTAACCCCGTTTCGAGTCACCCAGGCGTCCCAGTGTTCGTGTTCTCTTCAGCTCCTGCAGGAATTGTGACTCTTCACTGGATCAGCTTAGCATAGCCTCTCGCCAAGCCAATAATCACCTGGCCATACATATGGGCCCAGCTACGTCGGCGCATGGTTAGCCTTATGATCGGCATGAAAAGATGAAAAGATAGCGACAGGGTGGTCCAGCCGCAAACCTTCCCGGGAGTCCCGTACCACAGATAAAATACACGAGCTGGACTTTTGAGGTCTGTGCCAGGTGGTTAAAACCGGGGTAACTATGTGGATTGGCCTGAATGGGTGGGTGGGTGGGTGAGCAGAGGGTGCTGAACCCTTCAAGCCCCCGGGGCCAGCCTTGGAGGGCTATGTAGCTTATAAATGTGCTAAATCTCTAAATCAATCAATAATCCTTGTTGTAAATAAGAAAATGCCAATTTCGTCCCCTGTGTCACTGTTTGTACAAAGGTCTTATCGTGACCTGATTTGGCGAGATTCCCGGCTCAGGGGTTCAAGGCTTCTTGACTGCTGTTGCTAATATTTCCTTGATGAGATGACTTGTGATTATGAGTCGAAATTTTATCTAGTAGCCAGCGGAATAATGGTCGAAGAGTGACGAGACTGCCTGCTGTAATTCCGAGGCCGGCCTCAATGTTGGATCCGATGGCGATTTGGTAGGCAGAATCTGGAGGATGTTAGACTTTGTGTTGAGGAGGGGGTTGGACGCCGACATACAAAGTAAATTATCATGGCATAGAATCGTAGAGCTGGAAGTCAGCATATCACTACCACACTCGCATTATTTATAGTTAGCAATAGATTCATCTCCAGAGTGGCCAGTTGGCCAAAATATAGCACGTACATCGCCCGTAACCCGAGAATTCCTCTTACTGCAAACTTCGTACAACTATTGAGTTGCAATTTCCAGACGAGGAAAGCAGGTAGCAGGTCAAGTGCTACATCACACAATATAGTAGTCACAGAGCTGTAAAAATAAGAGATATCCAAGATTGTGGACGTGGGCAGACATATTCCGGTGCTAGTTCCATCCACTCGTCGCTAGAAGTGGGAGATGGATTACGGGCGAAGAGTAGCACAAGCCAGAACATAAGTCGGACAGCAATGAAGACAGCAATAATTCTCCAAAGTATCACTCGGTAAGACCTTTTGACGGCTAGGCTAGCCAGAGGAGTGCAACGGCAATTGATAATTCAGGAACTGTTAAGACCCATATGTAGAGCATTTGACCAAGCCACCACAACTATAGGAGATAGTTAGCAACGAGTAAGAGATCTTCTATAAACATCACATACCACTAGTGCTCTCTTATAAATCTTCGTGCTTGTGAAGTCTGTATACGTGTGTCCGACCCCCATTCATTGCTCCAATTATGCAGCAGCCATCCAAAGATATAAAAATACAAATTAGGATTTTCTATCACAGCATGTCATATCATACGGGTCACTACTCCAACGCAGCAACCATCAAAGCATCATCCCAGCCAAGGCCCGGAGGATATTCAGTCGTACAAAAGCTCGTAACGCAACGGTCAATGGAGATAGACATCATCACAACTGAGACGATGAAGACGGCGAGACTTCGGCCCACCATAGGCATTGAGGCTCCCATTTTGACGCAACTCTAAGTTCTTTTTACTGAACGGCCCCTTCACTCATTCATTGCCCTCCTAGTTTAGATTTTCTTAGTCGCACTTGAAGCGGCAACTTGAAAAGAAGATATCGGCCGATAAAGGACCGCCGAGAAAGGAAAACTTAAAATTAAATTTGAAGAGTCTTCCGAGCCAGAAGCTATCTACAATTACAAGGGGAATCAAGACTTCATATACTCGAAATTAGCCAAATCCCTGGGTACTCCGTAGCGAAGGATCCATCGAAGCTAGCTACGCAGGCGTTAGTGGGGAGGTTTTTAAAATCGGTCGCAGCCAGCGCATAGATCGATCGAGGAACCATAGGCGATTATAACGCATAGGGGGTGTAACCCCCACGTCCTAGTTCCATTTGAAAGCGAAGGCCTGCGCCATGCATGTATATAACACCAATCAATGCTACGGGCTTCCTATATGGTGAATATTGGAGATCCTGATAAGCTATTGGCCAATTATAATTGCTGTGGCTTTCCCTGATCTATTCAACTAGCTAAATGAGTATCCGGCTGTTTGGGCTGTTCGTGCTGAAATTTTGTGTATGGGCAATCTAAGGCGGGTTCTAGATATACAAAGTAGATCTTGTCGCCCTAAAAAGGGGGTCATTATTGTTTCAAGGGAGCGCCAAATGGTTATCACTCTATCTCTTCTTATTTTCGTGTTGTGGCAGTTTTATTTTGTACAACGGAGCCACCATTGTAGTATACCTAGTCCTAAAAGATAGTAATCTCAAGTCGTAGTAGTAAAACACCACAATATATGTTACTACCATTATTTCAGGAAATATGAACCCGCTGAGTTCAAGTTTAACGACTGGCTTGCGTAATTATAGTGGGTTAGTGGTGGGGGTAGTAAGCAGATCTACAACATCCATCCAATATCTAACATAACCCTGCAGACCCCTTGGGTATATTGCTAAAGTGGCATCACATAGCTATATAAGAAAGCTTACTGCAATTCTCCAAGTTTTTCAAACTAAACTTGAATGATCTTCCCCAGGTCGGTTCTTTCACGGTTTCTAGTAGATCTCATTTCGTTAGATAAGAATTGCTTTTCTCGTTCTACTAAGCCTTCTTCAAGCATGGCATTTTATACATTTGAAGATAGCTTGTGTCCAGGAAAGCCTTTGATTACAGAATTCTGTAGGAACTAGACCGAATATGAGATCTAGTTCGGAGACTGGTTCCCGGCATAATCCCTCATCGACCGCGGTTATTGGGCCAAACATGGAGAGGAGAACTTCTCAGTGAATTCGGAGATGATTCTTTTAAAATATGGTATAACCGAGAAATCTATATATTGAATGCTTCAGAGGCAATCGGTGTTCCTTTGGTACCCCCACCCTCGGAGTTGTGGCCGAGATCCCAATTCAAGGCTTCCCCAGATCGTGAGCTTTATCAGCAATGTGTTTCCCCTCTCTTCTCTGTTTGCTCTTCGTATATCAATATTCAGAGACTCGAAACACCTTTCTTTTGCTATTCAACTTTAATAGTATCATAGAGTTCAGCTATGTACGGAGTTCCCCATACGAACATTCAAACGTTCTTTTACTCACATAAAACAAGGGTTTATACAGCATCTTTTGCTTTCTTCGAAGCCCTCTGGGAGGTATGTACTAGTAGGAACTTTATTTAGAAAAGAGATTCAATCCTAATCCTTACAACCTCAGGGCGGCGTGAGCCATGTCTTTGTCAATTTGGGATCAGATCACCCCTCCATCCTCGAGGCGATGGTGAAAGGCCAGAAAGAAAAGAAAGACCAGTTTCCTACGATCATCACCTGTCCCAATGAAGTAAGTTAATAATTGCATCACGGGACCTACCAAGCTTAGTGGCAGCACTTCGGTTAGAGTCGGTAGTATGAGAGCCCCGCTGACAATGTAATGTGTTGTTCAGATGGTGGCACTGTCCATGGCCGACGGCTACGCCCGATTGACCGGAAAGCCTCAAGCGGTAATCGTCCATGTCGATGTCGGCACGCAGGGACTCGGAGCAGCAGTTCACAACGCCTCATGCGGGCGCGCCCCGGTCTTGATCTTTGCCGGTCTATCGCCTTACACGATCGAGGGTGAGATGCGAGGTTCGCGCACGGAATATATCCACTGGATCCAAGACGTGCCGGATCAGAAGCAAATCGTCGCCCAGTACTGTCGGTACACCGGTGAGATCAAGTCGGGCAAGAATGTTAAGCAGATTGTCAATCGGGCTTTGCAATTCGCAACTAGTGACCCACAGGGGCCTGTGTACCTCGCTGGGGCACGAGAAGTCATGGAGGAGGATATCGAGCCGTACCAGCTGAACCAGGCTGTGTGGGGTCCTGTGGCACCGGCTGCCCTACCAACGTCCGGCGTTGAATTGATCGCATCTGAGCTTGCAGCTGCGAAGAACCCTCTTATCATTACTGGATATTCCGGGAGGAAATCCCAGGCTGTGACTGAGCTGGTCACATTGGCAGATAATTTCAAGGGAATCCGTGTGTTGGACACTGGTGGTAGCGACATGTGCTTCCCCGCTAACCACCCCGGGTGGTTGGGATTGAGATATCCAGGGCATGAGGCGGTGGGAACATCCGATTTAATCCTTGTGGTAGACTGTGATGTCCCCTGGGTGCCTACCCAGTTCAAGCCGTCTGCATCGGCCAAGATTATCCACATTGATGTCGACCCTTTGAAGCAGCAGATTCCAGTTTTCTACATTCACTCGATGGCTGCGTTCCGCGCTGATGCTTCCACCGCGCTCAAGCAGATTAACGATTACGTTGCTTCTCAGGAATCTCTGCAGCAATTCATTGGCTCCAAGGAGAATACCACTATGGGCGAACGCCGAGACGAGGAGTATTCGAAGCGTCGACAAGATATCTCCGATCTGGCTGTGGTCCCGGAGGGCGGCAGTGGAGCCTCCTTGAATATCAACTATCTCATGGCGCAGGTCCGCCAGGGCGTTCCAATTGAGACTATCTGGGCCATCGAGTCCGTAACCATGACCCACTTTGTTGCGGATCAAGTCTCAGCTACCCAACCTAAGTCGTGGATCAACTGTGGAGGTGGCGGTCTCGGCTGGTCCGGCGGTGGTGCACTTGGTATCAAGCTTGCCAGTGATATGCAGCATGGAGGACGTGGGAAAGGAAAGTTTGTCTGTCAGGTTGTTGGCGATGGAACATTCCTCTTCTCGGTACCTGGATCTGTGTACTGGATCGCCCGCCGCTATGGAATTCCCGTTTTGACAATCGTGCTGAACAACAAGGGCTGGAATGCCCCCCGGCGAAGCATGCTGCTCGTTCACCCTGAAGGGGACGGCTCTCGTGCTACGAACGAAGACCTCAATATCTCATTTGCGCCAACGCCGGATTATGCTGGTATTGCTAAGGCCGCGGCGGGTGGTGAAATGTGGGCTGGCCGTGCCTCGACTGTTGCTGAGCTCGCCCAGAAGCTTCCAGAAGCTATCCACAGTGTTCTGAGTGGAAAGGCAGCGGTGCTGGAAGCGCAGCTTGACGGGACTACGGGCAAATATGTGGGGAGCTCGTGAGAACATGGATTTTGGAGGGTTGGCAGGTACTTGTAAACAGATCAGTTGGCGTAACTTTGAAATACAAGGAACCTGACTATATTCATAGTTCTACACATTTTCAACTATTCTCCACATCTCCTTTCCTGTCCTTCCACCATCTAGATATAGGCGTATTGTAGCGCTGGTCGTGTATAGTACTGTTGTACCTTTCTACGTGAATCCCATACAAAATATACAGCTTATTTTGCACCCCTTGAGGGGGTTTCTCACTATTCAGTGATAGACAGAATTAGAGACAGCCATTCAACAACAGCCGGGGTAGCTCAATGGTAGATCGTCGGGCTTGCCTTCAGTATGAGACCCCGAGGAGGGATAGTTGATATCGGAGTTGTTCTATCCAAGGGAGACCGGTCATGACGGTTGCACTGACGGTTGCACATGGAAACGTTGCAACTGCGCCCTAGTCGGCATTGTCTGGAGCTGGACTACACAATTCCAGCATTGTTCAGAACGCCGTTCCATGTCACGCTGCGTGGGCCGTCATCGACGGACGATACTTCGATTTTTGTAGAAACATCTTTCTTTTATAGAGAGAATTTATCGAAGCAGTAGATAACTGACTTACTTGTGTTCCTTTAGTAGTACCCCGCGGATGGTCTTTCAGGTTTCTAGCTTCTGAAGGCGGTATTTAACCGCATATATATAGACGATATATACCTAGAGTAAGCCCGAGGCGAAGATAACCATGGAAAAAAACGGAGATAATCTTATGATGTACATGTTGCATGAATGTCTATCTATTGGTTTCTTGCCTTTGATATGTCTAGAATAATTCGTACTATGTATTCTATGAGTCAATGCGTGGAATTGAAAATTGATGCGATGAACCTAGCAAAACCAAACCAAAAGATTCAGTCCTTTGCGTTTCCTCAAGATAGCCTATCAACAATCAGCCTACCTCAATTGACAGAGCGTGTGACTATTGTTCTTTCACTGTAAATCACAAGGTTCGGTCGGGTCCAATTGCTCGTTCTTTATATATAGATATATATATAAAAATTTATTTATTTATTCTTATACTAAGAAAGATAACTGTACTCCGTAACTATGTATCCCATTTTTTGCTGTTGTTCTGACGTAATTTTCACTGTGCCATTGGTTATCCCATGTATAAAGTGCCAAGCATAAGTTCCCTACGCCCTTTGACATACTAGTGCATACATTTAATAATAGAAATACACTATGTACCTATAGCCATTGACCCCAAAATGTAGAATGGAAAGCCCAATTATGAAATATTATTGGACGACGGAGTATACTTGTATCTATTATATTGTAAAATGAGTCATGTGGTTCGGAGAAAAAGTTCTCGGGATGGAGAGAGATCAAGTTCCGCTCCGCTTTCGCCGAGTTGCCCTCTCTGTGGCACCTTTAGCATTTTCAGCACCTTCGATTTCTCCTGTTTCTTTCTTATATATATGTAGCCTTCTCTACTTTCACAGACATATCAGGCCAATACTACTACAAATCCCATATATCAAACACCCCTCCGCATACCTCCCCGCATACCCCTCCGATTCCGCATTCCGCATTCCGCATTTACGCCGCTACCAACCCAATCACAATGAGTCCACCAGCACCCCTAGATGTCAACCTGGTGGGCATCACCGATACATCGGCTGTCCCTATCCCGGATCCCTTGACATTCAATGGCGTGTCTGCATGGAGACAGAAGATGGCCAAGGTGCCCACCGGCGTGGCTGCGGCATCCAACAGTGATATGTTTAAGAGCCCGGTATGATAATATGATAATTCTAGATTGTGCATAGGCGTCCCGAGGATATGGGCCAAAGAATACAGTCAATTGCAGGATGCAGAATGCTGATATATGTCTGGGGGCATTAGATCTGCTATACCAAGCCCAAGGCTAAGCGGTTCGAACGTATGTCTACCCTTTACTCTTTCCGAATCTATACCAAGTTGTTCTCACAATTATTCCACTCATACTAACTTTCACTCGATCTCAGACCGTTTTTCACTCGAAGCCAAGTCTCGCAAGGTTCGCAATGAATTGCGCAATGCGAAGTCCACTCTTGCTAATTTCCTACACCTTAGGCGTCCACTTTGAAGACTGCCGCTCGTTACCTGAAAAACCCAGGTAATACTTCAGAATACTTTTTCCTTCTATTTATGGGCTAATCATGTTTTCAAGGCCTTATTTCCCTCGGTGGTGGACTGCCCTCACCTGAATACTTCCCCTTCGAGCACTTGGATATCAAGGTCCCTACTGCCCCCGGATTCTCTCCGGAGGCCACTCAGAAGTCAGGCACGGTTCTTCGTGCTGGAAAGCATGATATTCAAGAAGGAACTAGCACCTACGGTGAGTTCCCATTCTCTTCTTGCATTAGAAATGACTGACTGATCTAATTCCTCAGACTTGGAGATTGCCCTTAACTACGGACAAGCTACCGGAGCTGCGCCATTGCTTCGTTTTGTCACGGAGCACACCGAAGTGAGTATAAAAAGTCAAGTCTCTCATGTCTCAGCAGAGACTAACTAAAGCAGATCATTCACAGCCCTCCATACTCTGACTGGCAATGCACCCTGACTGCTGGCAGCACCTATGCCTGGGACACTGCTCTCCGCTTGTTCTGTGAGCGCGGAGACTACATCCTCATGGAGGAATATACCTTTGCCAGCGCCGCCGAGACCGCCTTCCCCCTGGGCATAAAGGCCGTGGGCATCCCAATGGACGAGCAAGGTCTCATCCCGGAGGGAATGGACAAAATCCTCAACAACTGGGACGTCGCCGCCCGGGGTGCACGCAAGCCTCACGTCCTGTACACCATCCCAACAGGGCAGAACCCGACTGGTGCCACCCAGTCCGCAGAACGCCGCCGGGCCGTGTACAAGGTCGCGCAGAAGCACGATCTCATCATCGTTGAGGACGAACCCTACTACTTCCTGCAGATGCAGCCCTATACCAGCGGGGACGCCTCCCCAGTGCCTCCCCCTCCACCCACGATGAGTTCATCAAGTCACTTGTTCCCTCGTTCCTGAGCATGGACACTGATGGCCGTGTCGTTCGCCTCGAGTCCTTCTCCAAGGTTATCTCGCCCGGTTCCCGAGTTGGCTGGATCGTCGCCTCCGAGGAGATCGTGGAGCGCTTCATCCGTACATTCGAGGTTTCCTCGCAGAACCCTAGCGGTATTGCCCAGCTCACACTCTTCAAACTTCTCGATGAGCACTGGGGCCACTCCGGGTACTTGGATTGGCTGATCAACCTGCGCTTGTCGTACACTGCTCGTCGTGACTCGCTCGTTCACGCCTGTGAAAAGCACCTGCCCCGTGAAATCGCTCACTGGGAAGCTCCCGCGGCTGGCATGTTCGTAAGTTTTCTCTCGTCTTTTCTTATCTATCTCCCTTGTATATTCCATTAAATTGTCATATTGCAAAAATACTAATTTGTTACCCAGCACTGGATGGAAATCGACTGGCGCAAGCACCCCGGCGTTGCCGCTGGCAAGACTCACGCCGAAATTGAAGAAGAGATCTTCCTGTCCGCTGTAAACGGAGGTGTCTTGCTCTCCCGCGGCAGCTGGTTCAAACCCGACCACGACACTGCCGAGGAGAAGATGTTCTTCCGTGCGACCTTCGCAGCTGCTTCGTCGGAGAAGATTGACGAGGCTATCTCGCGCTTCGCCGAGTCTCTGCGCGTTCAGTTTGGCCTGTAATCTGGTGCCTGGCGTACGATTTTGACGAATCTCTTTTATCATAAAGAGGATGCATTAACTGGTTGGCTTTACGATTTTAGATGGTAGATAGATATCGCGTTTTGTAAAAGGGTGGTGGTTTTTCATTGTGTTTCAGAGAAACATATTTCATTCTCAGTTTCATCTCTTTTTGGACAATTTATTGATTCATAGTCAAAAATGCCACTATTTTATTCTGCTATCCGAGATTCAATATCGAGTCAAAAGAATGGTATGTTCATGATTAATGATGTGATATAATAATGTACAAAAAGCACAATGGTATCAGGCAATAAAACAAAAAGGCAACAATAAAGGATGAGAAAAGCATCCAAGCGAATCAACAGTATTCAAGGGGGGTGGTATCTCCAAAAGGGAGAAAGATCACGACCCCAAAATCTTGCCATAAGCATCCTCCACCTCCTTAGCAATCTCCAACAGCGTGACAATAATAATCTGGTGCGTCACATTAGGCAGTTTATCACGCTGCAACCCAATCCACTCCAACGGCGGCGTAGCCTCACCCATATCCCGGAGCTGCGGCGTCTCAATAATCGGCGGCTCAAGCGCAGTATAGGTATACCTGGACTGGGGCACATTGACAACGGCCGTAATCTTCTCCTGCTTCTCAGAGGTAGCACCGCCCCCTTCACCACCACTACCTGGTCCACCAGTGATGCGCACCGCAGACGGCGGCAAGGGCTTGCCAAGTCGCGACGCGAGCGCCCGCGAGTGCGTCTCCCACATATCGCGGATGAAGCTGATGCGCGAGTAGTTCCAGCCGACATCGACTTTGCCCTCGAACGTGCTGCGGAATATGTAGTCGATCTGGTGGGTTCCTGGAGCCTGCCAGGTTTCCATGCTCGCGACTAGTCGCGGCACTTTGAGGATTGTTCCGCCGCGGGATGCTGCGGCTCGGTCGGCGATCTCGTCGACCGAGAGCTCGTCGAGCTGGGCGGATGTGGGTCGTGTTATGCCGGATAGTGCGACGCGAAGCTGGCCAAGTGTTAAGCCTAGGGCACTGTGGATTTTGTTGGCTTCGAGCGAGACGGCGAAGCGGGCCTCGGCGTCGTAGGCTTCGACCTTGAAGATCTGGTTGTCGAAGAATGAGCTGGGGAATGCGCCCAGGTTGACGTGGAGGATCTTCACAACGACTCCGGTGTGGAGAGAGATGGGTGCTTTTTCGGGTTGGTCCTCGTCTTTCTTTGTTAGATCCTTGGCACTGACATCGAGCCGCTCGGTGAGGACAGAAGACTTCCGACGGAGGTACCGCTCTACCTCGCGTAGTGATGCTTTGTAGGCTGCTTGGACATCTTGGATTAGGCGCTGCCACGCCTGGAACAGCGCTAATGTTTGTGATGCTGTCAGAGATGTGCAGAATAGCTGGAGTTTGTCGCCTTCCAGGGTACTGAAAAGACGCTGGCTCTGCGCGCCGGATGTGTTTCGAACATTGTACATCAAGAAGTTGAACATGGCGATATGTGCAACCAAGAAAGGTTGGTAGTCGAATGACACCTTGGCTTGGAGGTGATGGAAGGCAATCGTGGCTTGAATCAACGGTGTGTGCCCCATCTCACGGGAGTCCTCGGGCCATTCGATGGAGGTATGAATTTTCAGCTTTCCAAGTTCGACAATTCCACTCATACGGCCCTTACTCTCGATCGCAACTGAGCCGAAATTGATACACATGTTCTGTTCATTGTCGGATGTCTTGCTGGTAGACACCCACAGATCAACAATGGCAAACTGTGCCTTGCCTAGGGTCGATCCCAAATCGAGTTGAATTTCGACCTTCTCGATCGCGATAGTAGTGTTCCAGGGGAATGCGGACGCCGACGCAACCTGTTGGTATCGCTGCACGATATAGGTTTGCGTTTCAGACGGCTCTGGTTGGACTGTCTCACTCGACTTGGTTTCACTGTCGGATGGAAGCCAGATCTCCTTGAAGAGCAAAGAGTCTTGAACTTGTTTGGCGTTGACTGCGACCTTCATTGGACTGACGCGCAAAATAGCTGACATTCCGTTCATTCGGCCAAGGTGTTTGCTATTCATCAACGACAGTACCATGGACTTGACCTCGAAGCTTGCGGTTGATTCATTGGAGTACACGTGCTTTACAGATGCTTCCAAGCTGTTGAAAGCCAAAGAGAGAGCAAGGAACCGGCCCTGCTCTTCCGATAGGACCGTGTTGACAGTCACGTAAACACTCTCAAACCTTGCAGTAGCCGCGACTCTTGCAATAGGCTGGCAGCTTAAACTAAACTCCTGTTTGCAAAACAGCAGTCCCAGGTTTACCTTGCACCGACCGAGGATGCTGGTGGGATCGGCGGCATCAAATGGCTTCTCCTGCATTAGTTTCTGTGACTGCAATTTCGCTGCAGCAGATGGCCTTCGAGATTGGCCCTGCTGATTGCCCATGATCTCCTTGACTGTGGCGGTCATTTGCTTGACGAGAGGAACAAGGGTGGGATACAGTGTATTCGTCGAGGGGTCGACCTTCAACTCCGCATTAAGTGCGGGATCATCCGTACCGTTGTCCTCGAATTGGACTTTGAGTGCCACTCCTGGTGCTCGAAGGGTTGCTGTAGTCGCTGCATCGCCTTGGACATATTGACCATATTTTGCGTCGGAGAGTCGGCTACCCTTCCATGTGGCCGCTAACAATGTCTGGTGATCATGGCCAAGTTTTCCTTGAAGCGTGACAGTAGCGCCTGCAAAGTCAACATCGACGAGGAGAGACCGCAATCGTCTGTTGCCGAAAAGGCTACGATCTTTGTTGGTATTTGTGTTTTCAGGAGAGTCTGCTCTGGTTGCCCAAACAGCCTTGCCTTCCCGGAGCGCCTCGCTTGCTGTAGCAATTGAGTCTTGTATCATACTAGCGGGAATGATAAATTCCGATGTGGCGCGTATATCGAGAGATTTACCAGCTGCTTGGAAAGCAAGCCACACTTCCTTCCCTTTGGAGGAATACGCCACGTTGAAGACCAGCTCTGGCATAAGGGCTGAATTGAGCGAGCGCTTTCCTCTGTCCGCTCCGAATGGTACCATCTGAAGTTGCATGTTTTCAATTCGAAGTTTGGCTGCGTTCTTCTTCTTGTTGGACAGTTCGACTTGCTGGATTGAAAAGACCAAGTCCTCGGGTTGTCGACCAGATTTGTTGTGCATCGTGGCCATGTTCCAAGCGATTTGAATGGTCCGGAATTGTAAAGAGTAAAGAGCATTGAGGAATGTTTCCGGGGTGGAATCATCGTTGATGTGGATTTCGGGGGCAGCGGTGGCTCCGTCTGTTGTATCGATGTGGCCCCCATGTCTCAATTTCCTAAGACGCTTGACTTCATGGGAAAGGTCCAGAGTTTTGATGCGCTCTTGTGTGTAGACGGCAATGTCGACCACGAGGGCTGCTGTCTCAGCGAAAAGTTCGATATCGAACCTGTCGCTGGTGAAATGGTATGCTCTGGTGGTCTCCCCATTTTCGCGGACGGCAGAGGTTCCCTGAAGCTTCACTCTAGCAGAGAAGCTGCCATATGATTGACTGCTAGCTTTTTCTTGTCTGAGAAGCTCGAATCTGATTTGAGAGGCATCGATATTGAACTCGGGATGTTCCATGGAGTATCCCCGATCTAGTCCGTTTTGAAGTCGCATACGCATCATCCCAAGGCTGAAGATCATCTCCGCAGAGTAATCTTTGCTATTAAGGCCAGGTGCAATGGCATGAATCTCGAATCCAGCCATTGTGAGACGGGATTTGTAAAGGATCTCCTGTCCACCAGATGCTGGTTTGGGCTTTGGAGATGCCCTCTGTAGCGACAGCACGTCTTTCAAGTGTGACCGGAGAACATCTAAATTCTGCTTGAGATCACAAATCAAATGGGAAACATCCGGTCCAGTCAAAACAGCCAGGAGACTGCGCACAGCACTGGTTTCTAGGCGAATGAGTTCAATTGTCACATCAACCTCCACTTCCTTGCGCTCCGATAGGAGGTTAGCAAGGATTCGCCCGTTTACGGGAGGTATTTCCAGCATTGACAAGACATTGAACTTGTCGCCTTCGCCCGATACGAACATGTGCGAGTTCTTCTTCACATCAAAGTCAATCTCGATTTTGGATGCCTCTGCAGGCGTCACTGACATGCGAGCGACCTCGCCTGACACAAGGTAGGCCAAAGATGGCAGAAGGCTAAACGTCAACCGATAGTCTTCCAAGAACATTGCTACATTGAAGGTGTCACGGGTGGGTTTATTCGATGCGAGGCTCTGATCGGTTTCCGACTTTGGTACTTTGACACTATCCATAAGCTGCCGGATGTATCTGACTTCGTCCGCGATAAGTCTGTCTGCTGTGTGTGCCAAGCTGACAGGGTCTTCTTTCATGTCATAACGAAGCTTCCTACAGGACCCAGCGAGCTTCCAATCGTGTCTGCACTCGTTGTCGTCTTCCTCTGATGCAAGTGAAAGGTACATGTATGGATCGGCGATTCTGGACAACATCAGAGTTGTGGATTGGCTTTGAAGCTCAGATGAGCATCCTTCAGCGCTAAACAATACAGCGAGGTGTTCGTGGTCTGATTTTTTGGTACCAAGCGACTTGTGGACGATTGATCCTCGGAGAGCTTTCGCTATCAAAGCAAGCTTAACATTGATACAGTCGAGAGTGATGGAACCAAAATCAGTGCCAAACATGAACTGCAGCTCGGTCGGTGTCTTCTCTTGGATCTTGTCAATTGGGACATGACCCGGCGAAGATTCAAGTGTGATATTCGACATGACCTTGATCACCCCTTCAACGAGGTCCAGGATTTCCCAGCGCAGCCTCAGGGCTGTCGATCCGCAATAAGACTGCAGGGTGATGAGTTTCTTGCTCCGCCCCACTTCACCCTCAGGCGAGTCTGGAGTAAATGATACAACAGTGGACAGATTTCCAATGATCAAATCGCTTTCTCTCGGACCAGGATCCATGGAGAATCGGAATTTATGGACTGTGGAGGATAGGAATATCGAAGGCTGGGAAGTCTGTGGTTCAGCGGCGTGCGGCCAGACACGGCGCATGACATAGCTTTTGGCAACATGTGCCAGGTCCCAAGCTCGCCAGTGGTCGAAGCCGGATAATACAGCATTTTTGGCATCCACCGGCAGAGGGAAATTGTCACACAAGCATTCCTGCTCCAAGTCACGCTTGTGATGAGCAGGTAGGCCTTTGTAAATCTTGCGAATGCGAGATATGATTTTCCACGAGTCATGCTGCCGCAAGTGAGTCGAAGCAACTCTAAGGACGTAAGATATGCGAGCAAGGAAGATTGGATCCGGTATATCAGTGGCGGATTGGGTGAGGGAGTACAAGAGGTACTGTAGGCGCTTCTCGCTGGACGTTAAAAGCTGTTGAAAGGATGACGCGACAGAATCAAACATAGTCGTGGCTCGACGAACGAGAAATGCAAGACGCTCCACAGACTTTGCTGATGTGATTGTGTTGAATGCTCGCATCTGAAGATTAGAGCGAATATTGGGCGAGGTCACGAGCCAGAAATTCATATCTTCCATGTGAGAGTTGAAGACGGCTTTCTCGTGGAAAGAATCCGCTCGACTACCTTCAACAGAAATTGAGACGTGGTCCGCTGCCGCATGAACCGTCACACCTTGTTTGAGACCTTCAAGCAGATCGCCTTTCTGACGTTGAACCTTTCTCCGGAACTCAGTATGCAGACGACGGATCTCGATGCTGTATTCATCTCGGAATTCGATCTGTTTGTTGTTGGGAGCCTCAGACAGGTCAACTAGTCGTAACTGAATGGAAGGAACACGAAGAGCAACAGCTGTTGAAACTTTCGGTTGGCTCATGGCGTTGTCGTAGCCAACGATGTTCGATATCACATCCTTTTGAAGCGAATCAATGATTCGTGTAGGATGCTTTGGCTCCAATCCATCCAGTAAGGTAGCTAGACTTAGAAGGAATTTCGGTGTACAAAATCCTCGGATACCAAGAGGGAGGTTGCACGCAAGGTTTGTGTATTTTGTTTGATCATCTTCAAATGTGAGAAACACGGACTTTTGATTCATTGCTTCACCCATTGTGTCATCTTCGTCCGTAAATGGCAACGGAAGTTCAGATGTATCCAGATGAAGCTTGTAGTACGAGAAAGGTGGCATTATCCACGGGTTTGCGTCCCTTTTCGCAGAAGACGAGAATGCGCCTGCCCGAGGCCCGGGGTTTGGTCCATCTCTTGACCGGTTGGTTTTTGAGACGGCCGGGCTCGATCCTCGGGTAGGCAGAAAAGGTCGTGATTTGGAAACAGGATCTGAGGCTGCTCTGGGGCTGTTGCCAGTGTGTATCCGGACACTCTTCATACTTGATGCTTCTGACTGGACAAGGAAGCTCTTGGCGCTTCTAGAGGGACGAGAACCTGAAGCTCCCTGATATGACGGTGCATCAACAGAGCCAATCCTGTCATGAATAGGCTCAGGCATTGAAGGTATGGCCATGGTTGGAGGGAATACGTCGTCGTCAGGAGGAAGGGTTGAAGCTGGGCCAGTCTCCTCCCAGTCAAAAAGCAACCACTGTGCCCTGTGAGTCCGCTGATCATGGATTTTGATATGTTCTTGCTGAAGTCGTCGACTTTCGGCAATATCAGATTTGCGCAAAGCCATCTTCAGTCCAATTGTGAATTGGAAAAGTCCTATGGGAGATATCATTTCTCCCGCTGATGGGTTGTATTTCGAGACAGATTGGCGATCAACGGCAGCGATGGAGATGTCCGGAACGAGAAGGCTCATGCGTTTCGAAAACTTGGTGTTTGCCCAATCGTTGAAGTTCACATTCAAGGGCCGTGTGCTCAAAACCACAGCTATGTGGTCCAGCAGCACGGAAACATGAATTGAGTCAATCTTGGCTCGCAAGAAAGTCACGTCAAATAGAAGCTCCGGGAACAGCATTGGCAACGCGTTTTCCTCGTTGTCAAACGAGAAATCAAAGCTCTTCAAAGATGAAGCCAAACAGGCCAAGAACTCAGTGGAGCATTCCCCGACAATTCTGCCGACTTCAAAATCCCAGTTACAAACGTAGGTTGGTTCAAGAGGCGGCAAACCAAACAGACGATGGCCATAAACCGAGATTCCATCGATGAACAGCTGAGTGCTAGAGATAGTGGAAAGGCCATCCAGTTGAGTGGTCTCCAAATCAATTTTCAGCGGGGCGACGGAAAATTGCAAGTCCATATAGTAGTTGGTAAAGCGCAAATCCGCTTCGAGTGAGGCTGCGCTAAGTCCCATGCACTTTGAGTGATCATAGATATTCACAGGAAGCAAAGCACGGGGGCCGTCAACCGTGACACGCACAAGCACATCCATGTCATTTGACTTTCGGTTTGGGTTGACGCCTGTCGGATTTGACGGTGGCCCATCGGCATAGACCAGCTCTTGATATTCTTCAAGTGTCTTAAAGTGCATCTCCTCGCCAAAATAGTTCTCTCTGATTGTCATAAAACTCTTGATCAAGAATCCAAAAAGGTATAGACGAGGTGAAGTCCCATCGATATTGAGCAACAGCGTGTCAGTCAGTTCCGGGGATGTTGACTGGAAATAGTTATAGGAGCCGTCAATGAACAAATTCTCGAGAGTGGCCATGGATTTTTGCGGCAAAAATTCATGCAGAGTATCCCATAGAGGAGTTGTGTAGTCCACGCCGCCGTTTTCAAGGTTGACCCTGAACTCGATGGCATTTTGTTCAGGTTGGTATTTGTTCAATGGTATCATGACATTCGACGTCAGGCGCTTGCCTTTGATCACAATGAATCGGTTGTCCTCTAGATCCGAAGGGTTGCTGATGATGTTTCGGTCGTTGACATTGATATAAAGCTGAAAGTCGGAGAAATTGAGGTCGAGGTTGTAGATAAAAGGCACAAATGCATAGTAGTCCGAAGGCGGCCCCGAAGCCCAGTCACTTACAAGATCCGTGAGAAGGAATATGTGATCACGTAGGAGAAACATCTGTAGGTCCTGGCTTTCGGCAGTAAATTTCCAGGAGCGAAGACTATTCCAGGAGAGCGGGTTGGACAGATCGCAAGTGACCTGTTGCCGAGGACATTGCCAGAGTAAGCCATGATTGATGCTGGATGATAATCTTGACTCTCGCAAGTCGATAGAAAGTTCATTGCAAAACCCTGCGCTCGATCCCACCATATCCATGGTATAATTGATGGTAGAGTCGGCGGCAACACAAAGGGAAAGCCACCCAAACGGGCGAATTTCAGGACCAAGGTAGCCCTTTTCACCTTCTTTGGCTCGAGCGTTCTTCTGCTCATTTGGCTTCTTTGCTCTCGATACTCCCCCAACGGCATCAGCACGACCCTTCCATTGCCAATCCTTGGAAGGCTCTCGTGTCGGAATTCGCAATGTCAATTCCTTGTTGATTTCCACGCGCAACCTAAATGCCGTGCTTTGTCGCAGAACACCGGGGGCTAGTTGCCCTGTGGGCTCAGCGCTGCGATAGAAGTTTGGAAAAAAATATTCTGCAGGCCAACCCGCTCCCTATCAGCCCATGGTCCGTAATTTATCGTACCTCCTTCAATCTTGATGTCAATCCCCCATTCCGGGGAAGGAGCATAATTGATATTGCGATCCATTGGTTGAGACCGAACAGTTGACGTTGGTTGAATAATGACTCGTCCGGGGACGTCCCAAAAGTAGGCTATATTCAAGCTAGGGCTATCCACGATGGTAGAAAACCTGCCATACTCGACTGAGTTCCATTTTTCATGGTCGTCCTCGCTATCTTCGTCCAGATACCGAGAGAGACCGATCCAGCGGACCTCAGGAAACTCTGCCTGGCTCCTTGGCATACTATTGGTGTATCTGCCATCGTCATGGAACGATTCGACAGATGTCTGGAAATATGGGACCAACTCTCGAATGCTGTGCCATACTCTGCGCCTCTGGAATTGATAGTTGAAGATATTTTGGGGTTTTTTCTTCGATTCGGGCTCTTTCTCTTGCACCGCACCGAGGTCTTTGGCGGTCGCCGACTGGTTCTGCTTGAAGTCCGGGTTTGGCCGCATTTGAATCACTGGGTTATTGAGTTGGAATGAAAATATTTGACGATACAAATCAAGAGGGCCTGAATTGGAAGCATCGATGGTACCCCTTCCAGTGTCGAAAGTCGTTGTCAACACAGACCTGGTATGCTCATTTCCCATGACAATGGCCCCTTTCTGGCAATCCAGCTTCATAGGCAGGAGTTGTAACATGTTGGACACAGGGTCCGATAGTTCTGATTCACGAATACTAGTCCTCTGCGACGCAACCCCGCCCCTCTCACTCATACTGCGCTCTGACGTGGGTTTCGTGGTTGGCCGATGGCCAGGCGTATCTTCAAAATCAAAGGCGTTGCTTTCATTGCCATCTTCTGCCGTCGCGCGAGACCCTGGGGAGTTTGAATTGTCATTTTCTAAATCAACATTTTTTGGAGAGTATCCAAAGCCAGTAAGGATACTGTCATAGGCAGGAGTCCGGTTGTAGATGAACCATTCAAGGCCATAGGTGTTGATAGTAATCCGGCACGGCAATTCGGTCGTCTTTCCCATGCCACCTTGCTCTCCTAGATTGTCGTCTGTTCCATCGTGCGGGGACCGCGCCTGTCCTTTCTTTGGAGTATGATTGGCAAGACCTGCCTTCCGTCGAATTCCGGTCAAGTCATTTCGCTCGACCGTCCGTGTCCAATAGCGCCATGTTATAAATCCTCCATGAATAAAGATTGTCTCGTTCACGCCATGGTACCGAATGCCCTTGAAGAAGATTCTCCCACCGAGTAGGGATATTTGAAGTGCGTTGATATCGACATATGCGCGGTAATAATGCCAGGTGTATGCTCGAATCGCGTAAGAGACGAGGTTCGCGAAGAGTCGATTGAAGTAGAACAAAAAGAACAGAGCGCTATGCCAGTGATCAGCGTAATCCAACCGCGTTGAACAGCGCAAACTTACAGAATGCAAGAGACAATCAGTTCCAAGAGAAAGAACCTAAGTCGATCAGTATAATAGCCATAGTCCAAGCAGCGATTCCATACCAATTGAAGCTTGGATCCGGCGTCAGGAAAACCGATGTCAAGCTTGTACTACCCATCTTTCCCCGCCTGCCAACATGGACAGCGTCGGCGCGATAGAACGCCAATGACGAGCCAAAATTAACCTCTCAATCATCGACACCAAAATAGCTGTGTCAAATATCCTGGAAGTCGCAAGGTGAGGACGTTGTTTAGGAAGTCCGAGGGCGGTGTCACGAGAAGATCGTCATCGGACAACACGCCTCCTCATTCCGAACCAACATTTCTCCAGCTTGATTTTCCCCCCATTTCGGTCTTGACCAACATGTTTTGCCCCTCTATCGACTCCGCGGAATGAGCTGGATTATCTCCGCAGGCAAAAAGCGGTCCCTAAACCGTGCTTGTCCCTAAGTTTCAGCAACCATGACGACCGGAGGAACAGGCTCCAGCCTGGCACGCGCCATTATCATTGTCACAGGTGTCTCGGCTTTGGTTTCCTCTCTCTTGTCTTTTGTGTGAGTCTAATATATCTTGTGTATCCTAACTCATGGGCGCGGTCGTTGTAGGCTCCCAAGCTAACATGTTGTCTCGAACCGCAGGTCCATATGGTTTCAAACGTGCGAGCCTATACCGTCCGAATTCGAGAACCGCAGCTCACCATATATATAGCAAAAACTACCGGAAACCCTTGCTCCAACGCTACGTGGTGCGCATATTGTTGATGTCAGTATTGGCTTAAGTATTAGCTCAGGGGCGGGGACAAAGAGCAGTGCTGATTGAGCTTAGGGTCCCGATTTACGCAGTATCATCATGGACTAGCATCGTGTCGCTAAAGGCGGCTCAGTTTCTGGATCCTGTTCGCGACATCTACGAGGTATGTGGGGTCCTGGTCAACTGTGGGATGGGTCCGTACTAATGGATGGCATTGGCAGGCATTCACCATCTATACCTTCTTCCAGCTCCTCATCAACTTCCTCGGCGGCGAGCGGGCCGTAATTATCATGGCCCATGGCCGCCCTCCTATCTCCCATGCCTGGCCTCTCAATCACTTCCTCCAAAAGATTGATGTCTCCGATCCCCACACCTTCCTCGCTGTCAAACGTGGTATCCTGCAGTATGCTTGGTTGAAGCCCATTCTGGCTCTCGCCTCCGTCATAATGAAGGCAACCGACACGTATCAAGAGGGCTATATTGGGCTGAGCTCTGGATACCTCTGGACAGGTATCATATATAATGTCAGCGTCACGATCAGTCTCTACTCCCTTGCCCTGTTCTGGGTGTGTCTGCATGATGACCTCACGCCATTCCGCCCAGTCCCCAAATTCCTCTGCGTCAAACTCATTATTTTTGCCTCATATTGGCAAGGCTTCTTCTTGTCAATCCTGCAGTGGCTAGGAGCGCTTGGTAGTGTTGCTGGGTACACCCCCGACAACCTCGCTGCCGCCATTCAGGACAGTCTCATCTGTTTTGAGATGCCATTATTTGCTATAGCTCACTGGTATGCATTTTCGTGGCACGACTATGCGGACCCGACCATCTCAGCTGCACGCATGCCCGTCAAATACGCGCTGCGCGATGCCTTTGGCGTGCGGGACTTGGTTGAAGACACCAAGTTCACCATTCGCGGTAAGAATTACGGCTACCGGATCTTTGACTCGGGTGATAATATCATCCCGCATGAGGAGTCAGGGTCGCGGGTCAAGCGGGTAATGGCCGGCATGAGGTATGAGCGTGGAGGTAAGGCAAAATATTGGATCCCCAAACCGGGTGAAGCCAACAGCCGCACGCCTCTATTGGGCGGCGAAACCAGTGAGCGCGGCCCCAGAAGTGAACGCGCCAGTCAGACCTCGAGAGAGAGATTCCGATCTTATAGTGAAATCGATGAAACCGCAATGGACGACGAGGATGAGCGACTATTCCTCAATGCTCGCGCACTGGAATTTGGAGACTGGAATGTAAGTTGGTGCTGATGCAGGGTGTTCGTTGTGATTGCGATGCTGACCGCGCATAGTACCCGGTGATTACCGCCAACGAGGTGCCAAGGGACCAACAGCTGCCACCCTCGCGGAGAAATCAAGATTCAAACCGAGGGGCAGATGTCAAAAAGGCCCGTAAGCACAGGAAAAGTCGCGCGTCAGATGGTGAGAGCAGGCAAAGTCCCAAACCAAACTCCAATAAATCTGGCCCAAGCTCGGCGACTCCCGGTCCCTTGCAGCGAAACGTCAGTTCCACCAGTTCCAGCGGTACGCAGCGCAGCCAGCTGGTTGACCTTGTTGTGGAGAATACGGAGGCCGAGGAAGAAGATCGAGCTCAAATACAGAGGGAGTATGGCTCTGCCTGGGCAGAGCCTGAACCTCGACGATTCTCGTAAGTTCCCAAATCATTGGCTGGTAGCAGCCCTGGAGATCTCAGAGCAGAGTTATTAACCCGGTTCCAATTTCCAGAAGAGTCTCCGAAGAGCCAATCGAAGAAGAGACTGAAGCCAACTCGGCACAGTCAGAGTCTAATCATGACGAAGATCGGCCCAAATGGGCCTACGACGGCTTAGAGCAAGACAATATATGGGGCAAATAGCGCATTCTGTAGTGTACTTTGCCTTTTGATACATCTTGGATTATGATCATCTACCTTGTTTACTCATTTACTCATTTACTCATTTACTCATCCTCGGTCTGATATATGTGTTCTGTATATATCCTTCAAAACGAACCACAAGAATGCAAAACATTATGAAACTCCAAGAAATTCTATAGAAATAGAATTATCCTTTCAATCTCTGTAAGCGCCCAACTTTCTCATCACGAGAAAAAGTACTTGACAGGCTTGACAGGGTATAGCTCAAAAGCATAAGCACAGATGTGATAACTCCACAGGGCGCCAACGAATAGCAGTGCTTCAATCAGCTCCGTTACCGACGATCAATGGTGCTAAATGCGCTGGCGTCAGGATGTATCTCTTTACTGGGCATAGCCCCCGGTTATTAGTCCCACGATGGTGTGTACCTGGACGAGTTGGGTAAGGCGCTCATATTTGGGCTTATAGGATGGATGTTCCCATCCCGTCTGAGGGGCTGATTTGCCTGTGCAACTGGTTTGTGCCTTTCCTTTGTTTCTCTCCTTTCCTTCTCTTGAAGGTGATGGATTGAATTTTCGAAGCGCTGGTCGCCATCATGCTGGCTTTGGAGAAGGCAGGGTCGTTATTCACTGGTTGGATACGATCGTGCTTGACATGTCTACCGGGCGAGGATGGTTGTCAACCTAGAGCGGGGAACGGTATGTGTGCAATACACTTCAAAACTCTAGAGATGATAAACTAATATACATCGCAGGCGTTGAGCGGGAGATGAAAATATGCCACACTCAACCGCACCTTGTTCCGCCCATGAAGCTGGTGGTATACGATGACCTCCCCAGTCCAAGTCTCCATCAACATCGGAACTCACTGTCATCATGGTTCAACGACAGCCGGAACTTGGCCTCGCGAGCCTCTAACCGGGCAAGCATGTCTCTGAAACGATCTTCAACCACCCCGTTGAAGATCGGCGCACCTTCGGACTTTCGCAGAGTGCAATCCTTCCATGATCACCCGTCACAGTCATTCCATGCTCCTCCCCCACCAACCTATCAACCATTGGACCTCCGCATTCATCGATCAGGCAATCGATTGTCTGACCTACCTTCATTCGAAACCTTCCAACTAAACGAGAGCCCCCAGCGCAAGACGCTACCGGTGCCCCCTCGTGCCCTCACGACTTCAACCGGCGTTCGAGATCGATATCGCCAAAAAACATTTGTAGTCTCTCGCAAGCCAGTCGGGTCCCAGAAACGCCGCTCACTTGGGAACGTGGAGCCTCTTCCCGTCGATGAGCCTGTTCGCACCACTAGTACTCTGGTTCCGCATTTCTCCAAGGTCACTCCCGTCGAGATCCCTCTTCCAGAAGCTCAGGCAGCATCTCCAGTCCATGGCAGGTCGAAATCGGAAGGGAACGAGCTTAAATTGAACACCCCATGGCCAAACGACGTAAACACCAGCGAATCATGGGGAAGAGTACCTCGGACCCCACCTGCATCCAAGAGCCTGTACACAGACTCACCGGATTCATCCCCATCCAAGTACTCAGCAATGTCCAAGGACAGTCCTTCATCAGCCAGCTCGCGCACGATGCCATCACAAATCTCATCACGCCGTCCCTCCATTCCACTCCCCGAGAACCGAGACACAGTCGATTCAGTCCCCTCCTCTCTTTCCAACCGCGTAACTCAATGGATGTTCCCTACACACACCAAGCCCTCTACGCCCCCAAAGCAAACCTTTATCCCTGGCGAGAGCGGGTTTAATTGGGAGCGAACCCGCACGCTGAGTGGCACCACAGTCGCATCGACTACCACGACCATCACCGGTGGCCCAAGAGCACGGAACAATAGCTCCATCTCTAGTGCCTTCTCTAGTGCTATTACTCCCCGCACCTCATTCCAGGTCCCCTCATCTGCTGCAGAAAAGGATGTTGACCCTGGTGTCTGCTACCCGACCATCTTTGAAGGTCAGCAGCAGCACCATCAGTTCTCTTCGTATCATGACAATGGACATATACGGTACCACGAGTCCTGTATTGGGTTGGCGTTTTGAGTTCTCTGAAGTTTCTTTAAAGACGACGTTTTTGACCGTTCTGGGATTTTGATAATGAGTTACCCAGTCTCTGCTTTCTCTTGTTCTCTCGCTCTTTCGGTTAGAAATTTGTTTTTTTTGGACTTGGTTGGATGTTTGCTGGGTGTTTACTTTTCGACTCCATTCTATTTCCATTGCGCGTTGGAATACCCCCGTTTCGATCCCGGTTGGTTAGTTCTTTGCTTTGAGGGGATTAACGAAGGTACATAGCTTAGTGCCTATGTAGGAAGTAATAACGAATACAGTCTCGATACTATGACTACATGGGAGCTTTAGTAGGTACAAAAGGATTATTCTAAGAAGCATTCTAGGAAGAACATTTATGCAACAGAAACACAGAGTTCAAGGTCTAGGCTGATACACATGGCATCTGGCCATGATATCCGATCCTTCTGGAATATAAGGTAATTGTACACAAAGTCTGACGCTAACTATCTCTGTAGGGTATCTCAAAAAGGACAATGTAGCTGCCAGAAAGACAAATAGGGTACAAGTTAAAAGAAAGTGTGAATGTCATGTACAACACGAGATATCGATATCCTGGCTTTCATACAACGAAACCAAAGCTTCAGTCCGTGGTCACTATCTCAACACCGTCCGGAGCAGGTGTACTTATGGAGTCGTTCTTGCGGTGTTTTTGCATGCCCAGAATCTGCCAGGCACGGCCCATCATGCCATGACCTAAGCCCTGGGGAAACTCAACAGAAGCCTTGTGAGCATGCCTGGAGACGCGATCACGCATTGCACGTTCCTGCTTGGCGGCGGCCAGGCGGTCTTGTTCACGTTCGTGATTGACAATCTCATCGCGCCATTCGGCCCAGTGCTCAAAGTTTTCGCGCTGTTGGAGTACCTGATAACGGAGGCGGGTCTTGGACGGGCGCCAGGCAGTGCGGCTGGCGTTGTCTTTGTCGTCACTAGCTGGAGGAGTCATCGTGGACTTGAGATCGGGGACATGGGACTCCTTGGTAAGTTTGAGGAGATGGGTCATGACGTCCCGACTTTCGAGAGCAGTGCGTTGGATCTTCTCTTGTTCGGGGGTTGGTTTGGCACGTGCGAGCGGCGAATCGAGCCAGGCGTGCATTTCAGTAGATCGCTGGACGGAGTATGGGTCGAGGATGTTCGAACGGCGGTTTTCTTCACGCAGGAAACGCACGGCTGCTTGGAGGCTTTCCACTTCAGCGCGGAGAGACTCGTTCTCGTCCATGGCAGCTAAAGAGGCCTCACTGGCGATGACGGCGCCGTTACCCGAGGTCGTCAGACCTGCTGTTCCGGACATGCGCTTCATTCGCTCAAGACGAGCCATGGACTCGTCTCGCTCTGCTTCGGCTGTCTGAAGCTCCTTCTTTTGTTGTTCAACTGTTTTTTCGAGTTCACTCCCTGCTCTCTGGATTTCCTCGATCTTGGCTTCAAGATCTTTGACCATGGCAGCCTTCTTGCTTGCCTCCCGCATCCTAGATTCAAGATGCTCAATCTTTAGACCCTGCTCTTCGAGGGTATTGTCCTTGACTCCAAGTGCGGCTGACGCCTCGTGAATCTCATTTCTCAATTGGCGGATCTCCTCGTCTGCATCAGGGGATGTCATTTTGTTGGATTTTAATTCGGCAGCACGGGCAACCCAGGGGAATGCGGCTCTCTCAAACTCTGTCGTGCGAGACAGATCTGATGAGATGGAATCAAGCTCCTCAAATTGGTCGCCTACATCCCGCAATTTGGTAAAGAGCAACGAAACAGGGTCGTTATTTTCATCCAAGGTTTCGGAAGACGAGGCAAAAGACACGGCGGCCTGGGACATGCAGTCCAAAATCTCTTCCGGGCTGAATGGTTCCGTGCGACCTTCATCGCTCGTGAGGACGACAAGGTTCTCGCCAAGCTTTCGAGCGAACTCTGAAAGTTGCCTAGTTTCATTTTCGATCTTTTTGAAGGGTTCATCGGCGTCCTTTGGAAGTGCAAGTGACCTCGAACGCAGATCATCAAGAGACCGGCTGATCTTACCCATCGCAACCTTGTATCCGCGGGCCTGAGAAGTGAAAGTGTCCAATTTCTTCAGAGCAATCAAGTTTTCCTCGTCGCCTTCTGCCGCCGCAACCATCTTGGAGCTGATGATGAGCTTGACGCGTGAGATTGCACCGGCTGAATGCTCAATGTACGATTGAGATAAATGGGCCCGCATACACAGCTCATCGGCAAACATCTCCAAGCTGGAAGGAAGAAGGGTCTCAGCAAGGTGAGCGAGGAGGGCGATAGACCGCTGCAATTCCACTGCAAGCTTTGCAAGATTTACTTCGTCCTTCTTCATAGGCTCGATCCAGAAGTTCAACATGCGCTCCACTGGCTCCATTTCGAACATTGCGACCTTGATGCTGCCAAATTGCTCGGGCGAGCAAGCTGTGATATAGTTCACAAACCGATCACACACATTTGAGATCCACATAAGATATTCCAAAACCACATGGGCTTGGAAAAGTTCTTCGTTGGAGACTACTGAGTGCTCAGATCCCTTTTCTTGTAGAGTGCTGCTCATAACATTGGCTTTGAATCCGACACGCTTGAATCGAAGTAAAGCCTGAATAGAATTCCTTTCCCCTTCAAAGTACTCCGGAAGATAGAGCTTGATCATTGAAAGGTGCTGTGCATTTTCCTCGGACTCCATACGGTTCAGTTCGACATCGATAGATTTAGTCAGGGCCTTCGATTGATTGGCCTGTAGTTTCATATTCAAATCCTGCATCTGGCGGTGGCGCATTGCATTTTCAGTGGTCTCTGCCTCTGAAACTTGCTTGGTTGTGCGCATATCATCCAAGTCACACTGCAGGTTCGTCACCAAATCCCTGAAACGAGTTAATGTGTATTCAAGGTCTTCGATAACTTCGTCCTGTTGTGTGATCTTTCGGCATTGGTCGCTGAACACACCCTCTCGGTACTCAATTTCTTCTTGAAGTTGCTTCTCGGTCTCGATATGGGTGTACTCCATCTCGTCACTAATCTCCTTGAGAGATTCCAAATCTTCGATGGCAGCTTTCAGTTCATTAATCTCGTCCTGGTAGCGCATGTTTTTGTCTGCTAATTCTTCAATCATTTCTTCGGCTCCAAGTGCTGTCTCCAGCTGCTGCTTGAGATCATCGACATTGGTCTCAGCGACCAAGATTCTCTCCTTTGCAGCCTCGTAATCAGACTTGACAGCAGCGTACTCCTCGAGGTCGTCCTCCAATTCTTTGATCTGGGACTTGAGGTCTGACTCCTGCTGCTGAGTCATATCTCTCAAACGAATGAGCGCCTCGCGGAGACGTTCATTGGTTTTCTCCATCTGAAGCCACCCATGAGTAGTTCTGTCTTCGGGAGTGGTTTCTTGGCTGTATTCTTCATTCTCCTCTCGGAGAACCTCCACCTCCAAATTCAGCTCGTCCAACCTTAATCGTAGCGCTGCACACTCGTGCTTGAATGCCTCCGCTGTCTCCTCTGCCATTTCGCGGTCAAGAGTAGCCATTTCCATGAGCGATTCATGCTCTGCTTGCATGCGTTCCACGCTGTCAGAACGAGTCTCAAGTTCTTTCAGCCTTTTGCGCAACTCAGTGACTTCCATTTGCTGCGGTTGGTACTTTGCTTGCAGTTTCTGGATGATTGTTTCAAATTTATCACGCTCAGCCTGGAGTTGCTCGAGGGTCTTCAGCTTCTCCCTGTCGTCGGCTCGTTTCTTTTCCATGACTCTGAGCTTGGCGTTGAGTTCTTCGAGCTCACGATTGACTGCACCGCTCTGCCCTTGGCGTTGAGATGCAGAGAGCGGGGCACCAGGACGCGAGGCTGCTGGTCGTGTAGCAGTCATCGATTGTCGAGAGGTCTTCGGCGCAGTAGCTCCGTCTTGCGCACCCTCCCCTTCAGTGTCAGGCGACTCAGTGTCGGTTGGATCTCCAGATCTCCCGCTCATACCCGTGTCTCCTCCATCCGATGCTTTTGTGTTGCCAACCTGCCGTAGTGAAGGACGCTTTGTTAATCCCGCGGTTGATGAAGCAACGGTACTTTGGGAGCCTGGTCTTGAAGTTCGGGCTGCTGGCCCGGACACCGAGGGTCGCGAGCCTCTAGAGGCCGCTGGTTGTGTTGGAGAAGGACCCAGGGAGCTTCTGGTGCTGGGAGCTAATCGGGGTCGATTAGACGACACGGTAGAGGTGCGGGAAGTACTCCCAATGGATGGGCGACCCGCAGTCGTTGCGAGCTGTTTCGTTGGGGACTTGGTGGGTGACTAAAGAACGTAGAATTGTGGGTTAGCTTAATAGCAAGGGACGCATTTATAGGACATGACATACTCGGAGAGACGATCGAGCGGCCACACCCTTCGGCGCCGGAGTAGGAGTGGAGGCTGCATTGGTACTCTGCCGCCTTGCTGCTGTAGGAGGTAACCCAGTTTGCTTTTGCATACCAGCGGAGATCCCAGGTTTAGGCTGCGCTTTGCCACCTGCGGCGCTGGTAGCCGGTTTGGTGGTTTGTTTACTCTCCGGCTCGGGCTGGACAATCTTACCAACCACTGTTGGGCGAACAAACATGCCGTGTCCTGGGTCGCAATCAAAATACCGTTCGCCTTGGACTGCGCCGTCGTTTTTGCCGGTAGCCTCATCTAACTCGAGGCCTATCCACTGTCCGTCCGCAAAGTGGGTGGTGCCAATGAAGCGCACTGTTGCTTGCCGTCCATCAGGCAGCTCGATCACCGTGCCTACAGATAAGGCTTGGCCAGGCATTCTGAATAGGTTCAAGAGCTACAATGAGCTCTTGAGCGATAACCGAGAAGTTCTGGTTGTTGAGAGAACGGAAACACGGCAACTCCTGAGTCCAGCGGAGCGCGTCAAGTGATTGTATGCTGCCTGAGGCAGAAACTTCTAATTTACGATGTAGATCACTACTCCAGGGCTATGTACATGCATTGATAAAAAAAAATACGGCTAACGGCTTCTTCATTGTATCATTATAGCAGGCTTGAACCCTGATTTCATTTCACATAATTCAAAACCTTGTGTGTCTGGCTGGATAAATAGGCCCGTAATCATATACATTCATAGTCGTAAACCAAAAGTCTAGGGGGAATAAACGAAGAGTATTGTGGCCAGGTCCAGATCTAAGCACCACCGTTTTCTTGTTGCTGTTTAAAAGCATGGGGGAATAGCACTGGAAGCTCTTTGAGGCTAGAGATCGTGTACTTCGCAGCTGGCTTGTGTGGTATGGGGATACCTGGCTCGACGAGGTGAACGGTAGTCCATCCCCGAGCATGCGCATGTACACAATTCAAGTAGGAATCATCTAGTTCAACGCTATTAGCATGAAGAGTCCAAAGCGGCCATAGATATGCAGTGAAAAGTGACGTACCAACAAAATAGCACTGATCCGTGCTGGGGGCACCAGCTTCCTTCTCCGCTTTGGCGTACATATCCTGACTAGGCTTGCAGACCAAGGGCAAACTTCCATAGTCACAATAAGTAACACCTTCAAACAGATCCTCGATACCGAGCAACTTCACCACACGTTTTGCGTGGTTAACATAGGCGTTCGTGAGCAGCCACGGCTTCACCTTTGTTGTGTCCAGGTTCTCTAACAATTTGCGCAGCTTGGGATCAGGCTTGAGGATGTTGTCAAGAGGTAGAGCATCATCGACCTCGTAGTTGAATGCAAGCGGGTCGATCTTGTGGTGGCGGGTAAGGCCTTCAATGGCCAGTCCATACTCCTTGTAGTACTTCTGGTGTAGCATATGGGCATCTTCCGATTTAAGGTCGAGATGTTTGACAAAAAATTTATCTAACAAAAGTGTAGTTGTGTTAGTTATATGTTCCAGCATATTGTGTCGGCTTCACTTACTGATCAATGCCTGCATCTCATCGTGGATGTTGCAAGCTGCTCAGGAGTACGCTCTGTCAGTAGTAGCTCATAAAGAGCGGAAATCAAGAGCACCAACATTTAGAATATAGCTATAGGAGCATATATAAATTAGTGATCAGATTCCCAACTTTAGGCTCTCGTGACTTACACAATTGTCAATATCAAAGAAGAAGACTGGCCGTGAGTCACTGACTCCGTTAACGCCGTTGGTTGCCATCGATCTTGAATTGTGAAATTGCAAGGTATGATAAGCAGGTGAAAGTCTGGACAAGGTAACAATAGGTCTAATAATCAGACAGGAGGATAACGCAAACGATCGATGCATAGGTCAAAGAGAAGGTAAGAGTAAGATCAGCTTCCCCTTCGCGCTCCTTCACTTTCCCGATGCCTGGGCAGCTCCCGTGACCTTACCTAATCGGATTTAGCGCCCTGACGGCCAGCATGGACTTTTTACAACACTTCATTTGCTCTACCATCTAACCCTCAGAGCCTTCTCAATCGTAGATTGGACTGGGTGGATATTTGACGTGTGTCTTACGTGTTGGCAAACATATCTGCTTCCAGTCTCTCTCGTCTTGTTCTAGTTTCACCGATCCCTTTCCCTAGCTTTCCCTAGGACCATGGCCGCAACTCATGGGCCAGCAACTCACCTTCCAGCAGATCCCATGGCTGTTTCAGCCCCTACACCGGATGATGAGGTACGGGAGTACGAAAAAATCCTAAACATCAATGACCAAGTCTTCTCGGGCACTCATCCCCGGCTCAATGTTCCCCAGCACCTCGTGCGCAAGCCTGGGAGAAATGTCCAAAATGTCCCTCTTCGAACTCATTTACCTAAACACCCTCCCCCAAAAGCTGTATTGGCAAATTCCCCTGTGGTTGCAACCACAAAACAGCCTTACAATAGCTCGCAGAGTGCCTCGGCCAGAAACGCCTTGCCTGCAGCACCACAACCCGCCCGTGTGGCTTCAAAACCTACATCCGAGATCGATCCAATCTTCTTGACCAAGTCGGATGACCTAATCAGGGCAGAACTACAGTTACAAAGACAGAGATTGGAACGAGCACTGCGTGATCAAGTGGAGCTCAAGAAACAGGAGACCAAACAGAGACCTGCGGTTCAAGACACGAAGCCCGACTTTGATGTTTCAGAGGTTTTCAAACAAGCTCTTGAGGCGGTGAAGCCGGTTTCGCTGAGCGATGCATCTGAGGCCAGTGGACCTGGCGGTGCTGCCAGTGACTCCTTCGACGACAATTCATTTTACTCCAGTAGAGCTCCTGACTCGCCTCCCCAGACTGGCAGACAACAGAAGTCATCCCCCGTGGCTATACTTGCACCCACAGGACCTGCCACGCGTGTTCCGGTAACCCATTACGCAGATGAGTTGCAGCGACTTGAAGCTCTCAACCGTCCTGGATCTGATCAGGAAATGCCAGATGCTTACCTTGTTGCTGACCAGCGTCACTCCCATTCTCAGAAGCAGGCCCGCTACCACAAAGCAGAGGCTCCCGTCAGCCGCTTCCGCGATTCGCATCGGTTCGAGACTGTGGACGAACCCGAATATTCTCCACCTGCTCCAGCGGCGCCGCCAGCGGATCATCGTGAATATCCCCGTGGGTTAGAAAGTGCTGCTGGAAGAACATCTAGGCCAGATGCTAGATACACCGACCGAACCAGAGATATCCGCGAGCCCCCGTCTCCCGCAAACGTGAAGGTAGTTCGAAACCATATCACATCACCGGCAGCTCCCCAGCCATCTCGAGTGTCACCTCTGGCCATTGCAAAGGTTCCTTCTGTCCAGCAAATCCGGGATGAACGATCTGAACATGGTGCTGATCAGGTGTACTCGGACCCTGATTCTGCTCGTGACAGTCCCAATGCTCCGGTCTTTCACATCATGTCCCGGAAACGGAGGAGGCTGCGTGAAGGCGATGAAGGGCCCCGTCAAACCTCGCACAGGACACAAAATGCAGAACCTGTCGAGGCATTTATCAAAGAGGAGCCTGTTTCACCGCCGCCATTCGCCGATGATCCTACGGTTGTTCGCAGCCGAAACCCTGCAGAGCGCCCCATCTACATTGACATCGCGTCCCCTCAATACACTCCAGTTTACGAAAGTCGCGGACCACCAGTGCGAGAGCCAGTTTACGAAATTGACCCGTACCATGAGCCTCTACCGGACGCTGGACCCCAGCGCACAATATCTCGTCTGAGCATCAGACGACCAATTCGGGAGGAAGCCGATCTTCGACGAGTCGCCAGTTCACAGTATGCTCGGCAATCAGACTATGCTCGTGAGTACATTGAGGCCCAGCCACGCCCAGTTCGAGCGGCATCATACGTTGTGGAACGCCCGGTTCAAGAGCGGCCAAGGTACTACGAGGAAGCCTCTCCTTACACACAGCATCGTTACATTTCTGCGGATGACATGCCGCCCCCAACATATCGGGAGACTTACTACGAAGACGCACCGCCGGCACGGATGATGGCACCCCCTCGACGTCGGATCGTGGTTGATGAGCATGGCACTCAGTACTACGAGTTGCCGCAGGCACCAAGACTGCAGCCGATGGCACCTCCGCCCCCGCCCCCGCCCCGGCCAGTCTCTCGGATGTCAAAGGATGTTTACGATGAACGAGTGCATCACCACGCGGGCAGTGTTCGTGCGCCTTCAGTTGTGCAAGACCCCTACGGTGAACGACACTACGTGCAGGAAATGCCCCCGCCCCAGCCTGTCTACAGGCGAGTGACGTCAGAATATGCTCGTCCCGTAGCAGCCGATGAGAGACAAGGCTACGCTGCTCCTTTGGAAGGCCATGAACCCTACTCACGCAGCAGCAGTGTACAAGTAGCGGAGTACCTTCCTCGTCATGCAGTCTATGTTGATGAGCGTGGAGTGCCCCAGGAGAGAATAATTCGGACAGCCAGTGTTCGTCCTCCCCAGCCTCGCTATGAAAACCCGCATGAGGTTGTTCAGCGAGTTGGGAGCGTGCGACCAACTGGCCCGGGCCGCGAGGCCAGTATCTTCATGCAGCAGGACAGACCAATCGGGGAATACGTTGAGAGACCGTACTACATTCGGGATCGACGGTACTATGAAGGTGAAGATGAAGAGGGAGAACGCCTCGCGCTGGACGGCGCGAATGATACGATCCAGCGAGGTTCACAGCGTTACTAGTGTCGTGTCACGCTTTTTTTTTTTCTTCCATTTGCGCAGCATTTCATGACTTTGTATCTAAATGTACTATTCCAGCGACTCATACCTTAGGCAATACAAACTTGCAAGGTCCTAAAACCATTATCTTATTATTACATACCAAGTAGCCTTCTATTGACAGATTCGTACAAGACATGATCATCGATCAGAGATGTTGAGCCCAATGGAATTGCTTGACAATCCCCGTTGCACATCAGAGGGTTGTTGTTTTTGACATGTGGGATTCCGACTTTCTTGATATTCGTCATTTGGACAACTTGGATGTCAAGCAGCTTCTCATTGAAAGATCTCGCAATCTCTATCAATTCCTCGTGCTCGTTGAATATATCAGTAGACAGTCATATCCAGAACTCTCGTCGGAAATTCTTTCCCGTTGACACGTTTCAGAACAATGAAACTCGCATTAGTTAGGGAAATTTATCCGAATTGTAGACATAGTTGGACTTCACCAGTGTAGGCATAATTTGCAACTTTTTAAGCATAACAGTAGTGTCTTCAAGAAATTGAAAGTTGATATGTACGACGAGTCATACCAGAACCCAGAGGGATCACAATTTGTATACGTCCACCTTGCACTCATTCTTTGTAAGACTTCAATATAAGTTCCTTACGAAAATTGTGGTATCATGCTCTTATCTACAAATCAATTGTCAGTCGGTCGTGTACAAATAGAGAGAATGCGAGTGCGCTAGGAAAAAGCCAAGGTAGATTGATTTCGCTGGATCATATAGCCTCGGGGGACTTGTATTCATTTCACATCAGATGGCCAGATATTTTCAACACTGTGATTACCACATCAGCATGATATGCCATAATCATCATTTGAGAGATCTGAATCAAGCATTCCCCGAGGGCTGAAAGTCGGTACATGAAAGCATATCAAATCGCAGGCAGACAACGGATTTCGTCTCACCACTCAAGGACCTCTGCGGGATATTTCGAGATTTGGAGGGTTGAAACACTCTCTGGGGTATGCTTGTACCTGTGTAATTCTCTTATCAGGCTGCCATGTTCAATTTGTATCGGTAAATTGTAGTATTCAAGGAAGTAAAAAAAGGAAAGAGATAGCCTTGGCTGCTTTCACCTGGATCAGAATGAGGTAAATTTTGTTTACATGGACTTTTCAAAATGAGGAGTGGGATTGATCATCATGTGCAAGTAAAGCTGGAGTATGGCTGTGTTGAAAATGAAATTTATGAGGTACTAACCAAAATAACAGTTACCAAGAGACAATGTGCTCGAGGGTCCAAGAGAAGAGACATGCAAGGCGCAATCTTGCAACTTCTAGTCCGTGCTAGGTCGGTCAGAGGCACCTAAATAGAACTATATCATGGTCAGCTAGTGATTTCTTGCTCTGTCATGAGAGTGGTATGACAAGTGTATACTATAGTTACGACAACTTGTATCAGAGTAATCTTGTACAACATAGTAGATTCCGAATGCCCAAAAGGTTTGATCATCACTTGCAAGCGCATAACAATAATCAGGAGGTTAATAGATTCATACCTTGTTTTGATGCGCACGAGGTCACGATGAAGCATTGAGATGATATGTGGCTGAGCAAATGTGCCATATATGTTGCCTTCGATGTTAAAGCAATGAGAGCCTTGTAGACAAACCTACCAGGCCTGGAAAGATCATAATCGGTACGATGACTGTGCTGGACACGGTGTGCTAGGTTGCATGCTGGGGAGATGGGCAGCAGATAGACCTCATAGTATCATGGACTTCCGGATCCTCAACATCCTTGTTATCACATCAGTTGGCGCAAGGGAGCTAGAAGGGGACTGGAAGCATCGCAAGGCAGAGACTTGAGAAGCAGACCAGATCGTAGGTGTTGAATCAAGGAAATATCCTAGGAGGCGTTTGACAGCATTGAATGAGTCCAGACTGAATCCAACTCACAGTTAGCTTTTGGTGCTAATATAAGGGAATTCACATAGCCATCTGACAAAGGAGAAAAGGGAGGTCAACAAACGATTCTGGCACATGTTATGTAGCACCTGATTTTGGCCAAAGCTCGCCAGAGTATCTGGGATATCGCATTTCGCAGGCAGAATGAACAAATGAGGTCCAAGAAGATCAGAGTGGCTGATCCCCACTAGCTTCTGTTGAGTTTGAGAGCCGTGTAGATATTTGTCGCCGTGTTCGACGAAAAGCTTGACTTGGGGGTCCAAGGGACCAGGCGATATAGGAATGGAAATCTGTCAAAGCAAAAAGACCAGGTCAGCTAGTTGTGGAAGTCAAATGAGGATTGTTTGGTCTAGTGAACTTCAGGCACATATTGATTCCAATTAGCCATTCATATCTCGCATCAGAGTGACAATTTCTTCGTCCTGTAGCTTAGCTCAGCCCACCGATTGAATCAATCATCATTTGCAAGATGGCATCTTGAGACAGACGAGGGTCATGTCCATGGGTCAAAGGCCACGCATGGGGGTCAACTTACCGCAGAGCTACAAGGGGTCCTTCTCGAACCCGCTATCTGGGTCCATCCCGAACATGAATCCATTTGTCGGGGCCATCAAAAAAGACCAGAGCACGCGTATGTGGCATCAAAATGTGGTATCTATCCCATTAGCCTTGACCGTCATTGGGCCACTGACAGAGCGGGATGGGGAGATGGTTAGTTGACGAGGGAAGATGCAGAGTGGTGAAGGGAAGGTAAGTCGTATGAAGAGATGGGCTGAAGGCAAACAGAGAATAGAGAAACATTAGGTAGGTGGAAAGCTCGCAGAGGTCGCTTCGTTTGCCTACCACGAACAGGCCATACACACCACACTGTCACAGCTATCTTCGACCTAACCCCAACTATAAGAATTTATTTTGACATGAGATATTGAAAACTTGTACTGGTCCTAGAGGGTCTACATAGTTTTAACATAAGATCAAATGGCGGGATGAATTCATGCTGGTGGATTGGGTATTGTTAGAGGTTGTTGTGATGAAGCTCAGGCATTGCTACCTCAGAAAACAATACTTGAGGCCATGAGGAAGTTCGTAGCTAAAATTTCCATTCTACAGTGTTACTATTCCAATCAGCTCCTCTGTGTTTGTCTGGCCTAGGTGCCTTGACAAGCTCGAATACAAATGTGGTCATGCTCATAGGTAGTATCAACATATAATCTTAGGGTCACTACAATCATTGAACAATTAATTTGGAAAAGGCTTCGACTTAGATTATTATATGTAACTACACCCGAGATACCAGAGATTAGTAACACTCCTAATATCAAAGGTTAACTGAACCTAGCCATGTAACCTAGACAATCCGCTGTTCTACCTGGTAGTCACGCTGATTCAACTGCTCGAGGATCAAATAGTCAAATCAATGAGTTCATGGGGTACTGGTGTTTCTTTCATCAATAGTACGTAGTATATACGATACCCGTGAACTGGTATTTGCCATTAGTACAATCTAGGTGTATTCCCGAGGCCACTAATGGTTGAGCAATTATGATACAGGGGCATGAATTTGTATCCTATAGCAAGTTGAAAGATTCGTGGCGCAACTGGTAGTGCCTCGCACCTATGCAGTTATCCTTATCGGGAAGTTTCATGAATTTCAGGTGTGAACTGATGGAAGTTGTCGCTATTAATAGCCGGTGTTAGATCACTGGCATACAACATAAGACTACTACTATCACATGAGAGAAATTGGATTGGACACTATCAAGAATGCTTAAGGCATGATTGTTTTTATAACATAGTTAACGACTAATAGTGATAGTTGTCAACCGTTTACCGACGTGGTCGACGTCCCACAATGTGATGGAGTACATAACTAACTAGTTAGTTCTGCGGTAGTCAAAGGTTATACATAGAAAAGTCTCTTGCACAAAGTATGCTTTTTTTTCCCTTTTTTCTGCCGTCTAGCTAACAAACTGAGAAGGGGGAGACAATATCTATGAAAACAGACATCTGAAAAGACTAACCGAGAAGAATCCGAAAACGACCACCAAAAAAGACATCTCAAAACACATCTAAAAGACTACCATAAAAATACTTGACACGGCCGCATAAGCGGCCGACTTTTCTTGTTAGAATACTACAACATACATGTACTAGTAATGATCGACGACTTGTAGCGGCCGATCAGCCTAAGCGATCCATAGACATAAATCCCGTGAAATTGAAAAGGCTTGTACTAATAAAAAAAATGGGCTGAATGATTCCTTCATATCACATCCACAATGGCGAAATGTGGCAAAAGTTGTAGTTATATATTCTACAATATACGTGCGGTTAAGTAGATAACCTGTTCTGCCGTACCAAGTTTACATTTCCGACTTTCTTTGTCCTAGAAGAAAAATAACTGAATCTTTCACAAGCTTTGTTTTATGTCAATTGATCGTTTTATTATCCTGAAGCTTGTTCGAATACCAAAACAGGCCGATGTGATAAGTCCCCTTCCACTTTGAAACCGGGGACGGGTCGATAACCCCTGCAGTCTGATTTTCAAAACCAAGGGTCCAGTCGGAATTGTCGAGTCCTTGATGAGCTGAAGAAGTGACCCACAACCGTCTATACGAGGAGATGACGTCGACTATTTGAGGGGAAGTTATTCCACCTGGACAGCTGGGCAATGGGTCCCAGTTCCCCCCAGTCCACTGCAGCATATGCATATCGTTGCATACGTTGAATTTACAATTACAAGAGTTGTGTATTGTATGTATCGGATGCGCAACAGGTTGTCCCCCGGGGCCGTGGAGTCTAGACATGTCAGAGATTAGAAGCGATAATCTAGCTTAGGCATCAGCGGTATGATCAACCTTTAGCTCCACATGCCTGACCAGGCTTGACCCCTCAGTTTTCCCATCGTCCGGCCCAGCCGGTGGCAGTACAGTGATGGGTGTCCTATCACCGCCTCTAGGCCAGTGGGTTAAGATACGGCGGCATACAGGGGTCTCTATCCCGGAGCCTATGAAAGGCTTGACCCGTGTATGGTAGGTACGGTACGGAATGATTCGGATCCCGAAGTGCCTGAAGCCTCCGGCACTAAAGCCAAGTGAATGCACAGCTCAGCCTTGAGAGAGAGGCGTAGAATGGGCACTTCACTGTAGGATCTCATCACTCTCATCACTTTCAGATTATTCACATTACCCACGTGATAAGGCAGAGTCGGTATGAGACAAGGTTTCCAGGGACTTAAATTCAGGATAATTTACTGAGATACTTGCCAGGTAGTTTATATGAGATGGGGATGTCTCTATCGGGTGCTAACAATCCATATTGAACATTGGCTAGATTCGATTTGCCAAGAAGACCCTTGCGAATGGACATTCAAGATCCTGCATTCTTGATAAAGGACAATGTGGATTCGAGAAAAAGATCTTAAACGAAGGACTTAAAGACCTTCTGAGACCCTTTAATAGCTAAATGTCTAAGGTCTCAACTAAAAAGGATTATATCAAAAACTGCAAAATCAAGTAGAAGACCCGCAAGGACTGACGACACCTATTTTTTTTTGGTTCTTGTTTTGTTCTTGTTTTGTTCTCCTTCTCTATTTCTAAATATTTTTCTATTAAGATATATACACATATTTTATATTTATTTCGATCTCATTTGCTTTTGTTCTCATATTAGAGATTTGCGTTGGTTGGCCCCATCGATCTTCGTTTCCACCATTCCCGGGTCGAAACGCCCACACAGGTCATTCCCATCCCTGTCGAGAACGGCCTGATTCCTTCCCACACCCCCCCAACCCAATCCATCCACACACTCTCTCTCTATCCCCTCGACTCGCTCAAGGGGTTAGAGATTTCTCTAAGTCATGCATAAGATATCCAACTTCACGGGCCAAGCCCGTCATGGTTGGGAACGAATGACGCCGACTTTCGGGATGTCTAGACCTCACACCGACATGGCTTTTCGCCGACCACACGGTGCGCCGCCCATGACACCGCCGACTAGCATCGATCCCACAGTCAATCTGTCCTTCAACGTCCCATTCTCGTCGACCCTAGCCGGCCCCGATGTCGAGGATGTGCTCCACGCCAGTCCCGGCGCCCTCCAGCGCTGGACTTTCCCGGAAGGCACACTGGAGGGCACATCGGTGCACCAGCTTCCCGTCCATACGAACAACGTTGAGGGTCTGCAGAGGTTATGTCGGAAGATCACGGAAGAGAAAGGAGGACGGGTGGAAGCGACGCTCACGACCTCCGAGGCCAAGGCTGTGCCATCGCTACAACGCCGGCCGAACGGCTTGGTGACCAACGTCTGTGTCACAGGTGATGGGGAGATGGCACGAAAGATGCGGGCGAGAATCTTGAACGAGACCCCGATTATGCTGGTACGTGGACGAATTTTTTTTGATTTCGACACCAGCAGGATTTTCAGGTCCAGAGACATCCCTTGCTAACATCGGACCGTTCACCAGAGATGTGCGACCGTCGATGTGGATATGCATCTCATTATAGATGGATCACCAAAAGGAATCAGAGCTAGCGTTCTCGAGCACCTCGACACTTTGGCCGCCTACACGGGGGCCGACATTTTCCTGCTGACTCCCAAACTCCACGATGCGGATAGTGCGGTAGTTTCGTCCTATGGCTACGCATCGGACAATGGCTTGGACCAGCGCTTCCGAGTCGCCATTTACGGCGATTTGGAGAGCTCGGAACATGCCAAAACCCGGGTTCTGATCATGATTGACCAAATAGTACGTCTTTGTGTGCGTGTCTCGTGAGACCGGCAAACTAACCCGAGACCAGCTCAAACGCCATGTGGACGCCATCAAACTGGACTCGACTATGCACACCTTGGTCTGTGGTCGCACACGCAAGAACATCAAGCTCATCGAGGCTGCTACAGGCACCGCCATTTACTTCCCTCCGCCTTTCCCCCAAATTTTCGGCTATATCCCCCCCGGTGCGAACCGTCGAAGCGAGGATGAGGTTTATATTACGGGTGAGACGCCGGAACAGATTGCTCGCGCTAAGCAGAAGCTGCGAGAACTGGTGATGGGAGTAAAGATTTTTGTCAAGGATGTGGTTGTCAGCTCAAGCAAGATCGACAATATCTTACTCGATCGTTTGGATAAGGTCCGGAAGGTGATGGAAATGAACGGATCTTATGTCCTTTTCCCGCAGCTGGGTAGCCAACGCGGCCTTGTTCGGATTCAAGGAACCGAGGTGTTGCACGTTGAGCGGACAGTTCGGGAAATCATGGCTCTGGTGCGTCTCTTTGTGATATTTTGACAGAATGATATGCTAATCTTTGAATTCACAGGCTGGTCAATTCTATAGCGCCTCGTGGTGGATCATCATGCCCGACCCCGCCCAAGGTGGTCTCCGTGCCCCCTCGACTGCCGATATTCGCTCCATGCTATCGGATATCTGCACCAACTCGGAAGCGGAGGTCAGCTTTGACAATCTAACATTCACGATCAACGGTTCCGATGATGCAGTCAAGGCTGCCATGACAGTCATCAACCAAATTCCTTTCGTGATGCGAAGCCAATACCAGATGCGGGTGAAGATTGAGCTAGCCAACGAGCACAAGGAGTTTGTTAGTGGCAAGAAGAACGGAAAGATCAACAAGATCATGGGACAGAGTGAGTTTTACCAGACATCCACCTGTGACACGAGATACTGACTCGCAGTCAGGCAATGTCCAGATTATCTTCGATGGTTTCAACGAGTATAACTTTTATATCGACGTGTGCGGCAACCAGTATGAGTCGACCAAGAATGGCCTGGACTTGGTTGAGCAGGAGATGCCTGCATCGATCTCATTCCATGTGCCTGACCAGTACCACAAGCGGATCATCGGAATTGGTGGACAGCATATCCAGCGCATCATGAAGAAGTACTCTGTCTTCGTGAAGTTCTCCAATGCCATGGATCGCGGCGGCATGGGCAAGGAGGATGACGACATCAAGGTTGACAACGTGATTTGTCGGACACCTGCTCGCAACGCTCAGAGTCTGGACCTTGTCAAGCAGGAGATCATGGACATGGTCGAGAAAGTTGTAAGTGCTTACATTACCCACAGCTTTGATCCCATAGAAACTTACAATTTGCAGGATGCCGAATACGTGGCCGAGAAAGTCGTCATCAACCGCCTATACCACCGTGAGCTATTGGCCCGTATGACTGAGATCGACGAGCTGGAGAAGAAATGGAACTGCAAGATCGAGTTCCCAAGCACTGAACTTGCCAGTGACGTTGTCACCATCTCCGGCCCTGAGTATCAGGTCCCCCAAGCGGTCGACGCATTGCTTGGCATGGTTCCAGAGAGCCACGAGCTTCACTTCCAGAGCTCAATCGAACTCCAGGACTACTTCAAGTGCTCTGATTTCCTTGCCGATGTTCGAACCAAGCTCAAGGAACAGTACGAGGTCGATATCAACGTGGATGTCGGTACCGATCTTCCTACTACCCACGAGGAAGGCTCCTCATCTCCCACCCCCGGGCCTGAGGACCGTGTGGTACTCGGATACACGCGCAACAACGCCGGTGGTTTGAAGGACGCCATTGACTTCCTGATTTCCCGCCTTGTTGCACATGGACTCGATGCCAACACCGTCAAGGGTGCTATTCCGCGCCCTAAATCCGACTCGTTCGAAGAGTCGCTGCCCTTCTTCGACTCGAAGCTACTGCAGCACGCCCCAGTGCCCCTCTCGACCGACTCGCCTACTCGGCCAAACTTCTCTGATGAGACCAGCGAACGAGGCTCGATATTCGAGCGCCTCCGCAAGCCCGGAAGCATCTCGTCCTTCTCCTCGTTCATCGGCCGCAAGAATCACTCCGCCTCGCCGGGATCATTCTTCAAACACGCCTCGAGCAACGCCTCCAAGGCCTCGCTCGTCTCCATGGAGTCGCGCGATAGCGGCTACCGCAACCCATGGAACGACTCTGGCGTGAACCTCCCCGAAGACGACGTGCCCGTCCTGGGGAGCTCGCACAGCCACAAGAGCAGTACCAGCAATGGCTGGCCCACGCGCTTCGACGCCAAGTTTCCCTTCGGCACTGCGCCGGGTGATATGACGCCCAAGCATGACCCGCGCACCTCTTTTGATAGTGGTCGTCCTAGCACTTCCAATTCTACTTCTGGATACCCGGCCCCAATTGGGCCACCGCGTTAAAACCAAAATATCCATTTGCAGCAGTATACCCTTTTTTGGTTGAGTTGTTTTTGTCTTATTGTCTTTTTTTTCTGCTTTTATTCTCATTCCCAGCGTGTTTTTTTTTCGGTTGTCTTTTTTGTTGGACTTCTTGTTGATTGATACCACGGAACGCAAGCAATGAAGGCGTCAGAAAAGAAAACGAGATATCCAAGATCTGCGTGCGATAGAGCAGGAAGTCATGGTCTTGACCATATCCTGCCTCTTTTTGTCTTTTTTTTTATTATTTCGCGGTGCGCATTCGGAGAAAAGGGAGGGATTGGATAGTCTGAATTCGTTGATACCAGGGCATCTGGCATCGACTTCAGAGGTGTTTTCCGATAAGTTTGGCTTTTATGTTGATGTTTTACTCTTTTGATATCCCCCAATCATCAATGAGATTTTGCCATTAGAAGACATTCTCCAATCTAAGTTGTTTTGAAGGAAGTTGTTATACTTCTTGTTTGAGCATCTCACATAGATCTGAACCCCGATGTCTCGGTATGCCCCCCGCACGGCGAGTGACGTTAGACGCGGGGTCGAAGTCAAGGCAACCTCTACTCTTCTCCAACACCCCCAAATATCATCAATTGACAACTCCTAAGAGACCATAAAACCCCATTGAACCAAACATAAACTCCTAGAACACCTAACATGGCAACATCCTACCCCCGCCCGGATTTCCAACGCACCCCTCTAAACTGGAACACCCTAGACGGCCCATGGACCTTCACTTTCGACGACAAAGACGAAGGCCTAACCTCACAATGGCACAAAACCAGCCTGGAAGGAAAACCTTCCCACCAGATAACAGTTCCATACGCCTTCCAAACCCCAGCTTCGGGGGTAAACCTCATCGAGGCGCACGAGGTAATGTGGTACGAGCGACGCATCACAGACATCCGCACAGCCGATCAAAAACAAAAAGGGAATAGACTCCTCCTCCGCTTCGGCGCCGTCGATTACGAGTGCTCTGTCTGGGTGGACGGTGTCCTCGTCGGCGGACATCGTGGCGGACATGTGCCATTCGATATAGATGTCTCCGATGCCCTGCCTGACGGCGCTACGGAGGCTCGTCTCACTCTGCGGGTTAGAGATTCGCCTTATGACATGACCCAGCCGCGTGGTAAGCAGTTCTGGAAGCCCGTTCCGGAAAGTATTTTCTATACCCCCAGCGGGGGTATCTGGCTCTCTGTTTGGTTGGAGAGCGTTCCAGCTATGCGGTTGCTATGTGGGAGTGGAGGGACGGTGCTTCGTTCTGATGATATCGAGGGCGGACAGTTGCATGCAAAGGTCCATGTTGCCGGACGTCGGGTTGGAAGTACGGCGAAGGTTGAGGTAGAGGTATCGCTTGCGGGCTTGAGTGTTGCAAGTGTGGACTGCGAGCTTCTGCGGGAGAAAAGTTTCGTTTCGCTTGATTTGGGTATAAAGGTTAGTGAAGCTGCGGTGACGAAGTTGAAGATAAGGAACCAGGGGCTGTTTGGTGTTGATGGAGTCTGGTGTCGGGGTGTTGCGCTCTGGGCTCCGGAGCATCCTGTTCTCTATGATGTTACGCTTCGGCTATTTGATGAGACTGGCGATCTTGTTGATGAAGTCCAGACTACGACCGGAATGCGCAGTCTATCCTGGCAAAACGGCGATGGAACATTCCGGCTGAACGGAAAGCCGTATTTCCAGATGCTATTCCTGGACCAGGGATACTGGCCTAAAACAGGCATGACACCCCCTTCTTCAGAGGCGTTGAAGACGGACATCGAGCTGGCGCAGAAACTAGGCTTCAATGGATGTCGCAAGCACCAGAAAGTCGAAGACCCGCGCTTCTACTACTGGGCGGACCGGATGGGCTTCCTCGTCTGGGGCGAGATGGCAAATGCCTATGAGTTCGACTCTGACTACATCGAGCGGTTTACCAGCGAGTGGACCGAGGCCGTGAAGAGGGATATCAACCACCCATCGCTGGTCACCTGGACGCCACTAAATGAGTCGTGGGGTGTGACTGAGTTGAAGCACAATATCGAGCAGCGAAATCATGTTCGCGCTCTGTACTACTTGACCAAGTATGCCCTGCCCGGTGGCATCTCCAATGTTTCCACGCTGCCTAGAGGAAATGGATGAACTAGCTAATACAAAAACGCAGGACCCTCGACCCTAGCAGGCCAATCAACGACAACTGCGGCTGGGAGCACGTCAAAACAGACCTAACAACCTTCCACGACTACAGAGATTCAGTCGAGCTGGGCGCAGCATGCGCCAACATGTCAGGGATCCTCGAACTGAAAGGTGGGCACGATGTTTTCACCAAACCAATCTACTCGGGATACTCCGGCTCTCTGCTGCTGCCGGGGAGCGGGACTGGGGGTACACGACCGCGAGTGACTCGGCAGACTTCTTGGTGCGATTTGAGAAGCTGGTTATGGCGGTTGTAAAGCCGGGGCATATTTGTGGGCTTGTCTGGACTCAGTTGTATGTTGCATGCATTATTCCTGGTTTTTGGCTTTGGGATCTCGGAAGTTCTGCTAATATGGGGTTTTCTTTTCTCTAGATGTGATATCGAGCAGGAGGTGAATGGTCTGTACACCTATGATCGTAAAGAGAAGGTTCCCGCAGAGAAGGTGAAACTGATTATGGATGCTGCGAGGGATCATTATTACCATCATGTTACGTCTCATCACTCGAAGGGGTTTAGGAAACTACTGGATCAGTATAAGCAGGTTGTGCATCGTTAGGTACTGGAATGGCCGTTGTGGTTTTGATGGATATGCAGTGACATGATACGTTCAAGACCATACCTAGGTAGTCGCCCGCAAGAGGACATCATGTTGGGTAATTTTAATCTATAATGTTGAATACTGAACTGTTATTTACATCCTCCTTTTACGGAATAGACAATAAAGGTTAGGGCATTCGTTTACTTATAGACTGAGAAATGAAGATGTAGCGCTTTGTCGATACCGAAGCACTCGATATATTTTCAAGTTTCCGTCAACCTGGAATGCAAGACAAAGCGAGGTCTGGTCAAATTAAGTCTGCGTCCCACGATGCAAGGTGTATAAAAAACACACAAGGCCCAAATTCAACATCATCAAAACATATATTATTGTCACTGGGCGCTAGAGAAAAAGATCCCATTAAGTGAAGACTAAAGAACAAAATAGCCCAAAGATCAAGACGCTGGATGCTGTACTCGAAAAAAAACCAAAGCCCCATAAAAACTCCAGAGATGCCGAGACCCCATATCAGAAAAATAGAAAGAAACGTGCTAGATGGATGTGGGTGCGGGATGCAGAATGCATATTACAAGTAAAATATCACATGTTAGCCAATTCCTGGTCGATCTGTCGGTCCAGGAAGGCTCGCTTGTCGCCCGTGAGCGAGGTTTGCAGGCGTTGTTCGACGAGAACGCGGACTATTACGATACGGTTAGCAAACTGTATGGTTATCATTAAGATTGAGTTAGGAACTTACCCTGCTTTTTGGTGACAGTGTCAAGATCAACCTCGGCCAGACAGCTGCGGATTGCCTCGGTGATGGCAATCTCATCGGGCCCACTGGCAGCACGGAAATCAAAGGCGGTGCTGGCGGGTCGAGAGGGGTACTGAGGCAGGGGGCTGCGAGAGCCAGCATTGCCGAGGAGGTTATCGCTGCTCTGCATCATGCCGACGCTGTGTCTGCTCGAGGCCATCGGGTTGTCCTGGTAGGCGCTGAGGCCACCCATGGACATGTGACGGGAAGCCTGGGCAGAGTGACCACCCATGTGAGCGCTCATCTGCGGCATGTCCGTGTAGCGGGACAAGTTTGACATGTGCGAGTTGCGGTTGCCGGGGATGTTGCTGCCGACGAAGGGTGCGGGCGACTGCGGGGGCAGGTAGGGGTGGTGGCGGCCCTGGCCCGGGAATCCGGTGAGAATGGTGGAGGCTGGCTTGACGGATGAGTACTGAGAGTGCATATCATCCATCTCCATAGCCATGTCGTCGTACCGGCCGCTGGTGTAGACCTTCTCCTGGCTGGCGCTGAGGTCGCCGCGGCGGCCAGGGAGGTTATTGGCCATGGCGTAGTCATCCCAGCGCTGGAGTGGGATGCTGCGTGGGTCAAAGGGCTCATCTTCCACAGCGATGACTCGCTTGTCGCCCTTCTCGCCGATGACAACACGGGTGGTACCCCATGTGAAATCGTCCTGTTTCCAGAAGGCATACAGCGGCAGGATGAAGTTGTAGATCGGGTACGCAAGAAGGTAGATGATCATCCATCCGATGTGTTGCCACTGCCGTTTGACAATGAAGATGATCGCTTGCAGACCATATACACCAGCCAGCATGATAATCGAGATCATAGGGAAGGGACCCGTGTGGCTAGCAACACGGTAGATCAGGTAGGTGAGGTATACGCAGGTCGCGGGAAGGATGAGAGTTCCCACCAGATCGACGAGAACGACGAAACGCATACTGAAACAGCAGAAACCGCAGAGGTCTTCCAGAGCTGCCAGTTCCACCAGGTTGTGGATTGTGGAGTTGATCCAGCGGCGTCTCTGCGACATAAGCACACTCCAGGTCTCAGGGGCGGCTGTGCTTGCGTAGGCATCGGGAATAAACTTGTACGACATCGCTGGGAAGTGTTTGGTCATGATGGTTGTTAGGTACCGATCCTCACCAAGAGAGAGGAGGTTCTTCTTGTGCAGGGTGTCAACATCATTATCAGCGTAGTCGTGAATGACTTTGTCCGAGATGATGAGAGGACGTCCTTTGTCCGCAGTTCGAAGGCGATACATGGTGAAACTAGACATTGTTAGTATCAATTTATTTCCAAGAGAAAAAGTATATAGGGACTTACCATCCAGGAAGACAAGTAACACTGCCGAAGAGCGACTCAAATGCCTTAGCCAGGTGATGCGAGATGTAGTATTCGTAAACCTGAATCATGGTCCACCAACTACGTTCCTCGTTCTGAAGACTAGTCTCGCCGCAAATGCCGGCGATCTTGGCATCTGCTGCACACGCGGCGACCAAGCGATTCAGAGAATCCTCCCTGACAGTGGTATCTGCGTCGACCATGAGACAGTATTCATATAGCTCTGGATCTACACCGATGACGTTGTTGATTTGGTGGAACATTTCCAGTTCAAGGGGCGACATAGGTGAGCGGTGGTGAACACGGTTCAGGAATTGCATGAGAAGGACCTGCGTGTCTCGCTTGCCACGATTGCCAGGTTTGGACTTGCGCTGCTCGGATTCCTTGCCAACCTTGACGACCACAATGTAAGGCACGACATTGCCTTCGTACTCATAGAGTCCAGAGTAAACCTTGCCGTAGTTCAGCTGCTCACTTCCCTGACCGAGGGATTTGCATGGCAGGGCCGGTGGGTCCATCTTAGGATCAACCCCAAGAATATCCAGAATGATCTTGGGCGTAGGGCGGTCATTTCCACCACCAACGATCATACCATCACAGATGACAAAGATCAACTTTCTCTTGTTGTCGTACTGCAAGGCAGTCAGAGAATCGAGACCTTTCCGAAGATCGTTCTCGCCCTCAGTGTATGCGGGAACCATGCAGATGACGAATTTGTCCTGAGGCGTGGGCCGACGTTTGGATCCCAGCTGCAGAGCTGCCAGGAACTTGATCAGGATGACAGAACAGATGAGAATGGTGAATGTGAGCAGGATCCAGTTGTTGACTGTGCATCGTGGACTGTCACGGAAATCAACTTTGCCGACATAGAAGACAAAGTCGAGACATGTCTGGGCATTCCTGAAGTCCGTTGTGTCCTGCCATTTGTCGGTGACATCTTCGCCCATGTTGTTCTTGAAGAGAGCAGTCAAAGTCGACGGCAGCCAATTGTATTGGTCGAGATTGTTCATCCTTTTTAGTGTATAGAAGTAGTCCGTCAAGTCATACACCTTTTGGTCCTTGATAACCCAGTAGCGGGAATCAGCGTCGGCCTGCTTCTTGATGGTATCCCTTGTCCAAACCACGTCACCCTTGTAGTATGTACCAATCTTTGGCAAGAACTTCTTTTCATACCAGGTATCCTGGTGAAGTACTGTGGTGGTTGTTAATGATTGTTTCCCCCGATTTGTGCTCGGCCGTAGAAAGGACGATAGCGTCTGTTTTGTTGTGCTGCAGGGCCATCGTATCTGATTTAACAAATGGGGCACAATAACGATTGAGAGGCGGGGGAAAGTAGGCATCTAAAATCTGTCCTCCAAATTGTTGCATGTTGTCTGAGCTTGTGTCTACTCCAATCATGTCACTGTGCTGTGTGCGCCAGAACTTGCTGATGTCGTAAACACGGCCGTGGATGCCGACGAAGAAGTCATTATCGGTTGTATGCCAGCCGACCTCCTTCTGATTCCAGGCTTTGTCCTTGTTGGGACAGAGAAGGTCACCAAAGGCAATGATATAGAAACAGACAATGGCGTTGAAGAGCAGAATCAAAAACACAAGAACGAGCTTTTCTCGCCAGGCCAGGCGGACATCCGGGCGTTTCATGCGGCCAACGTATCGAAGCACGAAGGAAGGAATCCAGAAGGTCAGCGCCCAGACAAAACCAGCCCAGAGTCGACGGCCCCAGGAAATGGTTTTCTTCTCAATGTGCTTCGGATCACCAAACTCAGGGTCGAATTCACCGATGTACCGGCCATATTCGTCGTAGTATGCAATGTCTCCTTTCTTGTCGTCACCTTTCCGACCCAAGCCGTAGTCACCGGCATTGGCAGCGTTGGTGAATGGCGCACTGGGCGCAATGGATTTGGCACCGCCCATCACACTCGGGGCCATGGCGCCGCCAGGTGGCATGCCAAGAAGATTTGAATTTTCATGGATGGCAGTGCCATCTGGGGTGAAGCCGGTCTCGTACAACGCAGGGCCGTACATGAATGGATTCACGTGAGCCTCTTCTGGCTTGAGATCCAGCATACTCTCCGCTTCCCACCATGCCCCCTCGCGCATCCAAACGCGCTGTTCACCGACGACAGCATCGCCATTGCTCCAGCCTCTCTCGATGATCCAGTTCTCAACACCATCCTGGCCTTCGGCGCAACCCAGTCGGGCATACCGTCCGACAAACTCTTCCACGTCGAAATCGGCGGTGAAATCGAGTTGCTTCAAACGACGGTTGGCCCATTCCGGGAGTCGCCAGTCTCGCAATTGACGGGAGACTGCACCCGCAGACCATGCTGTAGGTGCCGATGACGCGAGCTGTTCCGGCATGTCATCAGTCGGATGGAGGGAGAGGTGGTACCAGACACGGCTACTGTTTAGAGTGGTGGCAAGATCGAAGCGGCCGCGTTTTCCCACGGAGATACCTTCGGTATCAACGGGGAATAGAATGCGTCGGAGAAAAGCGTCAATCTCAAGTTCAACACCAACCTTTTCCAGTACCCCCTGCCGCTTGTCGAGATCGTGTTCGCGTTCTCGCCCGGCAAGGCCTGTGATAATATTGAGGTCTGGTTCAACTTGGGCCACTGCAGAGTTCATTTCACTAATGACAGAAGCTCCAATGGGTGGGAGGGGAATTCCATCATCCTTCATTTCAGCATTGAGACCAAGACCATCATCGAAGATACCTCTCATCATAATCGCCTTACCGAGAGCCGGTCGTGGAATATCGACTACAGTCAGGTTGACTGTGTCATCGTTTGACCATTGTGCTGCACCACCCCCGTTGCTGGAATCGTTTTCCAATGCAACCTGAATGTCAGACGTGATGGCTTCGTTTGCTTTGCTGATGACCCAATCGACCAGAGCCTCGTAGATTCCGGCGATCAAGACTTCCCGCTCATCAGTGGAACATTTATGAAGAAGGATTTCTGGATCAATTCCCAGAAGACCCCCAGCATCCTCACAGACCTCTTCTAGATCTTCCTGGTCCACCTCGAACCCAACTGCATTGCCGAGCTTAAGGAGACCAGCAAGGACTGATAGCAAACCTCGCTGAGCAGCACCTTTAATGCCAATGGATTTCAAGGAAGCACGGAAGTCTTCTGCAGCAGCAGAATCGTCAGCCGTGGGTAGATAGTGTGGAGGATTGTACGTGTTTGATCGGTTGAGCAAGGTATACGCAGCGGGGTCTTTCAAGTCCAAAAATTCACGCTCTGCAGCTGTCGATGTAGAGGTGAGAAGATAGTAGAAGGCATCAAATGCACGGTAGCCGGTCTCAGGCTGGATTTCTAGAAGACCCTTGCGCACGTTGATGCCGGAGGTAGACAAGGCGAAGGAAAGGCCAACGACAGATCCTTGCAAAGACAAGGTGTAAGTGGCGGCCAACGCAGAATGAAGAGAGTAAGAGGGGTTGAACGAGGTGACTGCAGTGAGGAAGGGTCGTATAGCGGAGAGCGCGATCAGAGCTACCTCCGGTGTTTCCACTGGGATCGCCGCGATAAACGGTTCTAGCAATGAGGGTATGGATTGATGGAGAGCACTATTCTATGTTAGCCCCTATGTGTCTTCAGCTAAATGCACATTTCAACATACCCTAGAACAACGCAGCCATCCTCGGCCCGGCGTCGGGCATGTTCCCAAGCTCTGATAGCCAGATCACGGTCGACCGTGGCGCCAGTTCGCCCATCAGGTAAAGTGGTTGCTGCGGTCACCCATGTATTAACAACCAGGCTCGTGGCTGAGTCTAGTTGATATGGTTGACCTGCAGTATAAAATGAATGCAGGGCATTCAATAACGTTGTTGTTGAAACCTGAGTTCCATGTTGTGGTCTGGGTCCGGCCGAGAGACCCGTGGACTGCGTGGAGAAGACCGAATAACGGTTCGACATGACGAAGGTAAGGTCGGAGGGTCAACGATGTTAACCGCAAGATGCGATGTCCGGCCTGCTCGTTATCAGAACCGCATGGGGGTACTCTTTCTGGTGTTGGTCCTTTGTCTCGCAAAATGTACAGTGGGAGTTGACGTGTGGAGGTTGTAAGAGAGTTGGGTTTAGAAGGTCAGGGGTGGACGATCAAGGATTTTGGATAATTGAGCGAGCGACTGGAGACGGAACTCCTGAATGGGTGAGGAAGAAGACAAAACAACTGAGAAGAAGTTCGGCGTGGGGAGAAAGAAATCGATGGAGTTGAAAATTACAGGGTATGGAAAAATACCGTCGATCCTGACGATCGTCTCGACCCTGTGCAGTCCAGCAGTTAAGCTTTTGGCATTTTGTTCATGTTGGTCTTAATGAAGAGCAAAACGAATACTAGTACGATTCAAGTTTCTGATTTTAAATGTTGGCATTGGCTAGGTTTTATTTGAACTCCGTATTTGCATTCAAAGAGACAGTTCCCTCTGTAATTTTGAAACCGTGGGATGTTTGTTGCTCTTTCACCCTGATGGGCTTCTGCTGGATAAGTTCCAACCAATGAAATGCATCAGATAGACAGCGACCCTGAGACCCAGAACCCCGTAGAATGATAGATGGAGTATTGTATTTTTTTCGTTCACATGTATTCAATGTATTAATAGTATTTTGGTATGGCGCGTGTGCACTATATTTGGGATGTGTCTCACACTTGTTTTTTCCTAACAGATGACCAGTTTCGCCACACAATGTATGATCGGAGACTTGATCCACTGTGCCACCTCTACTAGCCTGTCTACTGGCCTATTAATCGTCACGAGAATGTCGAACCACTCTAGTTTCTTAGGCCGACCGGGAGAACGGGCCTAGAGTGCCCCTAGTTTCAGACCTTTATCCATTGTATTCCTCATATTTTCAGAGTTTTTGATATGCAGGTCCCTTGCAAGGAGGTCAATATTGGTGAAAATATGAGAGTTGACGTGTTCCAGGGACTTGGACCCTGTACCGACTACACTACCATGGTACTATGTAGTGTTGTAGTACAGAGTATATGTGTGTAGCTCTGTAACAGCTGGAGTGGAGATCTCTCAACATGAGACTGATGTATATTAAAAAGATTCAAAACCAGCTTTTTCTGATTCATGTATTGTTGTTGTTTCTATTTTTCTCCTTCGCTAAGTGGTATTTCCAGTTTTTATATCTCTGATGAGTGTTTCTCAAATATCCATATTATCCATAGTGGGAACACTATCAGCTATGGTGGATTCCACCCGAGACACATCCAATGAAGCCGAAGCGAATTAAATACTGAATCCCCAAATAGACCCCGTTTGATCGGTATGGCCGAGGTTCACCTATTCTTAGCGACCAAGCTAGTAATTTGTTTTGTATTGCACAATACGCATCCACCCCCGACCTCTTATCGATTTGTTGCTTTTTTCCCTTTGTGATCTTGCATTCTGGGCTTCTGATTTCTGTTTCTGCTTCTGCTTTTACTTCGATTTTCGTGTCTCTCACTCGTTCACCCTACACTCTCGCCATTGAACTTCAAATCACAACTTTGTCGAATCTTCCCCCCTCGGCACCCCGATGCGTGCGATCTCGATCTGTTGCTAGGGTAGGGGTCTTTATTCCGCCAAGTCCACAACGCATTCCTACTCGTCTCGCTCCACGTTCATTCCGTTACTGCGAGGCTTCTGAAGCCACTCGCTCCGTCAATATTTGACGCCCCGATTTCCCCTCATACACTCGTTCACGCCCTCACATCTCAACTGAGAGGGTCCAAATATGGTCAATACCTTCTCTGGGAGTGGCCCGGCACACGCTCAGCCCTCACTCCCCTCCTTACCCGCCCACCTGCAGTCTGATACACATCTCACGGCCCATCTCGCCAGTCGGTATGAAGATTCCCGACCCTGTTCATGAGTGCAATCTTGGCAAAGCTAACGAGTGTCTTAGGTTTCATGTTGGATTACCAACTGCCCACCTGTCGTCTCAGGCCCTCATTGCTCTGAATACATATTCATCGGCGACCAAAGGACCCGATGGCGGAAAAGAAGGAAGTGCTGCGGGCGAGGCTGAAGACCTCGCGCGCCGCGCCTTCACTCGTCTAGGTGCACGTGCTGAGAACCAAGCCGTTGTATTCTTGTAAGCTGAATCAACTCTCTACCCCAAACCCATTTCTAACGTTCGATTAAAGAGGAGAGAGCGGATCTGGAAAAACCACCATTCGCTCGCACTTGCTGTCTTCATTCTTATCCTTTTCATCGACCCCACTCTCCTCTAAACTATCATATGCCGCCTTTGTATTCGATACTCTTACAACCACCAAATCCGTCACTACACCCACCGCTTCAAAAGCTGGTCTCTTCCTTGAGCTTCAATATGATGGATCATCCTCCGTGAACCCCACCTTGATCGGTGGTAAGATCATTGACTACCGATTGGAGCGAAGCCGCATCTCTTCGGTGCCCACGGGAGAGCGAAGTTTCCATGTGTTGTACTATTTGCTAGCTGGAACAAGTCCTGCAGAGAAGTCACACCTGGGATTTGAGAACAGCATCCATGTTCAAACTGGTAGCAGGCTGTCCGGAGGAACTGTCAGCCACAAACGCTGGCGTTATCTCGGTCATCCAACTCAGCTTAAGGTCGGGATCAATGATACGGAGGGCTTCCAGCATTTCAAAACCGCGCTGCGGAAGTTGGAATTTTCCCGGGGGAAATCGCCGAGATCTGCCAGATCCTGGCCAGTATCCTTCACATTGGGCAACTCGACTTCGCCACGGGTCAGTCTACCACCACCGGCGCAGAAGAAAGTGGTGGCTATTCTCACGAGGGTGGTGAGACTGTAACGGTGGTGAAGAACAAGGATGTCCTGGACAATGTCGCCGCGTTCTTGGGTCTTAGCGTCGATGCTCTGGAAAATAGCCTTGGTTACCGGACGAAGACGATCCACCGCGAGCGGGTGACAGTCATGCTCGACCCGAAGGGAGCGCGAGAGAATGCTGATGCATTTGCACGTACTATTTATTCTCTCTTAGTGACCTATGTCATTGAAACCGTGAACCAAAGGCTCTGTGCAGCTGAGGACAGTGTTGCCAACACCATCTCCATTGTTGATTTCCCCGGTTTTGCTCAAGCCCCTTCCACAGGGTCTACTCTCGATCAGCTTCTCAGCAATGCCGCGACGGAATCGCTCTACAACTACTGCCTTCAGTCATTCTTCGACCACAAAGCGGATATCCTGGACCGTGAGGAGATTACTGTGGCTGCGACAAGTTATTTTGATAACACGGATACCGTGCGTGGTCTGCTGAAGCACGGCAACGGTCTGTTGAGCATTTTGGATGACCAAACCCGGCGTGGAAGATCCGATGCACAGTTCCTGGACAGCGTGCGCAAGCGCTTCGAGAACAAGAACCCCGCCATCTCGGTGGGTGGCACCAGTGGATCAGGTGGCTATATGTCCCAGACCCGAAGTGCGTTCACCGTCAAGCATTTCGCCGGCGAGGTGGACTACTCCACCACTGGCCTGCTTGAGGAGAATGGAGAGGTCATCTCGGGAGATTTGATGAACCTGATGCGGTCCACCCGGAGTGACTTTGTGCGTGAATTGTTCCATCAGGAAGCTCTGCAGACCATATCCCACCCGCAAGAAAAGTCTGCCATCATGCAGGCTCAGGTCAGCTCAAAACCACTGCGAATGCCTAGTATGGCCAGACGCAAGACCGGACCACCGTCTCGTTTCGCTGCCCCAAGTGCCCACCCTGAAAGTGAGGAAGGTGATGAACACGAAAGCCAGGTTGCAGGATCCAAGCGAGCCAGCGGTCGGAAGAGCGGAATGCCTTCCGGCCCGGCTCAGGGAGCCGCCGGCCAGTTCCTTTCTGGCTTGGAGATTGTGAACAAATGCCTGAGCTCCTCGAACCTCAATCCCTATTTCGTCATCTGTCTCAAGCCCAATGATCGTCGCATTGCCAACCAGTTCGACAGCAAGTGTGTGCGGATGCAGGTCCAAACATTCGGTATCGCTGAAATCAGCTCGCGGCTGCGGAACGCCGATTACAGTGTCTTCCTTCCGTTCGGAGAGTTCCTCGGCCTCGCTGACATCGGGAATGTTGTGGTGGGAAGCGACCGCGAAAAGTCTGAGGTTGTTCTCGACGAAAAGCGATGGCCTGGCAACGAAGCTCGTGTCGGTAGCACCGGTGTTTTCTTGAGCGAACGATGCTGGGCAGATATCGCCAAAGTGGGCGAGCGCGTGGTACCATCCTATGGAAATGCTGGTGCTGATGAAGGAGATGGCTTCCAGACCGCCGGTGCTAACCCGGACTCCAAACTTCGACTTCTTCACCCCACCGACCAGTCTCCAGGTGCTTTTATTTATGGAGATGATCCCAAACAAGGCTACTTTGGAAGCCGCGAACTGGATGGACGCTCTGATGCCGGAGGTTCCGCCTTCAACTCCGGTGATATGTTCAAAAATCTTGACACCAAAGAGCAAATGCTTGAGAAAAACAACGAAAAGAAGATGGAGGAGGTCGACGAGGCTACGACTTCCGCGGGTCGTCGTCGTTGGATGTTCCTGGTCTATCTCCTCACCTGGTTCATCCCCGATTTCGTGATCCGTTTCGTTGGGCGAATGAAACGCAAGGACGTGCGAATTGCCTGGCGTGAAAAGCTTGCTATCAACATGATCATTTGGTTCGCCTGTGGTGTAGCAGTTTTCATGATTGTCGGTTTCCCTGGAGTGGTTTGTCCAACTCAGGCTGTTTACAACACGGCAGAGCTCCGCGGTAAGAATGGTGCAGGTTCAGCAGACTCTTATGTTGCCATTCGAGGCGTGGTTTTCAATCTTGGAAGTTTCATGCCATCCCACTTCCCTGACATCGTTCCCCAGAAGTCACTCAAGGCCTATGCAGGCACTGACGCTACCAATCTTTTCCCTGTTCAAGTCTCGGCTTTGTGCCAGGGTGTCAATGGGAAAGTGGATCCGAGCGTACCATTGGACTATCGATCAAATTTGAATGATTCCGCAGTCACAGCGTCTAGCTCTACCTTCGATGTCAATGCTAAGTACCATGATTTCCGCTCTTGGACCAACGACTCCCGAGCTGATTGGTTCTATGAGCAAATGCTCATGATGCGCTCGAATTACAAGAAAGGCTACGTTGGTTATACTTCGAAGGCAATCAAGAAGTTGGCGACCGATAGTTCCAAGAAAGTTGCAAGTATCAACGGCAAAGTCTATG